TGAGGAAACGAACATCTCATGGAGCACGGTCCAGCGAATTTTAACCGAAGGTTTGCACATGAGACGGGTGTCTGCAAAATTTGTTCCTCGCTTGCTCGGAGATGACCAAAGATAAAACCGCGTGAATGTTTGCAGCGACTTGAAGAGTGAAGTGCAGTTTTCCCTAACAGAAAGCAAAATTTCACGCACACTCTTTGTTCCTTCTGGTCGGCCATCTCACTAATCGCCAAAGGGTTGAAACAGGAACGCACACAACATAGCACCACAGTCAACAGTCGCGGGAGACCCCCAGCTAACACCACCTAGCAGCACAACTCGTAACTACAAAGCATGCGCGCGCAACAGGTCGTTTCCGGTTATTTTTGGGTCCCCCTTCGTATGTGATAATACATCATGGAAATATATGGAGCTGTTAAGGTAATTTTTGTAGAAGGTGAGACAAGTAAATGGTGGCTCTGTGGAGTCTTAACTTTCAGCTTGATGTTAATAATCGGTGAATCATAGGTGTGCACGTGGCATTTGGTATGAAGCTACATCACAAATGTATTTACAAGTTTTATGTGAAATATTATTAATGAACAAACAGTTACAGACATGACAGTGATGTGAAAATTTTGAGTAATGTCTGACAAATTTAACGCAATAAGTTCTTCCAGCAAAGAAAATAAAACGGTACTGGTGGTGGTGGCATTGGCAGCAGCACTAACTGTATGTGGCTCAGATAGGACTGTCTTATGACCATCTGTGCATGGGTTTAGCATGCTAGCCAGTGTTCATAATTTTTCACTTAGAAACAGTATTTTGTACTGTATGGTTGTCTGTCTTCAGATCGAAAGATGGATGCCATTTTGTTAATTTTTTTCTGGGTAGTGTGAATGTCTTTTCCTTGAGTAGCCTGTAGATGCAGTCATTTGTTCCATGGATGAAAGGTATGTATGCTGTGCTGTATCATACCTACCAACTCAAGAGCCTGGAGTGTACAAGATCCCCTTTTCATGTGGCAGGCCCAAATGGGCCACCACATATGATCGAGGATTTTGGAACACATTAGAGACCCTAGATTGGGGAACCTGTCATCAGTGATAGGCTAACACTCCACAGAGACAAAACAGATTCAAATTTGACAGAACAGAAGGCAGCCAGTATCTGGATCTATCCTAGCATCATCAGGGAAGCCACAAAAATAAGAAGACACCCCCATAATTGTGATGATGGATGCAGGTAGAGAAATGCCTTTGCATCTTCCTTCCCAAACCCACCACTGAACCACCACCATTCAGCAATCATTCAACTCCCTTCTTGTCCGCATGGGGAGAGAACAAAGAAGAAAAAGTACTCCTTTTTACTGTCCATGTCGTTAGGAAAAGAAGGAAGGAAGGAAAGCCTTTCATCACATAATGTCCTAAACATAGGGTTTGAAGAGATGTTTTTCCACTCATTATTTCAGGATCATCTGGTTTTCAGAACATTGTCCATTACCTCTTTTCATTAACCATGTGGTCATTGAAACATTTTGCATCTTTTTTTTTTTTTTTTCATTAACCATGTGGGAACTTGCTATTGGTTAGCATCCTGTTCCTCTTCATCCAGTCATGGCTTCACCAAAGTCCTTAAGCTTGAAGATTGCAACTGCAAGGTATGCTGAACTGGGTAGGCCTCTACATTCGAAGTGGCCTAATACAAAAATCTGAATCTACACAATGTATATGTGTATTTATAATCTATCTCCATACCAAATGTCAAATGGCTAGATCCAGTGGTTAGTTATTGCTATTAGACTGAAAGTAGATTTCATGTAGTCACAATTTTGTTTTATGTTCTACATAATTATTTTAATACAAGTTAAATATTTACTGTACATCCATTTAGGACTGTATACTAAATTTCACTAGTGTTCGTGCTTCTTTCATGTTACTACCAATTGTAGAAACTTCGGATGATGAGGTTTGGATGGCTTCTAAAGTCGTACCAGATTTCATGATAAGTGGTCAGTTGGTTCAGAAGTTGAAAAGGATACTCACAGTTTGTGCTTATGGTTGCCTTGGCAAAAATGTATAGCAGTTTATTTGAAATTGACAGAGGAAGAGCAAGTTCTGTTTTATTGGTGGTGGGGGAAGTAACAGAAAACAGTTGCTAGTTTTTGTCTTGTATGTTGAGTTGGTGAGCGCTTGCTTATTTGTTCTCATTGATTTAAAGGTACTAGTGTGTTATATGTCAAATCAGTCATTGTATGTCATTTGTGTATGGGTCCTGTTATTTTCTTAGGTAACTGTCATTGTATGGCTGTAAATAATCTTCTGATTTTTCTCAATTTCTCTATGCTTAATTACTTTCCTGTCCATTGGTTTAAAACAAGTGATTTTTAAATGCAAAGTTCTAACTGAGCACTTCAGAAATACATAGAAACAGTGGGCTCAGGAATACATTTGTACAAGGGGAATATTTGGTGACTGCTGGTGCACAGCCTTTTCCACTGTGTGCGCATGCTGCTGCATGGGTTGCTGCCTTTCCTACTTAGCAGCTGCAACTGCATTAGACAGGGAAGGTTGCTGTGAAAAGTACTTCAGTTATCCACCATTAATCAATATTAACTTGTTCCATGAAATGTCCTTGGTTAACGAACCCAATTTTAACATTGCTTTGATTTTTATTGTAGGACCCATTTCACTAATTTTGTTCAAAATTTGCAAAATATGAAGAATAGTGAGCAGTGATAAGATTGCACTGTCACACTTGCAGAATGGCTGACTGAAGTGAATGAACATTGCCATTGCACTCACTGGGATGACTGTATCTTGTGGGATGTAACATAGTGTAGCTTGCAGTAAGTTCTACATTTTGGAAGAACATACTGTCTCCATCTTCAGGGTCAGAATGTAATCCAAGCAGGTAGCCTGCAAAAAACAATTACTTTTTGTCCTGCTTGGTACCTGATGCTTGCTGTTTTTTTTTGATTCTGAAGTTGGAGGCAATACATTTCTCAGAAATGTCTGTGGATGCCTAATGGACAACGCCGTGTAACATCCCAGAAAATAGTACTGTTCTTGGTCACGGATGTGGGAACCAAAAATGCAGCAGACATTACTATTCTGCATGCACTGTCTGCTTTACAAATGGCTGAGAATGAATTGTGCTTTCATAACACTTTGTGCATACTATTTTTATTTTCTCTACTCCATTTTCTTCTATGTTGTGCATTGAATTGTCCACTCAGAACCCAATAAAAAGTTTATTTTAGACCAGGCTCATCATGGTGAACTGATTGAAGATACAATTACAGAAATTGTTGGATCACATGACTGCAGTGGTTACATTATTTGGTATTGTAATGCCTGAAATCCATAATTCTGTTGTTCTTTTTACTAGGTTTTGTTTATATTGTGCATGGATGTGTTAATACTAGAGAACTGAGTGTTATATGGATATTGTAGCAGCTGTAAGTGGCCAAGGAAGTGTAAGAGAAAATCCAGAAGCTGCCGACAGAACTACTCTTCATATTCTCGTCATTGAAATAAAACAGCTGTCATATTAATAGAACATCAAGTATTAAGGCAAGAAGTGTTGGATGATAAGAAAATTACTTTGAACGTTTGCCTTGTAAGCCTATTAAGTACTTTGCATAAGGTGTAGAAAGATCAGAAGAGACTGTGAGGATCAGAACCAACTTCCTGAAACTGTGACATTAAAGAACTGAATTTATGTACTTTTTGCAGCCATATTATGCACTACTTTTTATTGCTATTATCTTCGGTCACTCCATGATTGTGTACTTGACCCTGAGTTGACATTTTATTAGACAGGGCTAGGTTTTATTTCAGTGGACATATGGACACAACACAGGAGATACTAGAGCACAGGAGATCTAAGAGTACATCTTATATATAAAGTTGTACTTCGTGATACATTGTGATTGGTGCAAAGAATATTATGGACCCTGTGTTGTATGCAGATACAATTAATTTTGTGGTATATAATGCAGATACTACATACACAAAATCATTTTCAGTTACAGAATTTGTGTTAGTATGTTGGACCTTTGGGTTCTGTTACCAGACAATTCTACAGGTAATAAGTCACAAATTAATACTTTTTTCTCCAGCTCTCCTATGTTCAAGCAACGATTCTCAGTAATGATGGCATTACCTGGAGGTATGACTGGCACTTTGGATGCATTAAAGGTGGCTGATACAGCCCTCTTCCTGTTATCAGCACGTCATCCTGATGGTATTGATGCAGTTGGAGAAAAAATACTGGTCTCTTCTCTGGCACAAGGTCTGCCATCCACCATTATGGCCGTTACTGAATTGGACTACCTGTCGGTCTGGGTAAGAATTATAGAATGCAGTTGTCTGATACAACCAGTTAACCACTGCTCAGAAGATAGACCTATAACTGAGTTTGTAGAAGTTCCTATTGTACTCAAATTGTTCTTAGGAACCAGGATAGCATGGTTGGTCTAGCGACTGGCAACAGATTGGACGACCAAGAGGTCGGAGTTTGAGTCCCGGTAGGATTAAGAATTTTCTCTTCTCCATGTCCAGACCAGCTCTGGGACCCACCCAACCTGCTATCCAGTGGGTACCAGGGGCTCTTACCCCGGGGTGAAGCGGCCGGAACGTGAACCTGACCACTCACCTCCATCTAATGCCAAGGTCAAGAAAATGTGGATATACACTATACATTCATTCCCCCATAAGACTTCATGGCATAGTACCTAATTAGTTAAGCACAGGGGCAACTTTACCTTTTTACTCAATATTCTTGCATAGATAAATTTGATATTAAGTGATAATTTTGTTAATATAATATGGCTAATAAAATATGTTGGACAGAATTGCTTAACACATTAGCACCATTGAATATTTAACTATGATTCACCACTGGGGCAGGTGACATTCAAACTTAAACCAAAGAAGTGAAGGGTTACTGAGATTCTTATGGCAGTGATTGTGAAGTATTTTATATTCTGGGGTGTGACACCGCATATCCTGGTAGTGTTACAAACATTTTGGAGGAAGTACCCTGGAGGTGGAGACAGAAATTTCCTCCAAAATGTTGGCAGTGTTCTTTCAGATGGCATGGCACTACATCTTCAGAAAAATGAAAGTTAAAGCCCTGGAATTTTTTCAAAGTCTTATATTACATGCAGAACACTATAGAGTGTCATGCCCCACATGCTTTAAAATTAATGTTGAAAAATTTAATTTTGAAATATATTGAAACACTCGTGTTTTATTAGCGAGAACCACACATCATAGTCTAGTGGTTATCAGTCCTGTTTTATATGTGGAAGTCCTTGGGTTCAAGGCTTGGCATGGAGTCTAGCCATCATGGCAAGGTTTTGCGTGGTTTTCTCAGTCCCTCCAGGCATATGCCATGATAGTAACCCAAATTAGGTTGACTAGTTCCTTCCAAATCCTTTCCACTTCACAATTCATTAAGCATTCAACATTTGACACTGTATGGCATTAGTTACTGAAAATATTGTCAAGTAAACCAAGAGAAGCTATGAATGTTCGTTGAACATGATCTTCGCTCAGAAGATGAGTTTGACGTGGTAATTTTCAGAATATTCATTGCTCTTAAGATATTTCTTCCACACAGTGTCCTGTTGCTATCACAGACATCACGCCTCTATGGACTTACTTTGTTCTCAGCTGGTTTGTTGTCTCATTAGTTGAACAGATTCGTTGTCGAAAAGCAGTGTATAAATACCTGCGGTTTCACATATTTTGCAGCGCCTTGGGAACCAAAACAATTTTTTTTTTCTTTTTCACTCATGCATTTTGCATGTCTTTCCAATAAACATGTTGGCACAGTATCATTGAGACCATAAACATCACTGTCATTGGCATAAGAAGGATGTGAAGACCACTAGGAAGGTAACACGAAGAAAGGCTGGTTTAAAGAAAACGAGTTCCTGTTTTAAAAATTTTGCAGTTGTAGATGTGTCGGTAATTTTTAGCTCCACAGTTATACTGCACTATTGTAGTTTTTAAGGGGAGTGGTGTGAACATGAATGCTTATTCATGTTCATGTGCGTGTGTGGAGGAAAGGGCCAGATACTGAGCGGGTGCCTGCTTGAGTCACCCCCTCCCCCTGTAGAAGGGGAGCGACCAATGGTAGTAAGATCCCTCCTCTTGTCAAATAGGAAGCCTTGTTTGAAAATAAGTAAAAGCCTTAGAAAGAATAGGATCAGCTGCCCTGACAAGGGCTAGCAGCAGTTTATCCAACTGACTGGCTGTAGCTTCACTTTTGGATTGATATAATCTCATGGTAGGGAGTTGTCTGTATTTATTGTCTTATAAGTTTTTTGTTATTAATGTAGCAGTTTGGCTGAAATGATTGATTCTGACCTGTACTTCAGGTTGCCCAGTTTGAATCTTGGCCAAACTTCCTGATGGAGTTTTCTTTTTTCCTGATTCTTCTCAGCCTATCCAGGCAGATTCCAGAATATGACACTAATTGTATCATGACTGCTCTCTTCCATGTCCTTTCCATTTCAATATTAACTGATCTACCTTTTGAGTGTGATGGTGATAGCATAGTTAAATAAAAGTTAAATGAATAATTAAAAGTGTCAGACTGAATTGTTAAATCTTCTGAATCATTTGCCATTAACTTTCTGTTTCCATTTCTCATCTGACAAAGTGCATAGTTTCAGTTTACTGAGAGCCTGATCGCATTAACATCAGAAGAGGCATTACAGTAGGAATGTTGTCTTCCTATGTAGATTAGGTTACTGCTTCATAATGTTTCTGAAGTTGGGATCTTATAATTGATACAAACTCCGTCCCAAGTGCAAACAATATATTATATGTCTTTGATCTTGCTCTCTTTTACACTACATGTTTTGGCCTCAAACGGCCATCATCAGGTGTATACTCTCACGTTGCTGTTACACTGCACTTAGTTTAAAATTTAACATTTTAAAAACACATTGTTGCTTTCCTTGTNGAGAAAGTATAAAAAAGTGATGCTCAATTTTATAAGATGTTTGTACAACAGTATGATGTAAAATGTAGGCTGATACTTGCTGTGATGTAGAACATGGGGGTTAGATGCTGAGAAGCTGTATGAAACCCATGAAGTTATGCTGTGGGATAGTTATCATAGGAAACTTGTGACTACTTATTACCGGAAGCCCATCCACAGGAAATTTGCAAGTATAAGGGTGTGACTGTATAAAGATGTCTGATTCTCAATTTTTGCAGATCTGTATTTATTTCAAATTATGGAGCTTGTGACAGAGTTGCTTTGAAAGTTGGTGAATGTAACAGTTCTTGAGGTGGTAATACCACGTTTAGTTATTTATTCATTTTCACATACTTGGAGCAAGTTTGTGTTGTAGGTGGCAAGTGTAACAGTTGAGTGTGTATTGTTATATTTAGTTTGTTTATTTTCACATTTAATCCCTCTTATGTTTTTTTTTAATCCCTTGGGTACTAGGCTTAAATTCCCAGATATTTTCACAGCTGAAGATCTTTTATATGTGATGTAAACCTATTAAAATCAGATTCATTCAACTTTTATTAACAGGAGCAGCGTAAAAGAATGCGGCGCCTACAAAAGGCGGTATCATTGTGGTTGCCTGATGAAAAAATTATGATTTTAACCCGATTCGGTGATGGACTGCCCATTCTTCGTCGTGCAGGAAGTCAGAAGCAGCACGATATTAAATATCGCAATATGCGACCATATATTTTGGCAGAATCTGTTCAGTATAGTCCAGATAATCAGGTGACTGTAAATACTGAGCATGTTAGCTAAGTAGTAATAAAACTAGCCCACATATAGTACGTACCTAGTTTTAATTCAAGTCCTGACACATTTTTTCAAGAATTTATTCAGCTCTTAACCAAAAGGCAGTATAGCATCTTAACACATTAAGTACTAGCCTGTTTTAAAATTTAAATGCTCTGTTCTTGGACATTTAATGCCACTTTCCCTGAGGCTATGCTGATCAAAAACATGCCTTTATTTTTCTTTGTATTTGTTGACTTCAGTATTGTATGCTGTTGGAAGAGTGTTCAATAATGTTCTTGAAAATGATGTCTCCTGGAATGCAAATTCTTACTCTGCAACTAAAACCACCATTACCACTACTTTGTGTGTGAAATATCACCATCCTTTATCTTCAGTATCTGAGTGTGTATCAGTATAAGCTTTACAGTTACACAACAGTTTGATTTCTGGCTGCCCAAGTATATTTGTGTCTGTTACACATTTTAGCAGTAAGTATTATGAAGGACAAATTTCTGAAGAGAGCATTTGCTCAATTTATATAATTTCAAACTGTGTGGTTAACAGCAGGAAATATATTGTAACTTAACTGTTGTGATTAGAATACATCATCAACAAAACTGAAAATCAGGAGAGATGAATTTAATGAAATATGTCAACTACTTGGTTGTTCAGATACTATTAACTTACTAGGTGTCAACTTAAACAGAATGAAAATGAATTCCTAAATTGTATTAGAAACTTATATAGGGGTTAATTTAGAAATATATGCAAATGAAACTAAGTACTCGTATATGTTGTGTCTCATTGCCAGAATGTAGAACAGAATCATATTTTAAGGAGAACTTGAAAATGTGTAACAGTTTCAGTATTTGGGAAAGGTGGCAGCAAATCAAAATTATATTCATGAGAAAAATAGGAGGAGATTTAGTTTGGGAAAATGCTTCATATTTCTGTCTCCTGTCAAGAAACTTGACATTTATTATTTCGAAATCCAGTTTCAGTTGCTATCGACACTTTGTAGTAAACCTGGCTGTGATACTGCAGTCAGTATAGTGGCTGACTAGAGGCTTGGATAGCCGAGAGGTTGGGGCCCCACTCAGCTTCCTCATGGATACTGTGATCCCTTCCGAGGGTTTAAAGGGCTGGGTTATGAATCTGATCACTCACCTCCAAGTAGTGCTGAGGTCAAGAAAATGTGGATCTGTACCTTCATGGCATAGTGCTTAATTAGTTAAACACAGGGACAACTTTTAAATTGACACTTTATAATTAAACACATGTTGGAGGATGAGAAAAATGTGCAGAATTTTGGCTGGAAAAGTTCAGAGAAAGGGATCTCTTGAAAGTTTAAGTGTAATATTAAAATAAGATATAAGGAAGTGGGTCATGAGGCTATGAAGTGAATTAAACTGGCTGAAGATAGGGTCCAGTGGTCTTTGTGAAGACAGTACTGAACCTTCATGTTCTAGAAAAGGAGGAAATTTGTTAATCATTTCAGTTAACTGTCAAGTTTTGAATGACTACCCTGTGTCATGAAGTTGGTTGATCTAGGTGTTTGAGAGCGAAGTGCCAACAAGAATATTTGGACCTAAAAGAGAGGAAATTGTAGGAGGATGGAGAAAACTGCATAATGACGAGCTTTATAATTAGTACTCATCGTTGCATGTTGTTAGGTTAATCAAATTAAGGAAGATGAAAAGGGAATACCATGTAGTTTACTGGGAGATGTGAGAAATGAATTTGGATTTTCTGGTGGAAATTCTGAAGTGAAGGGACCACTTGGAAGACCTTGTTCTACATGGAAGGGTACTATTGAAGTGGATTTTAAAGAATTAGAGTGTAAGGTCCTGGACTAGATTCATCTGGCCAGGGTAGGGGTCAGTGGTGATCTGGGCAATGAACCCCCCTTGATTTTGTAAAAGGTCATGAATTTTTTTGACTAACTGAGCAAGTAATTTAAAGGACACTGTTCCATGTAGTCATTTTTCATCTTCTGTCCAGTAAATGTAAATATAGTCTTAAGAAAGACTTAAATGTTTGAATGAATTGTTAAAGTATTTTTCTTATTGTTCCCAGGGCTTCGAAGGTACTTTGAAAGTGACGGGCTATGTTCGAGGTCGGCCTCTATCTGTCAATTCTCTTATACATATCACAGGCTGGGGAGATTTTCAGATGTCTCAAATTGATGCCCCAGATGATCCACATCCATTGGAGAAAAGAACTAATGGAAATAGAAAGGAAGCCTATGAAGGGTCAGGAAATGATAAGATGGAAGAAGATGTAAGGATCTTGGAAGTAGCAGAGCCTGGAAAACAGGTTTGTTTTATGTGTTTTAAGATCTTGGAAGGGGTTTGTTCATTTCATTTGTTTTTATGCTGTGTTAGAACTGATAATATATCAAAGTGAAATGTTTACAATATACTTTTGGGTTTTCAATTCATCGTTGCCTAAAGTGATAAGTGAGTTGACAGACTGTGGCATGGAGAGACACAAACATCGCAAAGTGGGTACTGTGGGATACCATTTGGATGTATGGACTCAGTTCAGAATGTAATCTTACATTGTAGTATTCATATATTAATACTCCATCTGGATTTCATACCATATGTGACACATAAAGTCCTCAAATACATAGAAGGATAAGGAAAGACCTTAGAACGACAGCATCATAGACTTCAAGATATTTATTCTTTGTATTTACATATAATTGGACATTATTGCCTTCATCCCTATTGGAATAATTTGAATCAGAATCCATTAGGTTGACAACAGTAGGCTCAAAGACTTGGGCCTCTTCCTCTGTTCTCAGCAAATTTCAGTAAATCTGCTATCTCATGATATAGTTTCAATGTGCAGGTATATTTTTTCTTGTCTCATTCATTTTTGAATGTTCATTAATATGAAGGAGTCACTTCAAAGTGAATACATCCCAGATCCAATGGATTGTGAACAGACTTGGCCTACCGGGATGGAATTTATAGAAGTTGATGGAGGAACCAGACTTGCAAAGCGTAAAATACAGAAGGTACCAGAGGGAATGTCAAATTACCAGGCTGCTTGGATACCTGATAGTGATGCAGGTGAGATGCACTGTTGCACACATATCTGTACTGAATTATGAGCTGGGCATCTCAATTTTTAGCAGTTTCCCATGCCAAGATTAGGGTAACCCACTACCATCCAGCTGAGTATGTTGTGAATTCTGATCTGCTGCAGATCTAGTAGTGTATCTGGAAAGAAAGCATATTAAGAATAGGAAAAGAGATGATTTTGTGGGGATGAATATTTTCATGTGCAGCGTGTATCAGTTTGATGTGGTGACAAATGAGAGCTCTGTTATTGCAACCAAAAGGATTGTTAATTTTAATGCTTTTGTTATAAAGTGCTACTAATGATGTTAGGGATGTTTCCACCATCATGTCAGACTAGAAGCTCAGCACTCGCCCCCGTCTGGTGCTGTGGTTACAGATGTGTGGAACTGTATTCGGAACTTTATCTTGCACATTTATTGCATGTTTCTTAATTCAGCACAGGAAGAACTTTAACTAGGACTTCTCAGCAGTATTGCATTTGAAAATCTAATGTGTCATAGAATTTCTGACATGCGTATACCCGTGTCTTCTTCAGAGGAAGTTGATATCAGTGAAGATAAGGAGGATGGTATGAAAACAGACATGGATGAGTTGAGTGAAGAGAGCAGCTCTGAAGGAGAACATGATGAAGAAGGAGAAAGTGATGCTATGACAACTGATTTTGGTGCTGAGGATGAACAATATGATGAAAATATCGACTTTGCAGAGGAGGAAGAGGCATTGAAGAAAGTGAAGGGTGAGTAATGCATTGAAAAGCAGAAACTAGTTATTTGTACTCTTATAGCAATAACTATTTGACTGACACAGAGTAATATAATTGATCATTTATCAGATCTGTATGTAGGCTGTAAGGATTAGTGTATTATGTAACTGCATGAAGGGTACTTGTTTCTTCCATTTTCAGAAGCACAAATGGACAAGCTCTTTCCTGATGAGCGAGACACTCCAGAAGGTACGGCAGCAAGAATCCGCTTTCAGAAATATCGTGGTCTTAAGTCATTTAGAACATCACCATGGGATCCCAAAGAAAATCTTCCGAGTGATTATGCAAGAATATTCCAGTTTAAGAACTTCGATCGCACATGTAAAAGGATCACGAAGGAGGAAAATAAGGAAGGAGCTTTGGTGTGTATTTTGAATGAAATAAGCATGAACTCAACTGTAATGACTTATGCATAGTTCTTATGTCACTTCTTTCACGTTTTCAGTTAGGTTAAATCCTTGGAAACTTTGTCATGTTCAAATATATTTTGAGGATGTTTATTGTAAATTTATGGTTTTGATGTGAGGGTAAGTATAAGTAAGTTACAAATGGAAATAGAACTTAAACAAGTAAGAGTACTGATTTGAAAAATGCTTTTATTTCTCAACATAATCTCCCTGTACTTTGAGGCACTTGTCCCATCGTTTCATAAGCCCCTGAAAACTAGTAGGATAAAATTCTTTGGGCTGCTGTCGGAACTAGGCGTGTTTACATGGCATGGCCTACCTAGTAATGCATGACAGGTTAGGTTTTCACATAGTCTGTGCATGATGGGTGCTGCGCATTCTGACCCCACAACACAAAATACAAAGAATGGGTCTGGCATTACAGCATCTCAATCACTACCACCATGGACACAATATGCTAGCCCGAATTATCACAGGTGATGAGTCTTGGATTCACCATTACCAGCCCGAGACAAAGCGTGCATCAATGCAGTGGAAACATCCTGCGTCACCTCCCAAAAAAAAAGTTTAAGGCGACACCATTCTCCAGGAAAGTGATGCTGTAGAAAGCTGTAGAAAGGGAAGTCACCCCCCCCCCCCNCGTGAAGCTGACTGACTATTCACCTCAAACTAGTGCCGAGATACACCTTGATGGTGTAGTGCTTAATTAGTTAAGCACAGGGACAGCTTTACCTTACCTTTACCAAGCATTTTCTTGCAGTACTGGCGCTTGTATTTTGAACTTACGTACTTCATGAAATGTACAGACTCCAATGTGTGCTGATCATATATGTTACAAAAGTGTTATTGTTTTATCAATTAAATTGGAGTAAACAATATCGAGCAGATGTAGAACGGCACTTTTGTTTCCTTTACCATTTCAGTGTTACAGTCATTAAAATATGTTTAAAAAATCAACTCTCGTGGAGCGCACTTTCCTAGAGGCCACCTTGGTGTAATAGTGACACTGTACATCATAGAAAGTACTTATGTCCTTATTTGTTGGCTCACAGTGCATGTGCACAGTGCACAGTACAATGAATGTAATAGTCTTAGTTAATAATGTTAATTTTAGCATGTAAGTGGTGCAACCGCTCACTGTCCCTTTATTTTCTGATGTTGATTGGGTTCCGGTGGCAATGAAAGTCTTCCTCAGGATCGTTTACGGGTCTTGGATTATGAGACAAAGGGTAATGATAATGCGACTGCACACATTACAATTGCTTACTGGTTTAATATATTATTTGCAGAACACGTCTATCCGTCGGAATGACCAAACTAGAAGTCCTCCTTGAAGCTCGGACTATATCCTTGAGTTTGGGGACATTAATTCTCCCACCCTCGCAGATATACTCCATCATCGCTTCCCATTCGATCATTCAAACGGAAGGCGGGTGTTACAACTTTGAATCCTCCAATACCATTTTACAATTATATCTTCGAAGCCGCTGGTCCAGCGATATTCCCAACGATTTCTGAGACCTCGCTGGACTGCAGCTGCGAAGTGTAATATTTCAAACGATGAGCGGCATCCTTTGCTTGTATATGTATATTTATTTTGGTTTCACGTAACAACTGACACTATGGCACCACTATTCCGTGCTGCAGGGATATGAGTGTCAGCTGTTTATACTCCGCTTACACCAAGTCTTATTCTTAAAATTCCAATTTAATCACTAGCTTAAATTGGACGACTTCAGTGGTATGGATACATGCTAATGATGGTGCAGATGTGAACCTACAGTAGTAAGAACACAGTTTCTAAATCCATAGACTGAATAACTTTTTTACTATTAAGTGCAACCATAATCACAGAAAATATTACCATTCAACGTTTGTTGTACTTGGTACCATGTTCTGATACATGGTAAAAATTATTTGTGTAGGAGTAAGTCTGTATGTATTATTATGTAGTATTCATGTTCTCTGTGAAATGGAATGATACATAATGGTTTGAAACTTTCAAGGGAACAGCATATGAAGAACTTACTCAGGCCATCAACTATGTCAGTTTAGAGTAGTTAATGTCAGTGTCTGACTGCAGAGATTGTGCTTTTCTTCATCAACAGGTTTTGATGTGATAGATGTTGTTTTTGTGCATTATATTTATATACAGAGCTGTTTGTTCCGAACCAGCTCTATAGGGAATGGTGGGAGGAGCCAGATGGGGAACAGTATCAGTTATCTGAATTCATGTTGCTAGTCATTGGTTCTTCCTTATGTTTTTTTTTTTTAATTTCCTCATGTTTTGTTTTTGTGGCTGTAATCTGTTCCATGTACTGACTAAAAACATAAAGAAACATATGAAGGAGCTTCGAAAACATGTGGAAGGAATAGCGACTGGTAGCATGAATTCATTTAATTGGCGAACTGTTCTCTGTAGAGTCCATACTAGGCTAGTAGATCACTGACCATCTGACTCTTCCCACTTTCCTCCATGCAGCCTGGGCTTGTATGAAAGAAACCTTTGTGTGCCAATATAGCGTGCAAACACAACACTCGTCACATCAGCCCGTTATAATGGAGACAGACAGTCTCAAATGTTAAAGACACCAGTTCCACATTAACATGGCTGATTGCCCAAAAAGATTTCACTGCATGGGATGATAACAGTTGATGTGTTTAAAATTATGTGTGTTAATAAAACAGGCTCCATAAAAAAGAACTTTGTATAGTGGTGGCGATTTTCGTAAAATTGTTCATTCAGTTTTAATCTTGTAATGTGTGTCTAGCAAGAGCATATTAATAGGACTGATTGAAGTATTATGGTTAGTTGATTATGTGACACAAAATATGTAACTTACAGACAGCTACATATTAGTGTTTAGTTCATAATTTATTGACCACATCTGTCAGATCTGTTCATTTGTAGTCAGTATATCGAGTGTAATAAATTCTTTAAGAATTTATGTGCAGTTACATAACTCAGTTGATTATGGCACTTCTCATTCTTGAATAATGCTTTTAATTATTCAAGCCATGTTTTGAAGTGAAAACATAACTACAGTTGCTCATATATATAACAATAGTGGTTCATTTTAATATCTCTTAATCTGAGTGCCTTACATCTTTTGAGATTTAAGAGTTCTGTAGGAATATACATTCATCATGGAAGGTTATTTCTTAAAATCTATATATTTTCCATGACCACATATACAGGGTATCCCAGGAGGAATGTACCAGACTTCGGGAGTCTGTTCCTTATGTTAAAGTATGCCTATATAACCCAAAACACCTATGTCCAAAGTGGAACGGTTAACGGAGATAATGGTCAGAGAAGTGTGAAACTTTGACAGGTGTTACACACTTGTTGATTACCAAATACATATTAAAATTGGCAGGAATATGTAGTTTCTGCAATGTTAATAATGTACGTAACATCAAACTAACTTGTGAGTGACATGAAGCCATTAAATTGAACTACAAAAAAACTTGCATGCCATGTCATATTTGTCAGTAGGTTTCCAAGCACTATACATGACACATGAATGGCAAGCGCTGATGTAACATGCCATGCAACGAGACCACCAAGGATTCATCTAAGTAGTGTCTCACGTGCTGAGTGTAATGTGGGGGAGCCACATCGTGTTGGAAGTAAATTTGGCTCCTTATCGTTAACGGGATGTCTTCCAACAAACATGGTTACTCATTCCTCAGGAAGGCTTCATATGTGTTTCCAGTTAAATTGTTGTGAAACACAAAAGGCCCAATCAGCCTGTTCCCAAGCGCACCACACCGTACATTCACAGAAAATCTCTTTTGGAATTTCATTACCATTATCTCATGTGGATTATTATGGGACCACGTATGCACACTTCATAAATTATTTACACCGTCCCTGGGCAAAAGACACCTCGTCACTGAATAAAATGATGCTTAACACTTTGGGTTGAGCTTTTATCCAGTGGCACAAATCCATATGCTGAGCATGGTCACCTGGTTCCAGATGTTGTACCGTTTGATCATGGTAAGGATACAAATCTTCATCATGAAAAGTTCGCCACACCTGCATACGTGATACGCCTATGTGAGAGGCCATTCAACGAGTGGACTGACATAGACTTCTCTGCACCATCTCAAGAATGTTCTCTCATGTGTTTCTCATTCATACATCCTCCCTTTCAGAGTGCACAGAAACACTCGGAAGAGAACCAGTATCACGCAATGTCTGGTGAATTCGCGTAAATACACTTTGAGATGGAATCTTTGATCCAGAAAATGCCTTTGGTATTCTTCAACATCAGCACGTGCATTGCCACTGCGGAATCCATACACAAAATCCATATCACAATATTCCACATGTGAAAACACAAAAGGCATTTCAGCAACTCCGCACAACTAATTTACCAACCATTCACAATGCGGCCGCAATGTACCCTGAAGACAGCACATAAGGTTACAGCTAGTGTGAATCACCACACTCAAGGACAAGCATAGATAAAGACTTGTCAGCTGACAGGTATCGTGCGTGGACCCACCAGAAGACCACACTTTTCTTGGGCCTTTATCTCCGTAACTGTTCAACTTTGGACATAGGTGTTTTGGGTTATATCGGCATACTTAAACATAAGGAACACCCTCCAAAAGTCTGGCACATTCCTCCTGGGACACCTTGTGTAATTATACTACTACTGTTGAACTCTGTATGTACTCTTTTTTTTCTTTGCAGCCTGGTTCATATGTCACGATTCATGTTATTGGAGTTCCACAGTATTTCTTAAAATCTCGTCGACCATATCAAACAATTGTTCTCTTTGGACTGTTGCCACACGAACAGAAAATGTCTCTTCTCAACTTCGTTATTAAGCGACCAAAGGTTAACGGATATAACCAGAAGATAATCGAATCAAACGAGGAATTCGTCTTTCACTGTGGCTACAGAAGATTTAAAGCTAGGCCTATTTTTAGTCAACACACTAGTGGTACTAAACATAAAGTAAGTATTATCACTTTTAAAGTACTGGACCTTGCACAGTACTGTGCAGCACTTGTTTTATATCATTTTGCTCTTGGTAGAATAGTCCCAGATACTGATCTTATAGTGTGTACATCTGAAATGAAGTATCACAATTTATTCTATAAATTAATTGCATCACTGTAGTGATGATACATATGATGGGGTACCCAAAAGAAACCGAACTAATTTTTTTGTGGGCAGAGCTTTTGTCATACCGCGTTTTGCCACTATGAGCGCATAGACCTAACATTCCTGAGTCGATAAGCCGACTACCGTTGCTTCAGAAGGTAAGGACTAGTTTCGGCAGAGTTTATAGTGACAACTGTTTTGTGGGATCGTCATTTTTGCAATGGCTGATTTTTGTGAACAGCGTGCGGCAGTGAAATTCTTTTTGCTCGGGAAAAGTGGAACAGAAACTCTTGAAATGTTAAAAACGGCATACAAGGATGATGCTATGGGGAAAACTCAAGTGTTTGAGTGATTTTCCTGTTTCAAAAATGATGAAATGTCAATTGATGACAAACCTCGTTCTGGTCGTCCTTCCACGGCCCGAACACATGAAAATGTTGAAAAAATTCGTGAAATCATCAAGGAAGATCGACGACGGACCCTTGAAGAAATTATGGAGCTGTCGGGAGTGACTTGGAGCTCAGCAGCCAGATTTGTGGCAGTCGGGTGACTGGTTTTTCCATCATGACAATGCCCCTGCTCACACAGCCCTGTCTGTATGACAATTCTTGACCAAAAATGGTATGACCCCTGTTCCTCACCCTCCATGCTCACCCGACCTTGCCCCGTGCGACTTTTTTGTTTCCTCGAAAGAAAAGAGACATGAAAAGAAAAAACGACGGAGGCGCTGTCAAGCATCTCAAAAGATGAATTTAGACAGTGTTTTGAAAAATGGAATAAAAGACTAGACAAGTGTATTAGTGTAAGTGGAGAGTACTTTGAAGGGGATTGTAGGTTTGTGCTAAAAATTTGAATAAGTAAGTTTAAAAAAAATCAGTTCGGTTTCTTTTGGATGCCCCCTCGTATAAGGTGCAATAAATCAAATCATCCTATCTAAAACTTTTAAGTCGCTCAAACGCATGACAGTATATTTGTATGAAGCATACTGCTGCCATTTTGGAGTGCATTTACAAACATTTGTAGTAGATTTTAATTGAATTTCTGGATAGCTTGTTTCACCTGATCACAAACACCATAAACACCTTGAACTTAGACATTAAAATATCTGTTATTTTGGATGAAGGAAAGTCTGAATGAAATAACACACAAACAGGCATAAGTTCTGAAATATCAGCTGCACTTTGTATCTGTCTCTTTCATATATTGGGGTCTGTACTGTTGCATGCTTGCCAGCACTAAATGTAAATGGTTAGCAGCCCTTCAGATTTTGATAAAGGACTCTCTTTAATCATTTTTTCTTCAGCATTTACATGGTACACGTTTGGGAAACAAGTTTTATCTTGAGTAAAACTTATAGGTTCTTTGTTCATGTTACCTGTGATAGGTCACCAAGAAAGCTTTGTATCAAGTTTGCTGTCCCTGTGGGCATTTTGTCAAGTTTTAACAATATTTTATAGCCACTTGGTGAGGTATTGTCTGCACACCTTTCACTAACCAGCACTGCATTGAGGCTGAACCAAGCAGAACTGAACTTATATAAACATGCAAGAAAGTCAACTCTGGGAGAAGACATACTTAAATGTTTATGTGCCTGACTGCTCTTGTGGTATGATAATACTTGTTAGTGAAGCACACCTGTTACATACAGTCAACTCTCTATTATCCGGGCTAATGGTGGGGATGGAAGTCACGGTTAATCGAAAACCCGGTTAAGCCAAATTTTATTATACGGGCTGGACGACTGTGAAGGGTCGGAGTTCGAGTCCCGGTAGGGTCAAGAATTTTAACTTCTCCAAATCGTCCAGACCGGCTCTGGGGTCCATCCAACCTCCTATCCAATGGGTACCGGGGGCTCTTTCCCCGGGGGTAAAGCGGCCGGGGCGTGAAGCTGACCACTCACCTCCAACTAGTGCCGAGGTCAAGAAAATTTGGATCTATACATCCACTCCCCCACACGCCTTAATGGCGTAGGGCTTAATTCGTTGAGCAGAGGAACAACTTTACCTTTTACCTTTTAATACCTTCATAATACTATAGACCTACCTGTATTTAAATTTATTCATCCTCATTTCTATGTCATCTCATGGCCTATTTAATACTTTCTTTACATTACACTCAGTATGAATTAGTTATTTCAATCACTGTTCAACAACATCCAGCACTTTTTACGGTCACACTTAACACTTAAAATAATTTAATACTGTCTTTTGCTTTTTCGCGGCATTTTCCTTTTTACGGATATCCGTACGAAGCCTACGTAATATTAGCTTGTCACTTAATAAACTGTCCTCTTCACTCTCAAGATAGTCTAGTAAGGATTCCAAATGATTAAGCGCAGCACCATGTGATACTTTCTTACTGGCAACACTGTCCACCTCTTCCTCATTCTCACTTTCTTCCCGCTCTTCTGGCTGCACCCCCATTGAAGTTACGATTTCGTCACTGCTTAACATTTCGAAGCCCGGTTCACACGAGTCACAGTTAAACCACTCTCTTATATTTTCCTCGTTGACTTCTTCACCACCATGAACTTGGTTAGCCACTTTTGTCAATTTTATGGCTATCTCATTTTCACTGAATCCAGTGAATCCATGGATTTCGTCATCTTCATTAGTGATGAAAGGCATCAGTTTCTTCCATGAATTTTTCAATACAGATGGCTTTACTGTATCCCACGCTGTTGAAATCTCGTATATGGCATCTAATACTGAAAAGGACTTCCAGAAACACGTCAGATCATTGCCTTCATCGATGTACTTTTGTAGCAAATTTGATCTGTAGATTCTCTTCATACTTGAGATAACTCCTTGATCCATTGGTTGGATAAGTGCGGTAACATTAGCGGGAAAATATTTCACAAAAATATTTCCATCATCTGACCTCAGGAGACTTTCGTTAGGATGTGAGGGCGCATTGTCAATGAGGAGCACAGCTTTCTCAGGTAGGCCTTGGGATTTTAGATGGTCACGAACTTGAGGCACGAATTTAAAATCAAACCATTCTTTAAATATCGCTCTATTCATCCAAGCTACTTTCTGGTTAAAATAATGGATAGGCAGACTTGAAGCTACTGTTCCTTTAAAAGAGCGTGGTCTTTTCGCTTTGCCGATAACTACTGGTATTAGTTTGTGTGTTCCTGATGCATTAGAACAGCACAAGACTGTCAATCTCTCCTTACTGGATTTGTGACCTGGAGCCTGTCTTTCATTTTGAAATGCCAATGTTCTGGTTGGCAAGCATTTCCAATAAAGACCCGTTTCATCGGCATTATAGATTTGTTCTGGCAGCAGATTTTCACTTTTCACAAAACTATCAAAATTGGTGCAAAATTGATCTGATGCTGACAAGTCCCCTGACAATTTCTCACCTTGAATACTGATTTCTCGTATTCCATGACGCTGCTTGAAACGTGTTAGCCAACCGGAAGAAGCGTCAAAACTCCCTTCTAGTTCAAGTGCTTCGAAAAAATATTTAGCTTGTTTAGCACAAACTGGTCCTGTTATTGTTGTTCCCTGTGCCCTTAGTTGATTAAACCAGGTCAGCATCGCTTTGTCGAGATCATCGTATGTTGATTTCTTCATGGTTTTTCTCTTCTTCATTCCGCTTGAATTAGAAGACGAAGCAAAGGAAATTAACTCATTCTTTTGTTTTTTCAAATCACGAACAGTTTGTTCTCCAATACCGTATTGCATTGCTAATTGTTTAACTACAGCTCCTTTTTCCAGCTGATTGATAATTTCAAGTTTCTGTTGAATACTTAACACAACACGCTTCCTTTTAAACCCCGACATTTTGCTAACGCACTTGAAGATCTATATTAAGAAACTGATACACTTACTTTCACAATGCACTCTCACACTGAGATGGTACCGTTAAATAACCTGGGGCGGTGTATTTGTCCTTGAAACTTTCCAAAAATTCTTGCATTCTTTCACCCCCACCCTAGAACATTGTGTTCGCATAACGGGACGAAATAATGCAGAGCTCGGTTCACACTAGTGCGAAAATAGTGTTAAACTCACCATGTGAAACAAAAGTGAATGAATATTAAACAACATATAAACTTAAAAAAAAAAGCCCCGGTTAAGCCGCAAACCGGTTAATCCGCCCCCGGATAATCGAGAGTTGACTGTAGTTTTGAGCGGTTGCAGAAGTAATGTGAGGGTCTTAAGCTGATGCAAGTAGAAGTTCCCATTTTTTAACTTATTTCTTTTTGTAAAATCAACCATATTGAAGTAATTATGACAATTTGGAGAATATATATTCCCAATGATCAAGCTCCTTGAGTATGCAAACTGTGAGTGGATGTGACATTATATATGTTCTCTGTTATTTACTACTTTTGAGTGATATGATGGTCACTTCATGCATTGAACAGTTGCCAAACTGAAACAGCTGTGGTCTTGTATCACATTCTGTACTATAGAGATATGAGCTGTGATTGCTTAGCAAGCTGATCAGAAACAGAGAAATGCATCTCACTATAAGAGAAATTGTTACTAATCCAAACTGTTGTCATTTAAACATGGACATATTCAAGTTATTGGAAGGTTAGGCGCTGGAAGTGCAAAGGATAGCAAAATTTGAATTCCATCATTTTCTTTGTAGAGCTGATGCTAATGTTTAATTTTAAATGTTGTGATTTCATTGGCCTTCATATATCTTATACTTTAGGAGATTCTGTAAAAGCTTAACTGTTTTCTGTGACTTACATTGATAACTAAAAGGCAGTAAAAATGTCTGTATATAGGTCTACCATATAGTTTCCTCTCCTTTTTCAGGAACTTTGTCATTTACTTGTCTGTGCTTTGACACTTACTGATTTGGGTAAATCTTGCTGTTCTTATGAGAGGAGGACAGATAATAGTGGTTACCAAACATGCCAGTTTGTAGAAGTACATGTTTTAGTAATTAATGATGTTTCTTTTTCTGGTCCTCAGTTTATCGATTAAACTTTGCCATTTAGGAAGAAGTCCAACATGAAATGTTCTTTTAACACATTGAGGACCGGAAATTTAAATATTTAAATCACCCTGGGGACCGGCATTTTTAAACCCAGTACCCTAACTTGTGCACTCTTCACTTCAAAAATTAATATAAAATCTCCTAATTAATTTTATATACTAAAATTTTTGGAGAACACTTACCAATGCTTCTAGAAGTGCTTGAGAGTGTGATATTTCTGGAAACATCCCCCTTTGTAAAGTGGAATTACACAGAACTTTCAAATGTAGGCAGTCATGCTGCTTTTCTTGTGAACTGCGCAAACATGGCATTGCCTAGAAGGATGCTTCCCCTTGGAATGTTTACTTTCACTACTCTCACAAGGCACATGTCAGATAGATGGGTCATCGGAGAACAAGTCATATTTCTTTTTCTCCGAGAGAGCGCTTGGTCTTCAAACGCTTCTGTCCTTGATTTATATTGCACCAACTCCCTGCCTGGTACATAACAGCTTGAAGGGTTAAAGATCATTTTCCTTTGGAGGGGGAACCAAAACAGCGAGGTCAAGTTACTGCCTACTAAGCAAACATTCCGGAGTAATATTATGCAGTAGTCATTCATTTGGGTGGTGCCAGAGCAAGGTATAGTGTGTTACAACCTAACTTGTCCTAAAATCATGATATGATGCGACCGGTCTGCCACGTTTAAAAGCCAAAAGCATGATATCATGCGACCGGTCCTCAATTTGTTAAAGTTGTGTTTTAGTTTTTCTTATCACTTATGTCATACCCTTCAGTTTCACTAATTCCTGTAGCCAGAGCTTTATCATACAGCTTAATTTGCTGAGTCAAGAAAATCAAAAGGGGAGTTATGTATGTACAGCATTTCACAGCCAAGAATGACAGAGCAGATTAGTTTAGCAGTAATGCTCTGGATATGAATTCAGAATCAGTTTGAATTTCAACTGGCTGTCTTGGCTGAGATTCCCCCCCCCCCCAGNCAAATCTTCCACATCCTACTGCTTAACACTGTGTAGTATAAGTACTAAAAGTGTTGTAAAATAACTCACAGGAGAGAATGGCCACATATGGACTTAACCAAATTTATGTATACTTTGGTGAATGTGGTACTATTTCCTTGTTAAAATTTGGTCATGTTTATTTTCAGTATGAGCGGTTCTTCCAATCCGATGCGACTGTAGTAGCAAGTGTTTTTGCTCCAATTATGTTCCCACCAGCTCCTGTGTTAGTGTGCAAGGAGATGAGATATGGAATGCAGGTAATTTTTAGCCTACTTTATTTTCCATGGCATCACAGACAGGCAAATCTAGGTGTTGGGATGCCAAGGGAGCCATTTTCGTCGTGGCTGCTACCTACCTGTCATACATCCTTTCTCAGTGTAAAGTAGATTCAGAGATCAGAGTCTTCCAAGGCAATTAATATTAAAATGCCAATTTCTCACCTCATAACATTTAAACTTGTTCAAGGAAATCCCTACAGGACATAAGTTCAGTTTATGTACAAAAAGCTCTTGATGGAATTGCTGGGAAGGTCAGAAACACACTTGTAGTTAAACTGCTTAATTAGAATCACAAGTATGTTTCTGAACTTCCCAGCAATTCCATCAAGATCCCCTTTAAGGCAAAACTCCTCAGTTCTCATCTCATTCATGTCAGGAGACATTTGTTTCTCAGTTTGTCTCAGGGAATTGCAACATTGACTCCATGGACATCATGTCAGACAAGGATATTCAGTTATGCCTTGCTAACCAGTATAAGTTGCTTAGGAAGAAGGATGATAACCCATCTCCAGTTTGAACCATGTTTCTAGCCTGTGAAGTCCCATCTGTCACAAACCTTGTTGGGTATGAGAAGTCATGTTTGCAAGCACATTTCTAACCGTATGTGGTATTTCAAGAATATTCAGGTTTGCCGATTGGTAAGTGGATTTAATGTATAGTGGGGTTAAATTAATAGATGACAGCAGAAAGGTTACATAAAACAGGTTATTACAAAGAAACTGAATGCTTGATGAAGTGTACAAACATAATTTTTCTACCTGAGGTTATGGTAGCTATGACTGACTTACAATGCTTTTTATGTCTTTCCTATCTTAAGTCACAATGTGAAGTGCCATCAGACGTTGACTTAGAAATCAGCTTGGTTTGACAGCCCATGCCTCATATGCACAAACAGGGGGGGTTCTGTTCTGTTCACATTTGGGGGACCACATAGTAATGTGTTTAGTGTACGTGAGCTGGCTGGACAGCACAAGTTTGTCCATAAATTTGAAAGAATATTTAAAATTCCTTCTTGCTGTGTTATGTAACTACTCATTGCGCATGCATATCATATGTTATTATAATGTACTTGCCTCTAGCTCTACATATGCAGCAATACCAAGAAGGCATTTGGGGGACTGGAGGTACAACTCCACCATTCCTAACCTTGGCACTAGATGGAGGCAAGTGGTCAGCCTCATGCACCTGCTGCTTCACCCCTGGGGATAGAGTGCCTAGTGCCTGTAGGATAGGAGTGTGGGTGGGTTACATAGCTGGTCTGGACTCTGTGGAGAAGAGAAAAATCTCTTACCCCTTCCAGGAATTGAACCTGTTATCCAGCCCATAGTCTCATAGCTATACATGCCTATGTTCTGATAGTAATTGTATTTTCATTTTCTCTAGGAACTAGTTGCAACAGGACGTCTGCTGTCTGTGAATCCAGACCGCGTTGTTTTAAAGCGTGTCGTACTGTCAGGGTATCCATTTAAAATTCTGAAAAATTCTGCAGTTGTCAGATTCATGTTCTTCAACCGTGAGGACATTAAATGGTTTATGCCAGTGGAACTGAGAACAAAATACGGGAGAAGGGGACATATTAAAGAACCCTTAGGTGAGTATTATCACATATCTATAGAAGTATATATTTTATTCACACAGTAGATATTGAGCGATTAATTAGAATATTTGAGTAAAACCTGTGTAGATTTATAGAACACATAAGCACAAATTTTGTTTGTGTATAACATTCACAGGTTAATTAAATTTGCTAAAAATTGTCGATTGAAATTCAACAGGAAATCTGTCTCAATATAGGTGAACTTTGCATGAACATCTTTTTTGCCCCATGGCATATATTGTAAACTTTGCAGTTTTCTTGTCTTTAGTGAAACACGACAAAAAATACTCTTTAAGAAAGCAGTCTTCTGGGATGTGGCACCATGTAGATATTGTGTTAACCAACGTTTTGGAGGAACGTATCACCTCCATCTTCAGGGTAGAAGACAAGAAATTCGCGAGCGAACCAGCATGAGCAGGTGCAACAGATTTCTTCTTGTCTTCTACCCTGAAGGTGGAGGAGATACGATCCTCTCAAACATAGGTTAACACAATATCTACACAGTGCCACATCCCAGAAGACTGCTTTCTTCATAGTCACTGCCGTGAAAACCTCAAGTCTTACAAAAAATACTCTTGTTTTCGTCCACCTTTGACTTTGATTTAGAATGTAAAATTCATACTCTAGAGCATTTAATGGCAGATACTCAAACTCTGCAACAGTCATGGGAAAGATGAGACATTTTATCCTCCTTCACTTACCATTTTGACTTAGAATTACCCATGATGTAGCTATCTTAACTCCATGAGGCAGAGTCCATAAGAAGCTACTAGTTGCTGAGCTAGTCAAGAAATTCTATGCCTTTTATGGAATCTGAAGGTTCAGTACCATGTTCACAAGAGACTTTTCACTGGTCCATATTACTGTTTACTATGACACAAATCTGGAAGAGACACATTTTTGAAGAATTGAAAATGCATATAGTTATCCAGTCACACTTACATTATATAATAACCTTGATTTATATTCTCTTACATGTTATGTGTAAGCATGTTAACAAGATATGTTGCTGTTGCCAGCCTGAGCCCTGCTGCTCACTGCTTATTTAAGTGTAGTGTTCACTGTCACCCATTTTGTTGGAGTCCAATAAATTTCAATTTGTAGTGATATTTAGAAATGCAATGGAGGTCCATTGACTTAATTTTCCTGTTATGACCAGGGCCCGGATTTTGATGACCTGAAAATATTTATAAAATGACGGAACAAATCCAGAAAAATGACCTAAAATATGACCCAAAAATGTAATATGCTGGGCCCGGATTTTGATGACCTGAAAATATTAAAAAAATGACTGAAAAAATCCAAAAAAATAACCTAAAGGAGAAAAGAAAGAACACTTCCCTTCCATGTTATTCACATTTCAGAAAACATATGAAGAAAAATTCCCTAAAATGGCCAAAAATGACAAGAAATACCCTTAAAAGTTCAAAAAATTACCCCCAAAATGGAAAAATGACCTTAAACCTAAAAATGTAAAAAAATGACAAAAAATTGCATATAAAATTTACATTTCTGTAACCAGCAGCTCATATCCAAGATTTATATATTTAAGATCATTGCATAGGATACAAGGAAAAAAATATGACATGTCATCAAAATCTGGGCCCTGGTTATGATGTGTGGCAGTCAAGGCACACATTGTGCTATTTTTCAACATAATTCAGTTATTAAGGTATTTGTCCAACTGTGAAATGAGATTATCCATTTTCTTATGCTGTACGTGTCTGGCTCAACACCAGTAGCTAGTGACGCACTTTAAGTTGAATGTCGGCATCTGTGTTGAAGCGCCTTTCAGAAAAGTGGGTATTTTAATGGCCTAGATTGATGGTGATCAAAGCAGCACCTTTCTGGAAGACTCTTCAACACACGTGTGGGCTCTCAAGTGTGTTGTTGATTATTGGGGTTGAACTGAGGCTTTTACTGCATGGGTACAGATAATCTCAGATGTGACAGATGTCTTAATAGGCAAGGTGATTCTGTTGAAAGACAGTACAAGTATGTGCCTTGATTTCTTTGTAATGTTATAATGGTATGATTAAAAGTCTTCTAAAATAAAATGATCTTACCCTTTTAGATCTCTCTTGTATTTAGCTTACTGTGGTATATTATTTGAAGCGTTCACATTGACAATATGTAGTGAAGTCTCGGACAATCAACCTCTTAAAAAAATAGTTAGTACAAGAGGCTACATGTGCTTCTTAGTGAAGGATGCTATTCAGATCTGGCGACATGCTGACAACATCAGCAGGGATTAAGGATACAGTGTAAACCATCATGATACCCAGCCACCAGCATGCCTAAACAAGGGAGGACCATCAAGAAAGCATAATGAAGGACCATTGACAGCTAGCATGCCAGAGGTTGATGAACATTGGTTGAGAAGATTGACTCCCTGATTCCACCCATTGTTCCCTCAGCAGTCACTGCTGGGACAGCTAAGAGCAGACAGTGTGACATAAATACAGTGTGTGGCCACACCGCTCATCTCACAGTCCCTGATGATGGAGTGAAGACAGTTTCTGAAATGTTGCATACTAACTGCATCTTTGCATGGTTGATCGACTGAGAATAATTCATTCCCTACACCATTAACTTACATACATTTCCCTTTATTCCAGGTACTCATGGTCATATGAAGTGTGTGTTTGATGGACAGCTGAAATCTCAAGATACAGTACTTATGCATCTATACGGTCGTGTATTTCCAGAGTGGAAATATGAACCATATGTAACCTCAACATCAACAATGTTTGGATGCTGAAGATTTTTAATGAGTAGAGTATGACAATATCTGATGATGTACAGACTTTATACTTGTGTTTGTAATAATGTAATGCTTTGTAACTAAGAATATATCAGAGAACAGAACATAATAAATCAGAGTGCTTGTTTCTGGTTGAGTCAGTGTATCTTTGGAATTCCTGTTTGACAGCTGCAGCTTACTTAACAGAATCCCAGTAATATTATACAAATTGTGTTACTAGTTACTAGTTAACAGTTTGCAATAAGGGGTAAAAGGTACAGTTTTCCCTGTGCTTAACTAGTTGAGCACTATACCGTGAAGGTGTATGGGGCAGTGTATGTACTGATCCATATTTTCTTGACCTCGGCATTAGCTGGAGGTGAGTGCAGTAAGAGGAATTGCAAGTAATAAGTCATTTATTCATTTGATCATATATTTTAATCCCTTTGAAACATATTGATTTTTTGTTTTTAAACAGTGATGATAAAACCTGAAAATGACAATATGAAAATGTTGACATCAGTACTTTGATTTCTAACAGTACCATTCTTAATTAATTGTAGTATCAAGAATTTATCAAGCTGTTAGTGAATGATCTTACAGTTCCGAAGAGACACTTCATCGTTAATATTAGGTACTTCAAAAGTTAAGAGATCTGTAGTTTCATTCCAGGTCTCTCTCAGCTTGATATGTTAACTCAGTAAAGACAAAAGAAATCCAGCTGGAAAAGAAAGTGCTTGTTAGTAAGTATCATAATGTGTTTTCTGTATTATATGTCAGAGGAAGTAGCTTTCTCTGAGACTGTGGGTAAGGGAAGAATGAAATGGAAAGGTAAAAAATTTTATTGAATCATATGTGTGTGGTTATTTGTTTTGTCAGCCTTTCAGCCAGTTTAAATCACTGTAATATGGTGCTTTAATGTGACATACCAAAAATTCAGACTTTCAAAGTTGCAGAAATATCTGATATCCATTACTGGGCAGTGTCATAACAAAACATGTATATCTGGAGCAATGAACACACCCACAACAGTGAAGGTGTTGTAGGAGGTGGCGTTGTCTAGCTTGTCTAGGCAGTCCGCAACAGTTCAATGTAAGTCAGTGAACCAGAGCCAGTGCTACAGTTGCTGAAGACAGAATGGATTCTGAGAGTCCATGCTGGGAAAACTTGTAATTTAGCAACAAGACCTGTGATGACGTCCAGACAATCCAAGTTAGTATAATCTAACAGGCGTTGAAACCCTTTAAGTACTTGAAACTTATGTAATATCATGTAGATAAAGAATAATCAGTGTCAACCCTGTTGCATAGTCAGTGACATGTGACACTAGTGTTAGAAATGGGATTGCTGGATTGTGGAATGTTAATTGTTGACCAGAAATGTATTTTTCATGTTATTTGGCATTAAGATACAAGGGATAAGGAAGGAGTTCAAAAAGCAACTGGCAGAAGATGAAGCCTGACAAGGGACGGAGGTGGCAAGAAGGTGCTCAACAAGGCCCTGAACTAGGCTCTGGAGCTCAAGGCAGTAACTGCCAGCAAAACTGTGAGTGGTAAATTACTCCATGAGAATGGTTGTGAGGGGTCAAGTGCTGCAGGACTGCACATCTTATATGCTTGCAGTGTGTAGGCCTTGGCTGCCTTAGGAGATTGCTGACAGAGGTGCCTCCAGAAGACTTGCTTGGGTGGAGGTTAACCAGGACCCAAGGAGCGAGTATGGGATCATGCAAGGAAGAAGGTACTGGTGTCATTACTTTTGCCTCCTCATGTTACACTTGGTGTGTCAACGGAAAGAAGTGACAGTAGGCAAAGACCATGGGTTGGGTGGAGGTCAAATCACAGATCAGGCCCCTTCATACTGGAGTATCAGTGTCAATAGCAAGGTCAGACAGGACAGCGTGATAGAGAACTGACCCAGCTCTAAACCCCACAGATCGCATCAGGAAGGATTCTCTCAATCTTGAAGGAGGCATTGGTAGAACCAACCCTAGTGCAGCACCCTCTGAGGACTAGGATGTTTGTCACCGAAATTGAACGAATTTGCAATGTATCTGTAAATTTGGGGTGCCACTTGCGGCATCTGGGTGAGGTAGAAATGCCATTATGACACTCCAGGGTGTGACCACATCTCTCCTCCACTTGAAGGGTAACAGTGAGATGGTACTGGCTCAGCATTGGAGAGATGTGATGGCATGGCTGGAATCCCACCCACAGAGCTACTATGTCCAGCAATGTCATTTCAGTCCCCAAGGAAGTTGCCTGTTAGGATGGCTGGAAACTGCCAAGGGTGAAACCACATTAATGTCCACCTTCTAATGGGCCATGTCAGGCAGAATGTATTGCACTGAGAAAGGAGCAGCTGGATGATGATGCCATGGGTCAGATTTTACAGGGAATGAAGGATGGACACCATCTGAAGCAGAAGGACAGTCTCATTGCAGCCCCACCTTTAAGAGTCAGTGCTGGTATGACACTTGGCACAATCAGTGATGGAGGTCTAAGATCTGCCAGGTGGTGGTGCCCTCTAGGAGCAAAGGTAATGTTAGTATGCACGGACGCTCTTCAGGACAAGCAACTGTAAGGAGGGAGCAATGTTACGTGATACCTAAATTGAAATCAGAAATGTCACACAGGTGTCAGTTGCTAGGCAACATCATGATAAAACATTTGCAGTAACTGACATGCCCACAGTAGTGGAGGTACCTTCAGAGAAGCATTGCCTGGGCAGTGTGCAAGAAACCAATGTAAGTTGGTGAACCAGAGCCAGCATGGCATCAGCAGTGACAGAATGCATTCAGGAGTATGTGATGAAAGAGCTTGCAACCTAGACCTGTGTCACCAGAGGTTATATGTAAGGACACTCTGTTGACTGTGAAACCCTGCAAATGCTCGTAAACTGTTGTAATCATTTGCAGATAAAGAATAATCAGTGACAAATAAATCTGCTCCCAACCCAAACCCTTTGTGTGGTCATTACTGTGTGACAGATCAAATAGCTAGAAAAGGAAGTGACTTGGGAGTCTTGAAGTAGATGGGTGAGTATGTGTAATATTAAAGTAAACTGAAGAAAGCAGGATTCAAAGGCTTAGAATAGGATCCAGTGATGTGATTTTGTGGGATGACTTAAGTCCAGGGAGTATTGTGGAAGGTACAGCACTTCCCAGCCCCATCGATCGAACAAGTCAGCCACAGCTTGACATTTCTGCATTTCTGTTAAATCATGCGGAACCTATCATGATGCAGTTTTTCTCATGCCCAGGCGTTCCTTCAGAATGTGAAGCACAGTCGTATGCGTTAATCCTGTCTCAGGCCAGCTCACGAATTGTATGGCGTCAATCACTCTCCAGTAACGCGGAAAGAGTATACACTTATTCACTGACACTAGGACGACCTGGCCAACGCATTTTGGTGTCCCTCGTTGAAGGCTTTTACCAACCTTGCCACTCCTGTAAGGCAATGCCCATTCCCCGCAAGCCTCTTGAAGACCTTGATGACACTGTTGTGCTGTACGACCTCTGGCACATTCAGTCTTTATCCAACTCCGTTGTTCCTGTTTCGAAAACATCGTCACAACACTACATTAGACCGCCAGCTAACAGGAAGCTCTGTTGTTCTTGTCACTACGCATGCACATGATGTGGGAAGGGAGAGTCCATTTGCTCTGAGGTAAGGTATGTATGTAACTAACGTGTGGTATGTATAAGCGACATTATTTGGTTCCGTTCCATGGCGTCCGTACAGCAGTGTTGCCACTATTAAAGTTCCAACCCCCATACAGTGTAGTAAATAATTTGTCACAGCGTGCTTATCCAGCCCCCTTTGGTGAGGGTAGTATGAGGTTCCTAAACACATACATCCAGTGAGATATCTCTTTCCTATTTACCATGGAACTCTGTATGATTGGATATGAATCTAGCGTACCACTGTATTTTTGTATCCTGAGAAGGCATCTTGTATGGGTTATATCCCAGAGAGACGGCCTGATCAGATGGTGGCAGCAAAACCTGTGACTAGGGGTTGGATTCCAGGCAGCTAAGCAGTGGTGNAAACTAATAAGTGGGATGGTGACATGCCTCTATGATGGGTTATATACCTAATTAAATTTCAGTACCATTTGAAGAGGTCAAGTGGAATTTTGTGCCTTCCTATGTTGAGAATGGAATTACCCTGTTCTGTCCATACCAGAGGTTCCCAAACTTGTATATGTTGAACCCCACCCTTCAGTATTCCGTATTGAGGGGGTGGGTTTCCCCATGCACTTAGACCGGTTACTGGTCCATTGTGCATCCCCCTTTTAATTTCTACTGTCTCCATATCCTACCGGTACTGGTGCTTACTATCAGCCCCTTTCTGCCAGCGAGGTTCCAACCTCTTACTGGCAGTGGTATATAATAGTTAGTCCCCTTCTGTCCGCGAGGTCGTCCCTCCTCTGGCAGGGGTTCCTAGTCCCTTTCTGCCAGCAAGGTTTCTACCCTCTACTTGGCAGTGGTATCTAATACTTTAGTCCCTTTCTGTCAGAGAGGTCCCCCCTCCTCTGGCAGTGGTACCTGATAGTTTCCCCATCTACCGGAGGAATTGGAAACTGCTTGGGCGGGAAACTTGGCCTAATTTTGCTCAGAGGTCTCCTAGAGACATGAGGTTCTTTTGCGTGGCGTAAATCTACGACACGGGACCCACGGCTTAAAGTCCCTCCCGGAGGACTTGTTCCCTGAATTTTTCCACCCTTAAAAATTCCACGACCTCCGCCGGGTTTGAACCCGCGTACTACGAGTCACGAGGTGGGAACGTTACCTCTAGACTACGGAGGCCGCTTTGCAACCCACCCTTAAAACATTTCATAAATTTTATGCCCTCATTCTAGAACAAGTGAAAACAGATTTGACAGAAAATTCAGCTATGAGTGTACTTTCTTTTTTTAAAATTATTACATATTGTAGCATGTAGAGCCGTTACTGGGTAACAGCCCCAAAACAAGCAGTGAACCTTTCCTGTCTAGACAACAGATTCTTAATAAGCAAGTATATGCAGACATTACTAGGTAACACTTTCGCAAACAGACACATTCCCACAGAAATAAGAGTACAAGGATGAATTGTGTTTTCTACTCGGTCCATGCCGAGATGTTATAACCAAGACACATTTAGAAGTTAGTTGTGAGAGAGTTATAAGGGAGCTAAGTCTTCTGATATATCAGCAATCTGTCAAGAATGAGAGATTTAATAGCAGTATATTTCAAAGCTGCTGAACATGTTTTTCAGCAATCATGTGTGGCTGCTGCTTCTGGGCTATTCTGTATGATGATAAAATGCTAACGGGGCTTTGGATGATACAGTTACAGTATTAACAAAACTTTTGTAGGATACAAAATTCATTTTCTGTGGAAGTATTTTTCAGGTTCCCCCCTCAGTTTCTGAATGTTTTGTTTCAAGGTGCCACTTCAGTTCATTTGGCTTCACATTGTCAGCTTCTAAGATACTGCAACGAAGCACACTGAGGTCATTCTTCACTGTTACAACACTCGTGAAACTGAAAGACAAATATAATTCATCATATGCAGTTTTGGTTTGGATATACAATTCCAACTACTATTTGCTGAGTGTTCGTTCTCAAGTTTCGTATTTATATTCATTAAAATTTATGCATTACTCTGTGGTTCAGAAAACACCACTTAGTTCTCTTTACTGTACTGTAACGATTACACGTAAATATTGGAAGTATGTTTTACGTCTCTACACTGTGGATCTAAATTGTTAACGCATCGTATTCTGTCACTGGAGTATTTCTATGCCTTAACACATCAAAGGCTATTAATGAAGAATATATACAAAATAAATTTCTTTACTTGCCGATTTACACACAATGAATATAATGGCTTCACAAGGTTTGTGAGAACAGTTGTATTACTCTAGACAGCTTTCCAGCTCTAGGAGGTTGAACTCTGTACTACTGCATGACAACTAAACCACTTGAACAAAGAGAAGGATTTTAAAAATGTTTGTGCATATTTCGCTTAAAATATTTTTTTCATACTGATGGCCCCCCTCCCCCAAGGAAACCACTTGGTCCATTTCCTACAAGGGTGGTATGCCCCACACATAGGGAACCTCTGATAAGCATACCACCTGTTTCAGGTTCAATGCGAGGCATGTCTGCAGACAGTTCACTATGGACATTCTGCAGTCAAAGCAGGCAACTATTCAAACCTGCCATACTGAGCAACACTCAACAGTTTCGTATACTATAGTTAACCCAGTATTTTAGGGTTTTCTGTGAGGGGTCATTTATATAGACAATTATAAATAATCACTGCAATGAGTATTATGTCAAACCACTGAAGTAAGTCATTGTAAATATTTTATGTTCCATCAGCCACAGGAACTTCTGGGTACAGGCTGGACGGTTGGAGTTCTATTTCCAGTATGGGCAAGGGAGTTTTATTTTCTCTACAGTGTCCAGATCAGCTCTGAGGTCCATTCAGTCACCCATTCAATGGGTACCGAGGGTTCTTTCCCTAGGGACAAGAGTGGCTGGGGCCTAAAGCTGACCACTCAGTTCCATCTAGTGCTGATGTCAAGAATAGTTGGGTTACACTTCTATCCCCCATACGTCTTCATGGAATTGTGTTTAATTTGAGCACAGGCACCATATTAAACCTTTTTAGTCAAAAGCGAAAATAATTTTAAAATACAGTATATTCTTTTGTAATCAAGCGCCATGAAAACATTGTATCGTAAATACGATTCAAGACACGGACCTAGTTCCAAGGGCTTTGGAAAACACAGATGGTTATTTGTGAAGACTATTTCTCTTTGCATCCATACTATCATACGATTTCTGAAAGGTGCAATGCAATGATATTGCTCGTGAAGTGCGGATAAATTCTGTTAATCGTGTACCAGCTAGAACTGTGAATTTATAATTGTGTATATGCTGCCCGTGCGGGAATGTTGAAACGCGAGCGGCGTGAAGAATGATATATATATATATATATATACCAAACATTTCCGCAGTTAATTCCCAAAAGACAATATAAATTCTTAAATACATATTTAGTGTTAGAAGCATATTTTTATGGTTACACTTCATTTATTAAAATATATTCCCCGCACTATAAATTCTTCGCTGTATGTTGGCCACACTGCATCTGTCCTGTGGATCCTGTGTGTGTATCCTGCAACATGGCAGCTTGCAGCGAATATATTAAATCCGAATTCCCGTTAATTGACGATGATTTATACCAGTATGTAGAAGGTACGTATTGTTATTATGAGTTTTAGCAGAATGGACATGAATGGCTTTGTATAAGCTTATTAATATTAATTATATTTATATTTATTAATTTTGGACCGTGCACAGTGGTTTTATTTTTTCATTGCCATTCAGCTTTAAGACATTTGTCTTGTGTTATTTTTAAGTAGTAATTCGTCGTAAATGCTTTTATAGGTATCTTAACTAGTGGAGCAGATGATTTTGAGGACAGTGGAGAGCTGTATGATGCTATTGGAGAAGTATTACACGAAGTTGCAGAAGAGAAATCAGAAATGGACATTAGGTGACAATCAGCTGTTTCTAATGTTTTGCTTCATTCTGTGTGTGTGGTATTAGAGGGACTTACATGTCAAATGCAGTACATATATTTTTAATTATAAAGTAAAGTGTTTAATGGGGCAAGGAAGTCAATTCTGTTGTGTATTTATAATTAGACCACAAAGGATGATAATCCTATCATACGATTCTGTAAAAGAATAGCTTTGGACATTTTAAAATAATAGGCCTCTTTCTCTACCCTTTACCTTATTTCTTTCTACTTTAACCTCCTCTTCCTGACCATCATTGTACTGAAGCATGACTCTTCCAGCATGAAATGTTACCATCATACTGATATTTCACATTCAGTAATTAGCTAGAAGATCACATGAAACCACCAGCATATCCCACTTTGAAAAGACATGTACGAAATAAGTCAGTGTGTATTTTATGCAGACTGAAATACTGCTATGAACATAATGCAGAGTTACACATTACAGAGTTATACATGAACTAAGTAAGATACAGTTGACTGAAGAACGTATGCAAATATACAAATCAAAATACACATAATGAAAGAAGTGTAACATGTCATGTGTGAAGGTCATGTATTTTTAGAATAATTAGTCCATTTCTTCAGCAAAAGAAAAAGGAAGTGAAGCTATCCCTATAACAGGCCATTGAAGCCCATATGGTTGTGAGACATTGAGGCTTCCATATTCTCTAAGACAGTCAGCTCACAGGTGGTGGTGGTGGTGAGGTTGTCAGTCTTACACACTGGTCGTACCTTTACCTGCAGGAGATTCCTGGTACTCTTTTCAGTTAAGAGACTGAGTCGACCCCAGGGTCTTAGTGCAGCTGGAAGGATTAGGTCAATTGAAAAATGCAATGACCTCCTCAGGAATCAAACTCATGACCTTTTGACTCAACGAACTATTCTACTGCATGTCCCCCCCCCCATTTATTCAGTTCATTATTTAAAATTCATTCCTCTTCAGGGGGTCATTTCCAAACTTTCATTCATACACATACATAAATGCCCAGTACACCTATGTGACTAATGTAAGGATTTTAATATACACCTCTTGACAAATTATGCAAGTCAGCAAATGTATTTCAGCTCATATCCAATTCCATCACAGCAGTGGACTGAAAACCTATGTACCTGAAAGTATGTCACTAGGACTTATTCTGCCAAGTCAGTTTTGTTCTCTTGAACCAGGTTCCCTTGTTCTTGAATAAATACTGTGTCCACCTTTCTCCATTTGTACACAAATGCAGCATAAATGTAGCATAAAATGTAGCAGATTTCATGTTATTACAGTCTGGGCACATCTTATACTGAGCAGATCTAGATTTTGACGTTGAGAACAGTATTTACTTTCTTACCATCACTTAAACAGATTTCCTGAACACTGAAAACAGAGACAGAAAAGGAAGAGTATGCACATCATCCATCAAGGAGGGCATACACATCGCATGAGAATGTTTACACAGTTGATACTATTCCTGAAATTCCACCAGTAGGGTTTTAATTGCAATTGTTATGCAAAGCTGGCTGAAAATATTTTATAAATATGGAGGAAGGAGAACAAGAATTGTTACTTCTAGAGCTAACAGTAAAACTTGTCAGAGATATCAACAAGTTAGCTGGAATAAACCTGATATGCTTGTAGTTTTTCTGGCTAAGCCTCAAAATACAGAAAGTACATATGGTGCTCAAATCTCCATTTATGTATTGTTTTGTGATTAAGTAGCTGACAAAACTTCAAATCATATTAGATGCATGGGATTTTCATGAAGATGTACTTTAGTAAAAAGGTAGGTGCATTCATGATTGACTGGGATTATGAATATGATGGTATGTATGTGAATCAAAAGAAAGAAAGATGAAATTAATTGAGGAACAGGATGGTAAAAAAAAAAGTGTGTTTCAATATGGTCAGAAAATTCTACTGTATTCAGATATGTTTTGGTATTTGCTATCATGTTTTATATTCAGCCCTATGGGGAGGTGATTGGAGCCATGATGTGAAAATAAATGAATGAATGAATTTATTTCTGTGGTAACAGTTATAGGATAATTATATTGAAATTTAGAACTAAGCTCAAAACAGGACTGTTTAACATTGATAGAAAAATGTGGCTGATTGCTGGTAAATAAATTCTTTGCTTTCTTAGGTAATACGTGCATTGGCGCATGATAAAAATGGATCTTTTCTAGGAATATCTGTGATAAACTACTTCATATAATGAAGCCTGAAAAAGGAAGCATGTTACATACTGGATCAGCAAAGGTTCTAAATGCACCAGTTCATCTAGCAAGCATGGCGGCCAACCTGGAAAATAATATTGAAGACATTAAAAGTATTTGGGTCATGTCAAGAGATGATGGACTAGTGAGTTAAATATTATTTTGTATGTTCAAAAATAGATGCAATTGAAACAACTGTTATGTTTGTATAAAGCAGTGCTATTTTATTATAATAGTTTTTTCATTTGAACATTTTTTATGTTTAAACTTTTTTTACAATAGAACTGTGTCATATCAACTTCTGAAATGGGTACTACAGCAGCAGCAGGAAGAGTAGTAGTATTAACAGTGTATTATTTTATTAATAGAAAGTTGATGCAAAGAAATTAGAGAAAGCAGAAGCAAAGTTGCAACAAAAACAAGAAAGGAGAAGTCAAGACTCTGCAAGTAGCCGTAACACTGTGTCAGCAATACGTCCTGAATCTGCTACAGCATCGCAAGTCACAAGCAAGAAGGAATCTAAGCTGGAAGATAAAGGAAACAACCGGGCACAGGATATTCGTATAGAAAACTTTGATGTGGCTTATGGAAACAGGTGCGTGCAAGGTTGTTATTTTGTGTTGTCTCCATTTTTTTGGATGTGGGTATGCAAATAGCTAAATTTTCAACATCAGACTTTTCCTTAAATGTGAGTCCAAACTATTCACTTGATATTAACCAGTAAAACCAGGAAAGAATTTTTTTTGTCATGTGAGATAAGTAGGTACAGTCAACTCTCGATTATCCGGGGGCGGATTAACCGGTTTGCGGCTTAACCGGGGCTTTTTTTTTTAAGTTTATATGTTGTTTAATATTCATTCACTTTTGTTTCACATGGTGAGTTGTAACACTATTTTCGCACTAGTGTGAACCGAGCTCTGCATTATTTCGTCCCGTTATGCGAACACAATGTTCTAGGGTGGGGGTGAAAGAATGCAAGAATTTTTGGAAAGTTTCAAGGACAAATACACCGCCCCAGGTTATTTAACGGTACCATCTCAGTGTGAGAGTGCATTGTGAAAGTAAGTATCAGTTTCTTAATATAGATCTTCAAGTGCGTTAGCAAAATGTCGGGGTTTAAAAGGAAGCNTATCCGTAAAAAGGAAAATGCCGCGAAAAAGCAAAAGACAGTATTAAATTATTTTAAGTGTTAAGTGTGACCGTAAAAAGTGCTGGATGTTGTTGAACAGTGATTGAAATAACTAATTCATACTGAGTGTAATGTAAAGAAAGTATTAAATAGGCCATGAGATGACATAGAAATGAGGATGAATAAATTTAAATACAGGTAGGTCTATAGTATTATGAAGGTATTAAAAGGTAAAAGGTAAAGTTGTTCCTCTGCTCAACGAATTAAGCCCTACGCCATTAAGGCGTGTGGGGGAGTGGATGTATAGATCCAAATTTTCTTGACCTCGGCACTAGTTGGAGGTGAGTGGTCAGCTTCACGCCCCGGCCGCTTTACCCCCGGGGAAAGAGCCCCCGGTACCCATTGGATAGGAGGTTGGATGGACCCCAGAGCCGGTCTGGACGATTTGGAGAAGTTAAAATTCTTGACCCTACCGGGACTCGAACTCCGACCCTTCACAGTCGTCCAGCCCGTATAATAAAATTTGGCTTAACCGGGTTTTCGATTAACCGTGACTTCCATCCCCACCATTAGCCCGGATAATCGAGAGTTGACTGTATCTGTTATGTTGTTGCAAGTAAAAGGAAACATTAGTAAATTACAATAAATGTTTTTTTTAATGTTACGAAAATATGCTCAAGCAGAATGGAATTTTTCAGGGGTAAGTGATGACTTTTGGTTTTCTTGGGGTGGAGTGGAACTGTAACTGAGTGTACAGTTCAAAAGTCCAGCTGTTTTCACGTCCATAGTGCTTTATATAATCATAGCTTATGTTTGAGTAGTGATAAAATTTTTGTATGTGACAGTGGATGGCATTTTGTAAATATATTGTTTTCAATTTGTCCACCAAGCCATTTGTTACCAGATGTGATAATATACCCATCTCTGGAGTATATTTTCAGCCCTGTTTAATGTAGTGGCAAGGTGCTGTTGTTTATGTCTTTTCATACATTTCTGTTTACTATAATTTTATTCATTCACCTCTTTCATCAGCATTATATTTTATTGCTTGGGTCAGTGTACCACTAAGCTGCTTCTATCTTCTAGGAATATTTTGAATTATGACATCACAATTCATCCTTTTAACCGTTTATTGTAAGGTCCTTTATCTGTGCTCATGGATGTGTGTATTTAATTTCAGTTTTTGGTGAATTCTGTTTAGTTATGCATAAAAATAAAAAAAGATAATTTTATATATCACTGAATTTTAGTGCCGTTTTGTTCAAAACATGTTTCATTAGACATAACAAACACTTTAATTTCATTAAATTGATCACAAATAAATACCATTTGAATATAATTTCTATCTCATAAGTAAATGTTAACTAAATCAAATGTTTTGTTATGAAATAAGCTGTCATATATTCATGTAAGGATTTGCACAGAAATTTTTTTAACAGCATATATAGGTCTGATTATTATTTTATTCTAGTAGTGAAATTATTGGTGAAGAGGGACTGAACACTGTGTAAATGTGATAAATGATCCTGAGTGTGAAGAATCTGAGTGAGGCGTGTAGATGATGTCCCTGGCAGCACACAGTCTGGACGGAACAAATTAGATTACACACGGCAGATGAACCACTTAATGGAAGACTGAATGTAAATACAATATTGGAAAAAGTGGACAGTATTTCTAAAGTTGTGGGCCTATAGGAAGATGCTGATCTAATTGCAACTTTCAAAAAAGAGTAAAAAATCACTGTCACAAACAGAATTTTGAAAAATGTAAATCTGCAAAAATGCTGATGTGGTCAGATATAGCAAGTGTAGAAGTGTGAAAGCATTTAGGCCTATTGGTACTGATGGGTCAGATATGGAAAGTCAGTACATAGACTGTTGGTCAACAGATCCAACAACATTCACACCCAAATTTCCACAAACCATGAGCAAGAATCTCTTTGAAGCAATATGGCAAACTTGGTACTTTAGTGATAACTCAAACAAACAGAACAATCAGGCAGACTCTTCAGAATTCACCCTGTCGATAAATACTTGGTAGAGAATCTAAGTTTGAAGACTTGTGATGATGCCTTGTAATAATAACCATGACTTGTTGAAAGTTTTGAAACCTCATCTTCCATGCAAGCTAACTGAGGAATTTCTAAGGAGACTGTTGAAGCCTAGTGCTGATTTGATCCATTTTCTCTTCAATGAGCACTATACTTTTCTATTCTGTTTACTTCTGTCTAGTGAGAATGCTGTTTGGTTTATTTAGATTTATAGGAATAGTTTCTGTTTGTGGAATTGTAACCTAAAATCTACCCAGAATCTTCTCCTTCATTTTCTTTCAGAACTTTGTTTTATGTAGGTATAAAAATGCACACTTGTCCTCTCAGTGTGTATCTCACTTGTAACATTTCCACATGGGATGTAATGTAACAGAGCAAATTGTGCTTATTGCACAGATGAACAGTAGTAGGTGTGTAAGCAGTGTGAGTGTCAGGAGATACAAGTGGAATACATAAGCTCACTTCACAAGTGCACTCCTAAAATTCTCAATATAGTTTTTATCATGCTCTTTATAAATGAGTACTATCAGGAAATCGAAAAGTCGCACACATCAAACTAAAAGTTGTTATAAATTGTATTGCAGTTAATATAATTATATCTCCTACCACTAGATGGTACTGTAGGAGTACTAACAATGAGTAGAAAGACCATCTGTTGTGTATTGGTCATACGACATCTGCAGTATAGTTTTGTTTATTGCATGACAGACATGTCATTTTCCCAAGAACAAGTTTTCATTGTCGAACATCATTTGGCCAATCGTTCTTATGCACGTGTCACAGACGAGTTTCATCGGGAATATCCGGCTTCTGCAGTTCCTAACAGTTCAACAATAACGAGAATAATCACTGATTTCGGGAATGTGGATCAGATTCAGATAGGAAGAGATCCGGGAGACTGGCCAATTTGACTGAGGCTAAACGTGGAGAAACTGTTGCAATGTTCCCCTTCAAAAAGCCTGTAAGTGCTGTATGACTTGTAGTTTGTGCATGAAACCAGCAAAATATAATTGCTTAGTGTGATGTGCGCGACTTTTCGATCTCCCGTTATAATAAATTACTTCCAATGCTGTATCAGTTCTTGCTCCAAATGGAATGAATTAGTTTGTGTATTTCAGAATGTAGTGTTTTATTTGCTGCATATATTAATTTTGCCAGAATATGATCAGTTCCTGTCACTTCCTACCATTCTGGTATTTCAGTGACAATTTAAACCTTAGTTTGTGAAGTAATACACCTTTGAAAACTTGCTAGAAATCAGGTGAATTGGAGACTATTTTAATTTCTTTCCCAACCTCCTCAGAAATTGATTGTTTAATTCAAGAAGAGCAAGGGATGAAACTTATGAGGTGTTAATAATTATTACATAGATCCATCAAACAGTGAAACTAGTTATAGTTGATGCAGTAATTGTTAAACGTCTGTGGAAATTCTTGTAACATGTTTTGCATATTGCATTAATTTGAAATTGTTTCTTGGTGTTGGCTATTTTGAACATGGTTCCTATTGTATTAACAGTGCACTGAATGCAGTAAGTGTGATCTTTTTAAAAGTGGTAACATGTTCCTATTAATTTCTCTGTTTTAGGGTTCTTCTTATGTCTGCAGATATCACATTAGCATATGGAAGAAGATATGGGTTGGTTGGAAGGAATGGATTAGGAAAAACGACATTACTTAGAATGATATCCAGGTAGTGCATACTATATAAGAAGACAGAATATAGTGCATAGGAATGACTTATACAGAGTAGTACTATCACTTTGAATTCTGAGATTTTAGAATGTATGCCCTAGGTTGAATTCTGTCTGAAGCTCTCAATTGTGACATCAACTGTGCAACAGCCAGTATATCGTTTTCATCAACTTTACAATGGAAACACATTTTTAATTTTGGTTGTCTTTTTTACTGTTGCTGCTTTACAGTCAACATAGACTGCACTGTGTGCATTAATTTTAGAGGTTCTTATTTTTAAATCTGTTTTAATTTCAAATTTTATCCTTCTCTTACAACATATGAATCCCATTAAAGTCCTTATAAATAGTTCTGTTTTTGCTCTATACTTTCCTTCATTGATATTGTGTTCTTCAGTGCAAGGGACAGTTTTAATTGTAATAATTTTGAAATTTTGGCATTTAGCATTAGTTGAAGTTTGTTGCTAATTTTTATGAAACATAGTTTTTTAATTTTCTTTATTGTGGGCTGATACACCCTGAAACCTGTGACTTTTGCTGAATAAAATACCTGTCTTGTATGCCTCATCTCTGGCAAAGCCTGTCAGGCAGATCATTACAGACTAAAGCAGAATTTACTCACATATTATATATATATATATATATATTGCACAAAATGCATGAAATTAATATGTAGCAGGGAAGTTACATCTGACCCATTTTTAATCTCCAAAACTGCTTAATTGGTTTAGATATAATTTAATGATTGAGAGCTTTCAGGATCTTTTATTTTGGTCAGACCCCAGAGCTAGTCTGGACGACACGCAGGATTCTTGACCCTGCTGGGACTTGAACTCTGACCTCTTGTTTGTCCAGCCAGTAGTCAGTCCCTGTACCAACTGTGCTATCCCTGCTCTTTACTGCAACTCTTTCATCTTTCTCTAATGCAGGTCATTGTACAAGGAATGGTGCATGACATACAATACAGTATATCCTCAAGTTCTATACAGTATTTTTTAAATATATCTTGATTTATGTAACTTAATGGAACATAAGGAACAAATCATTTATGCCTGTACAGTTGCTACCTTCATGAAGAATATATTTTTTTGATAATATGGTGCAGTGTCTGCTTTAGCAGCAGTAAATGAAAGAATTATAACAATTTTCTGTTCTCTTGTTTGTGGCATCAGTATTCATTGTCAGGTAGAATACTGGCTAGATAGAAAAATTTATTGCTAGTGCTTTATGTGATTTGGTAGTAAATGACGTTTCTTAAACAAAGTATTGGACTCGTGCAGTGCCTCATGTGGTTATATCTTACATATAGTGGTCAGCTGAGGATACCATCACACATATCAGTGCTACATGTTGAACAAGAAGTTGTTGGAGATGATACTCCAGCACTGGAAAGTGTCTTAGAGTGTGATACAGTACGTGAAGAACTCCTGAGGAAAGAACACGAGATTAGTGTCAGTATCAATAATGGGTATGTATTTGCAAAAGCAAAGTAACTTACATTCATATATGATTTATTTCTTATGTTTTGAAATATTCTCTTGCATACAGCTATAATATAATAATTTTTATAATCTATTCAAGATAGTCTAGGTTATTATGAACCGAACAAGCATAAGCCATGGTTCAATGAAGGATGCCCAAAGTTATTAGAGCAAAGAAAGAAGGCCAAATTGCAATGGTTACAGGATCTAAGTGAGTTAAATGGGGACAATCCGAACAATATAAGACGTGAAACAAGCAGGCATTTCAGGAACAAAAAGAGGGAATATCTGAAAGACAAAATTGATGAGCTTGCAATGAACAGTAAGAACAAGAACATTAGAGACATGTATAGAGGAATAAATTACTTTGAGAGGAGTTACCAGCCTAGCAGTAACTCAGTGAAGGATGAGAAAGGTGATCTGCTTGCAGATTCCCACAACATTTTGAATAGGTGGAGGAACTACTTCTCTCAGTTATTGAATGTACATAAGGTCAGTGCTGTCAGGCAGACAGAAATCCATACAGCTGAGCCGTTAGTACCTGATCCTAGCCCTTTTGAGGTTGAAAGTGCTATTGCAAAATTGAAACGATATAAATCGCCAGGTAGTGATCAAATTCCAGCAGAACTTATTCAAGCAGGAGATGAAATATTGCATTCTAAGATTCACAATCTAATTCTGTTTGGCATAAGAAAAAATTGCCTGATCAGTGGAAGGAGTCTATTATTGTACCAGTTCACAAGAAGGTTGATAAAAGTGACTGTAGTAACTATCGAGGGATATCACTGCTATCAACTTCATACAAAATTTTATCCAATATTCTTTTCTCAAGGTTAAGTCCATATATAGATGAAATTATTGGGCATCATCAGTGTGGGTTTTGACGTAACAGATCAACTACAGATCAGATCTTTTGCATTCATCAGATATTGGAGAAAAAATGGGAGTATGATGAGACAGTACATCAGCTATTCATAGACTTCAAGAAAGCCTATGATTCAGTTAGGAGAGAAGTATTGTACAATAATTTGATAGAGTTTGGGTTACCTATGAAACTAGTTAGGCCGATTAAAATGTGTTTAAATGAAATGTATAGTAAAGTCCATGTAGGTAAACATTTGTCTTATAAATTTCCTATCCAGAATGGTCCAAAACAAGATGCTTTATCACCACTCCTTTTCAACTTTGCTTTAGAATGTGCCATTAGGAACGTCCAGGGAAACCAGGTAGGACTGAAATTAAACAGGACACATCAGCTGTTGGTTTATGCTGATGATGTGAATCTACTGGGTGATAATGTAGATACCATGAAGAAAAACACACAAACTTTAATTGACACAAGTAAAGAGGTCGATCTAGAAGTAAACATTGAGAAAACTAAGTATATGTTGCTGTCTCATAACCAAAATACAGGGCAAGATCATGATATAATGATAGGAAACAGATGTTTTGAAAATGTGGCACAATTCAGATATTCGGGAACAACGATAACAGATCAAAACCTGATTCAGGAGGAAATTAAGAGGAAATTGAACTCGGGTAATGCTTGCTACCATTCAGTCCAGAACCTTCTGTCTTCTCGTCTGCTGTCCAAAAACATAACAATTAGAATATACAAAACTATAATTTTGCCTGTATGGGTGTGGAACTTGGTCTCTGACATTAAGAGAGGAATGTAGATTGAGGGTGTTTGAGAACAGGGTGTTGAGGAGAATATTTGGACTGAAGAGAGATGAAGTGACAGGAGGTTGGAGAAAACTGCATAATGAGGAGCTTCATAACTTGTACTCTTCTCCAAGTATAATTAGAATTATCAAGTCAAGAAGGATGAAGTGGGCAGGGCATGTAGCACGAATGGGGGAGAAAAAGAATGCATATACAGTCAACTCTCGATTATCCGGGGGCGGATTAACCGGTTTGCGGCTTAACTGGGGCTACTGAGGCTTTTTTGAGGCTTATATGTTGTTTAATATTCATTCACTTTCATTTCACATGGTGAGTTGTAACACTATTTTCGCACTAGAGTGAACCGAGCTCTGCATTCTTTGGTCCCGTTGGTCCCGTTATGCTAACACAGTGTTCTAGGGTAGGGGTGAAAGAATGCAAGGATTTGTGGAAAGTTTCAAGGACAGATACACCGCCCAAGTTAGTTTCTTTGTATCGAACTTCAAGTGCGTTAGCAAAATGTCAGGGTGTAAAAGGAAGTGTGTTGTGTTAAGTATGTATTTGTAAAAAGTGCTGGATGTTGTTGAAGACTGTGATTGAAATAACTAATTCATACTTCAGTGTAATGTAAAAAAAGTATTAAATAGGCCATGAGATGACATAAAAATGAGGTTGAATAAATTTAAATACAGGTAGGCCTATAGTATTATGAAGGTACAGTATTACAGTACTACTTTTAATAAAATTTGTCTTAACCGGGTTTTCGATTAATCGTGATTTCCGTCCCCACCATTATCCCGGATAATCAAGAGTTGCATGTAGTATATTGGTGGGAGTCAGAAGGAAAGAGCCCACTGGGAAGACCAAGGCATAGGTGGGTGGACAATATTAAAATGGATCTTAGAGAGACAGGATGGGATGGTATTGATTGGATTGATGTGGCTCAGAATAGGGACCAGTGGAGGGCTCTTGTGAACCTTCGGGTTCCATAAAATGCTGGGAAATTCTTGAATAGCTGCAGAATTGGCAGCTCCTCCAGAAGGACTCAGCTCCATGAGTAAGTACATTGTAGGATAAATTGTAAGAAGTGAAATATATCTACAGAATTAGCCACATTATTCTATGTAGTTTGGGCAGAATGGTAAAACTAAAATTAAAGATGAAGGGAAGGGAACTCTGAGACATTGGAATGGCTGTGAGTGCGGGTAAACAGTCGAATTTGTGCAATATCTGGTAATTTCCTGCTTGAGAGTTTGGTGTTAACTTGCTGTAAATAAATTTGGAACATCAGCATGTTTGACTGGGGTATTTTATGTCTATTTAATACAATAAATCATGGATCATTTCAGTTCTGATTATTTCTATTCCCCTTTCTTCATTTCTGTTTCTTTATATTTTCACTTGTTCAGTAATTAATACAGTGGAACCTCTCTTAATGAGCACCTCTCATAATTAGTAATTCGCATAACAAGCAAAACAAATTGTAAAAAAAAAATGACTCGTTTAACAAGCGACGTTTCACATAATGAGCGACGAGAGGGAAAGTCCCGGATTGTGCGCTTGCGACATCAGTCTGTGTTTAGCACTCGTTCCGCTAGCATCTTAGTGTCGCTTGTGATCACCCATTTTTCCAAACTTGTGTTCAGACATGTTATTTGTGATTTTTTTTGTTCAAAGTTTAATAACCCTTGCAAAAAGTCCCTGAAGAAAAAGCCGCAAAAAGACAGCCATACGAGAATAAAAATATTTGTAGGAATGAAACATAAGATCATTGAAAAGCGAGAACGAGGTGTGAGCGTGGCTGATCTAGTACGCACATACAATCGGTCTACATCAATGATTTTCATGATTTGGAGTTACATTGTGTTTCACAGCAAGAAGTTGTGGAGGAGAGTTTGTCAGAGGAGGAGGAGGTAACAGCAAAGCAACAATCTTCTGGCGCAATAAGAGAAATACTGAAAGCATGGAAAACTGTTGCATCGTACATTGAGAAGCATCACCCTAATAAGGCAGTGGCTATGTGTGCTACAAATTTATTTAATGATAATGCTGTGTCGCCTTTTCCCAAATTTTGAAGCGTCGGCAAAAACAAATGTGTCTAGACATCTTTCTAGATATGTATCATAAATAATAAACTAATTATTTCGATTTTTTTTTCTGCAAATTGAATTCGCATTCCAGGTTGGTTCATTCCACATAGAAGAAAAGATAAAGATGATTCACGCTCCTTAACAATGTAGTTTTCTTTGAATAAACGTTATTAATAAAATTTTTTGAGTATTTTTTCGGCATGGAATGCATTATCATATTTTACATTAATTTATATGGGAAAAATTGTTTCGCTTAACGAGTGCATCGCATTACGAATAAGATTCTGGAACAAATTATGCTCGTTAAGCAAGGTTCCACTGTATATAATAATGCTGAAATTAGTTAATTATATTGTACTTATTGCAATCGATGTACAGACCCAGAACTTAGCAACTAGCTCACAGAATGCTGAAATTAGTTAATTATATTGTACTTATTGCAATAGATGTACAGACCCAGAACTTAGCAACTAGCTCACAGAATGCTGAAATTAGTTAATTATATTGTACTTATTGCAATAGATGTACAGACCCAGAACTTAGCAACTAGCTCACAGAATGCTGAAATTAGTTAATTATATTGTACTTATTGCAATAGATGTACAGACCCAGAACTTAGCAACTAGCTCACAGAATGCTGAAATTAGTTAATTATATTGTACTTATTGCAATAGATGTACAGACCCAGAACTTAGCAATCAGCTCACCGAAGTGTATGCACAGCTTCAGAACATTGAGGCTGATAAAGCACCAGCAAGAGCAAGCATTATTTTGAATGGTCTTGGCTTCTCTTCTGAGATGCAGCAGCGACCCACCATAGAGTTCTCAGGAGGCTGGCGTATGAGGTTAGCACTTGCACGTGCTCTCTTTTCAAGGTAAGCAAATTGTGGTTCTCAATTTTATTAGTGTTTGTCTTCTCAAATTTTCTACCCTCCGAAGCCCTAATATGTGTTAAGATTAGTTTGATTTTCATTCATGTCAATTGTTATTAATAGCTGTGGTCATTGAACATCTGTCTCAAACTGGGGACTGTTTTATTACTTTTACATTGCTGAATCAGTCTAATGTTGTTCACAGAAATTTGTACTATGACTTTTAAGTTACTCAAATGTCTTCAGATTTGCATTTAAATCCAGTGCTCTTTTGTGGCAAAGGAATATTTAACAAAGTAACATGATGGTGCACATTTCTTGTTCATATTTCTCCATGTAGTCACCAATATACATATATTCTAGGATTAAACTGTAATGGCTTTCTTGGTTATTGGATATAAGTTCAGAATATTCCAGTGTAATACATTCACATGTACGATGTATTGCAGTAGTGAGTACAATGAATGATAAATAATGAATGACCTGTCCATAGTGATGTACTCAATTTACAAATATTATCGAAATATGCATTATATATAAAGAATTATATCTACATTCGCTTACCTTAAATATTTATTATTATATATTAAATTTTACTTTACAGAGGGCCCAAAAAATATATACTAACTTCAACATACAAGATATCTGCTTAAATAATTTATTGGTAATATAAATTTTATACACACAGAAAGGGATGGCTCCAACACATTTTGAACTAGAACAGGTATTCAAAGTGCCCGCCATTAGTGTGTAAATACTTCTATGTAGGGTAGTGCTTGAACATCTGTGGTCAAGGTGTCCACTAAGATAGCGGCACATGATGTTTGAATGTCTTCTTGTAACATCTCTAGTGTTAGTGATTTTCTATGATATACCACATCCTTCAGGGACCCTGCAAGTAAAAGTTGAGGGGCGCAGAGATACTCAACACTACCTCTTCATCCTGTCCATTGACCTTGTAGGGTTTAATTGAGGTAGCTTCTGACATCTCCATTTTGCACTTTTAGAATGTATTGTACACATGGTCTGCTAATTCTTATCTCATGTTCACATTGTTTTGCAGACTTTTATGATGACAGTTTATACAGTTCCAACACTATGGCAGAAGAGGCTGGACTTGTTGCTGTACAAGGCCTCCCAGATCTCTGCTTCTGCATGTCATGCACTGCACCATCAGCCTCAAATTTGTCATAAATGCATGCAGTTGTTAATTGTATTGCAGGTTTTACTGCAAATTCACGCTGCCACTGTCTTTGTACTTTGCACACATTTTCAAATTTCCAGTACCACTTCAAAATTATCTTGCATTGCTTGAACAACAGCTGTTTTGCCGCCATTTTCTTTGACAATCTTGCCATTTGACAAGATAGCTCTGGCATTCATGTGACTAGCACCATCTTTTGAGAGAATATCGTCACTGTGCTTAACAAATTAAGCACAACGCCTTGAAGGCGTATGGGGGTGTGGCTGTATAGATCCACATTTTCTTGACCTCGGCACTAGCTGAAGGTGAGTGGTCCACATATAACGACTGTTAAAGCATTCATACATTTTTTGGGCCCCTCTGTACCTCAGCAAATTTATTTACTTCTTTTGGAATTGACATTATGTCATTTAATTTCAAGTTTTCCAGGAGTGTTACTCCCATGGTATTGCGTTTGCTGCTTCATTGATACATATCACTTTGGCTGGATAGTTAGTTTAATTCATGTATGACTGAAATATTTTCTAGTTCTGCATTTTGACAGATATGTCTTTCATGCTTTAACCTCAACTAGTTAGTATATTTGTAACTCTTTTTCTAGTTGGACACCACTTGGGCAAGTTACAATGTCCTGTTATCCAGTGTACTTCCCTTGGGTTGGGTGACTTCAAGTTGTTACCATTCTTGGTCTCCCCAGTCATATGACCACAGTGGCATCTAGGAGCAGAGTATGGAGCTTTATGGTGTCTAATTTTGCTATCACTCATCTATTATCATGAGTGAAAGTTTTTTCCCTTCCAAAGAAAGTTGTGATATGGATTCTTTCACTCTTAAAAATCCATCGACCTTGGCCAGGTTTGAACCCATGAACCCTGTGTCCACTGCTAAGCTTGTTACCATTAGACCACTGAGGCAGATAATAAAAAAGAGAGAATAAATAAATTTAAAATCTCAGGAAGTGAGGCTTTTTGTAATACTAAAGAAATGTTGTATATTCCCCAGTGAATATCTTCTGTACCATTTTTGTCTTGACACATTTATCTTTTTTCTAGGGTTTGTGTTTAATTCTTTGTTCCTCATTGCTCTTTAACAGGCCTGATCTTCTTCTCCTTGATGAACCAACAAATATGTTGGATATTAAGGCCATTATCTGGCTGGAAAACTACCTTCAAAACTGGCCTACCACATTACTTGTTGTGTCTCATGATCGCAATTTCCTTGACACAGTACCGACAGATATTTTGAATCTCCATTCACAACGTATTGATGCATACAGGTCAGTCTGAAACATGAGTTATCAGAGGTTCATATTTTAAATTTGCTTTTATACCATTTTAACTTTCTCTATCTTGCATATCTGTTTTTGTTATAAACCGCAAATTAGGTAGAAGTTACAAAGCCTACTTTCCTGTTATCCTGGCTTCTAGAATGGCATATCTTATGCTGTTCATATCATATTGTAGCATGTAGGGCTGTTGCTACGTAACAGCAGGGTAAACACATCTTTGGAGCAAAGAATCCAGACACAACAGTAGAAGAGCTGTGACTTCTATGTGGTCTGTGCCTAGATTATATAAACAAGGGACAAGGTTAGAGTTTACTCACTCAGGCCATCTACTTTTCTCATAGACTCAGGTCCCCTGAGGCTCATCTTACATTGAATGGATGGAATATCTCCTTTGTCAATCATGTATTGAGTCTACACATGGAAATGATTGAAGCCAAGGCCTTCTGAACAATTATAATTGTTCAGAAGGCCTTGGCTTCAATCATTTCCATGTGTAGACTCAACGGTTTTGTCTCTTATGAATGTGCTTGGCCTTTCATCAAGTGTACATATCACACATACAGTATGTTACTGAAAATGTTTCCTTTTGCACTATATACACATTCTCTGTCAGTACCGGCTCTGAAAAGAAGATCATGCCTATCTTATGTACCTTATGCTACAATGGAAGCTTAGTCATTTCAATGGTAGTAAGCTTGACCACCACAAAATTTAAGCCTCTTGTATTATCTATGTCTGGCTTTGTCTTGTCCTATACTGCGAACATGTTCATTCTCATGACTTTGTATGATCTGTTTGTTGCCTGCACAATTTTGTTATACAATCGTATACATATGGAAGGTTGAAAGCTGTGTGCAAATCGCAGATAGCAGTGCACCTTGGAAAATTTCCAATGGTGTGAAGAACCTTGTTTTGTAGGTGCTGCAATTTTAAGAGGTAGGTGTCTGCCGCTAATTCCCAGACTGGGCAAGTGTAAGTAATTACTGATCTGATCTGATACTAATAATTATTAGTATCTACTCCCTATTCAGAAATGGGTGTTTAAATGCCAACATTAAACTAACCCTCCAACCCTCGTTAAGGCACTGATCAGATCAGTAATTACTTACACTTGCCCAGTCTGGGAATTAGCGGCAGACACCTACCTCTTAAAATTGCAGCACCTACAAAACAAGGTTCTTCACACCATTGGAAATTTTCCAAGGTGCACTGCTATCTGCGATTTGCACACAGCTTTCAACCTTCCATATGTATACGATTGTATAACAAAATTGTGCAGGCAACAAACAGATCATACAAAGTCATGAGAATGAACATGTTCGCAGTATAGGACAAGACAAAGCCAGACATAGATAATACAAGAGGCTTAAATTTTGTGGTGGTCAAGCTTACGACCATTGAAGTGACTAAGCTGCCGTTGTAGCATAAGGTACATAAGATAGGCATGATCTTCTTTTCAGAGCCGGTACTGACAGAGAATGTGTATATAGTGCAAAAGGAAACATTTTCAGTAACATACTGTATGTGTGATATGTACACTTGACGAAAGGCCAAGCACATTCATAAGAGACAAAACCGTCGAGGGTGTTACATAAGAACTATGACTGCAAGGGTTCAACAAAAAAATCTTTGGCCATGAGTCTCAAGGGGCTTGACACCGAGACGAACTGATTGACCATGCACTGTCAGTTGTAAAGTAACTTTTGACTTTGACTTTGACCTTAGTCATTTCTGTAGGGGAGTCTGGGAAACGTTGGCATGTCAGAGCAACTACTGAGATTAAGCAATGACAGAACTTATTAAGGAGAGTCTGTGACATGAAAGCCCACAACCTAACGTGTCTGTGATGACATGGCCAGCATTGAGGAAGAGTGATATAACAGACTGTGAATGATTTTGAATGCTTGCAAACTTTATAGTCATTTGTAGACAGGAGGAATCAGTGTCCAGTAAATTCAGTTACCAACCAGGACCTGTAATTTAGTCAATGTCATGTCTCAGTGTAAGCACCAATTTTATAAGATCAGAAAAAACAAAATGAAGTCCATTATTATAAGTGACTATTCTAAATTACTTCTAGTTAGCTGACAAAATCATCTTGCCTCAAGAGAGCAGGTTTTCACAGTATTCATTCTCCGAATTTTCAGCTAAGTATATTATGTCTTAGAGCATACAGATACAGAGAATTGTAATGTGGAAAATGATTGACTTGAAGATAGCCATAAAGCCTCTCATAATTGTGTTTCATGTGCAGAGGTAACTATGAGAACTTTGAGAAGACCAAGACAGAAAAGCTTCGGAATCAACAGCGAGAATTTGAAGCACAGCAGCAGCATCGAGCTCATGTTCAAGAATTCATTGACAGGTTTCGATATAATGCTAATCGGGCTTCCAGTGTACAGAGCAAAATCAAAATGTTAGAAAAGCTGTAAGTATGCTGCTCTTTTTATATTCAAGATGTAGCTATTCAGTATCATGTCATGATGTGTGTGTGTGCGTGCTCCCGCTTGCATGTTTGTGTGTGTGTATGTTGTTAATGGAAATAACCAGTGTAGAAATCAATTGGACAACTTAAACTAACTTCCTTTCTCTGACATCCTTATAACATTCATCCTATTGAACCCTGGTGTAGGGCAATTCATATTGTGGCATATAGACCCATTGCTAGGCAACAACCTTGAAATAAGCATCTTTGCAACAGCTGTTGCTAAGTAGTGGCTCCTCAGAGAAGCATGTTTCCATGGCAACAATTGCACTGCAACAGAGGAGCAGTGTTTTCTGTATGACCCATACCAAGATGTTATAAGTAGGACAAGTGAGGAGTCAGTCAGTTGGTGAGAGACTGAGTTATTTAGTCAGTGGACTTGGCTGGGTGGGTGGGTGGGTTAGAGGACTGCTGTGGTAGTCATTGTGGTCTGTTGTTAGAAACTGGTTGCTGAGGCCAAAGACAGTTTAGGAAGCCAGAGGAGGGGGAACATCTGCCATTGGAAGCTGCCACCAAGCAACAGCAGTGAAAGCAGGACTGTGGACACTAGTCTGTGTGTGTAATAGTGGCCTGTAAGGTGTTGTCACGTGGTATATTAATGAATCCAATAAATCCAATTACTAATTGAAACTCCATCCATAGTCACACTAAAACCATGACAGTATGTTCGTAGCTGATTTGAGTAACTGAATATAAGTAATATGTTCCAGTTTTGTTGTGATTTTCATCTTACAACAAGCTTTTGCTGCTAAAATTAATGAACATTTTTCATTTCACACACTTGAGTTACATATCTGCCCCATTTCCTTCTCTGCAGTTCACCTGTTTTGTCAGTTCCACTTGAGTAGATCAAATCATTATGTTCCTCATTACATAATTGTATTTTCTATCAGTATATATAATCTCAGTATAATGAATTCCCTATTTAATGACTCTCTGGGGGAATGAATTTTCTTTAAATCTAGATTTCGACCAAACGGAGGGTTTGCCAAACCACATCAAGAAATTATTCATCTTGCTGTATGATTTACTGTGTATAATTGTGATAAAATAACTTCTTTATATGAGAGTAAAAGGTAAAGGTTAAATTGTTTTTATGTTTCACCAAAGACCATGGCATGAAGACATATGAGGAAGTGGAGGCATCATTTCATGCATTCTTAATGTTTGCACTTGATGGAGATGAATAATACCCCCGGAGAAAGAGCCTCCAGTATCCATTGAATAGGAGGATGGGTGGATCCCAGAGCCAGTTGGGACTCTCCTTTCGAGATTCAAATCCAGATTTCTCATTTGTGCAGCCCATAACCTAATCACTGTGCCAAATTAGCTGAGGTATCCTAGCTTCTGATTCCTTAACATAAATACTAAAGAAACTGCATCTATAAAAGTAGGTGCTATTAGAGTTCAAGTCCCAGTAGGGTCAAGAATTTCCCCAGCTCCATGTTGTCCATACTGGCTATGGGGCCCACCTGGTCTCCTATCCAATGGGTACTGGGGGCTCTTTCCCAGAGGTAAAGCAGCTGGGGCATGAAACTCACCTCCAGCTAGTGCTGAGTTCTAGAAAACATGGATGTATCAGAAAGTTCCTGGACTAGGTCAAAAAAGAAATGCTGGCTAAACTTACTCAATTTTGACTGCCATCTCCTTCAAAATAGTCTCATTGGGAATGTATACAGTGATCCCATCATTTTATCCATGCTTCAAAAGCACCATGGAAGTCATTTTCCTTAATGCTGGCGAGTACCGCTTTTGATTCCCTTTGGATGTCAGACACTGCTTCAAAACGTTGTCCCTTCAGTTTCTTTTCAATTTGGGAAACAAAATGAAATCATGGGGTAAGTCTGGCAAGTAGGGAGGACTGGGAACAGTAACAATGTTGTTGTTGGTCACAAACTCGGTGGTTTTCAGGGACGTGTGGGAGGGCACATTGTCGTGATGAAGGAGCCAGTTGTGGTTGTATGGTCTTTTTTGTCACACATTTTCTCTCAAGCATCTTAAAATGTCACAGTAAAAGTCAGAGTTGAATGTAATGTTGGGAGGAACAAATTCACGGTGAAAAGTCCCCTTTACTTTGAAAAAACAGTAAGAATGCTCTTTGTTGAATCTGGACTTTCCACACTGTTTTTGCTCTTGGTGATTGTGGGCTCTTCCACTGATAGGTTTGTTGCTTTGTTTCTGGATCATAACCGTATGAATAAATCAATCTTTCGTCACCCCTTATAATCCTAGGGCTAAAAGTTGGGTCCTCTCATTAGCCTTCTCTCTTAGCTCAAGACTTACGTTTCCATGCCATTGCTTTTGATCATTGTCAAAAGTCAGGAAATAAACTTAGCAGCATTGCGGCACATGTTCAGATTTTCTGTTAAGATCTCCTGGTAAACTCCATAACTGATCCCAGCGGTGTCTGCAAGCTCATGGATTGTTCGGCAGTGGTCTTCTTGGATGACTTCTTGAATTTTTTCAGCATTCTCTGTCATTTTGCTGGTGCTTGGTCTCCCTGGACGTTCAACATCTTCAACTGACACTCAGCTGGTCTTGAAACTTGGATGCCATTCAGAAACTGCTTAAAGAATGTTCCCCTAAAGCTCATGAAGCATTTAAAAGGTTTCAGTAGCGGAATTACAGAGCTTCACACAAAACTTGATGCAGACACATTGCTCGATTTTGCCATTACCCACAGGCAGAATGAAACATACAGTCAAAGAACCACTCATGTAAAAACAATGCATGTCCACAGCCTGGTGTCACATGGCAGACTGATGCCATAGGCTTGCAGAAGTGTGATCTTGGCCTCCCATCTCTCTTCTTTCACCGAGGCAGTTACAACAATAACAGTCCGGGAACTTTCTGATAACACCTCATACATCCACTCCTCCATAATGTCTTCATGGCATAGTGTTTAAATAGTTAAGAACAGGGACAATTTTACCTTTTTTTACCCTACATAACTGGTAAATCAAATTAATCAGTATGATCCCCAGTAGGAATCAAATGTGAACATCAGTAATTTTTGGCCAGAATTGAAGTACAAGTTCTGGAAGATTGAACATTTTGTATTGCACTAAATGTGATTTATTTACACAATTGAAATTCACTAAATGCTGGAAAATAATGCATTGTTTAAGCTGGGACTAGAAAAAGGATTCAGCAAACATGGGGTGTCACTACATGTCGGTATATTAATAGGGGTTTCATTGTAGTATGTTTTCAGATGCCTTCAGTATTTGTTCTTCTAGTGTGCGAGATGAAGTAGCACATGCAAAAATCTTATAAAGTTAGTTTCACGCATTTTATTCTTTATGTTTTCCATATTTATGTAACTGTAGGATTATTTCAGATGTGAGACAGCACCTTTTAACAGCTGAAAATCTTAAACAAAAATGTTGCTTGTCCTTATACAGTATTCTTATGGACTGCTGTCCAGCACGAACATAACTTCTTCCCCCTTCCCTCCCAAAGCAACATGGACCTTATAAACCCCAGAGAATTCTTACCTGGTAAAACTTGCATTTGGTAAGGGGTGTAAGTCTTGAGAAAGAGAATTTATGTGTAATTGCATAGTATTGGCATAATACCATACATCGTACCTTATGTATGTTCCAAAGAGTCATCATAAAGGAGCATGATCTATCTATATAGTGACATGTGGCTGCTCACATATCGATGAGAGAATATTCCACTTAAATTTTCAGTCTCTTTGGTTCAGCAGTAGCAAAGATATTGGACGTATGGTTTTACATCTAATGGATGCTGAGTCATTCTGTAATGTACCTCAAAGGCAAGAGCCACAGCTTCAAAAATGCACAAATGGCTGAATGGTGTGTGAGTATGGAAGTAACTGTTTAAAAAAAATGTAAAGATTGCTACTTTTGTAACTTTTTATAATAAATTAGAACTAGGATTTTGCAGTTTATTTTCTTTCAAATTTTACCTAGGATATTTTAGCAAATATATACATTTCTGCAATACTGATGTAACACTACCATTTAAACTCACCGAAATTCGTGAAAAACTTAAAATTTGGGATTGTAACATTTAAATTTTACTCTATGTAGTTTCATTACACACACTGCTCTTGACTGGAGAAGTGCCTGTTTCATTGCATGGATTTCATTGCATATGCAACACTGTTAGTTTCAGTACAGTCATTTCTAGCCACGGATGGGTTTTGGTGTACCATAGCCCAAAGCATGACATAACACACAGACCATAGTTACACATCATTCAAAGTACACTGTTCTTTTGGTTTGGTTCTTCATTTGGTAAACAATAGGATGTTGATGCTGTTTTCCTTTGGCTTTTCCTTACTTCAGGTTGGCTCCTAACCCTTGCCACACTGCACTCTTCAGCATTCTCTTCGTGGGTTAGAACAGCAACATCCCTAATGAGCTGCTCCCCGAGTTTCAGATGGGTCATATTTCTCCTACAGGACTTGTAGACAGTGTATGAATTGAGAATAATGAGGTTGACAAATGGAAGGGAAGTTCTTTTGCCCATTTCCAGGTTTTCTTGCTCATAGCTGGTTGGCATCCTGTCACTGATAGCCCATATGGGATGTGTATTTGATGGTGAGGCTTCACAGCTTCCCCACCATTTTTGAAGTTTCCCTCTGCAGGTGGAGTGTGCGTATGAGAAAAGACATGTACTAGAAGTTCTCATTTGTCCTTCCAGGGCAGAGCCCTTGGATTTGCCTGTACTCTGAACACAGTGTTTCCTCTTTTTGGTTGTAGATGTTCAGGACTGAAATTATGTAGCATATCCTTCATGTTATGACATACTGTACCACATGCATTTATTCTCATGTGATGTTGGCCATTGAAAAGTTTCAGCAAGCTGAAATAATTGTCCATAAATTTTTTACCCATCTCTTTAAGCTTTCTGAAACAGTTCCAGAACTGTTCCATTTGTGAATGTGGCCTCTGTGCTAGTCAGGTTTCTTTGGTTTACAAAGTACACACTCATGATGTATGTGTAACCAGATTTATTATAAAGTGTATAAATTTCTATATCAAAGGGTTTTTTTTTTATGCGGGTGGATATATTGTCAGAAGATGACTTTCTCTTTTAAATTTTACAATTACTTCATCCACTGCCATGTGTTGTTAGATAACACATTAATGAAAATTTTGAATTTAATATGCCAAATATTTGTCTGATTACCCATAGTTTGTAGTAATCAGGATCTTCCGTCTTGTATTGGTAGGTTATGATTGTCTCTGAAAAGTAGATATTTCAGAATCTTCAGATAGCTGTCATGTGATATAGTATTGGAGTAGAAGGGAAGGTGGTAGATTTCATCTTTGGCCCAGTATAATTCATACTATTGTGATGGGTTGCTCAGAGCATTAAGATATGGAACCAGAAAAGCCTGTGTAACACTGTCAACAGTAGAACTTTGGTTACTTGGTACTGAAGGTCTCAATAATCACAACAAGGGAGGAACTGTTGAAGACATCAATTCCTAGGCAATGAATACAGAAACAGGTTTTCATTACAACAGCTAGGTAAACATTATTCTCACAACAACAGAAAGGACGTTTTCATGACAACAGAGAAATCAGCTGTTCAACTCAGTGTCCTCTATTCAGTATGCCAATAGCTACCTTAAGAGAATTACTAGGCCAAAGAAAAACAACTCTGTCCATCGTGACTATTTAAGTTTACTACTTGAAAACTTAGCATCCTTACATGTTTTGATCCTTATGGATCATCTTCAGTGGGAACATCAATACTTATTTGGAAACTACTATTGTGTTAGTAGTTTCCCTCTGAAGATGATCCGTAAGGATCAAAACATGTAAGGATGCTAAGTTTCCAAGTAGTAAAACTTAAATAGTCACACTGGACAGAGTTGTTTTGTCTTTCTAATTGTTAGTGTGACAGACCAGAATGAAACAAATCAAAAAGAAAAAGGATTACTAGGAGTTTACTAGAGCTTACTGGAGATAAGAATCCAGGAAACAGAATATGATAGAAGAATACAGAAGGATAAAGAAGAGAAGGCTAGGAGCTGGTGCAAGATCCAGACAACAGTGAGAGATTTGTTATCCAGAAGGAATCAAATGCGTGAACTGTTGCAATCAAGTGAAATTGTAATAGAGATGCCTAATAAATGCAGTCAAATCTAGAACTCACGATACCAGTAATGCATACCCCCCTACATGGGACACTATGCATGTGGTTGTGACTCATCTAATCTGCAGCTGCAAGAAATGGCTATAGATCTTTCATGCTTATTTGCTGCAAATCTGGAATGTTTGATTGTTTCTTGCTTGGCCATCTTGCTGCATACAGTGGTTTGTCTCTTGTACAGTAGCTAGTAGGTTGGTCTGGAAATCCAGCAAGAAGAAATCAGGAAGTTGTGAATTTTCAGAAATATCGGGAGCAATGGTTTTGTTTCGCCCATTATGTTCTTCCACAAACTTGTGCACATCTGCGTAGAAGGAAGTTCATTGGCACACACTCTAAATCTTCATCATTTTCTTCTGAAAATGATGGGTCTTCACATGGACTATTTTTGATCTTTTCTTGTGAGTCAATATCAGCATATCGTTCTTCAGCATTCTCCTGTGCACGTGCTCAATTGACTAATAAATGCATGCACTTTGACAGACCTGTCATACTGAATACAGATCACAGCTGTGCCGAAAGTATTTGAGTGTGGGAACAAAAAGAAGCATGAGGTGGAAACAGATCCCCCACTGAGCACATATCACCTGTTCACTTTTTCCGTGGATGGTAACATTCTCCCACCGAGCACTGTGACATAATTCATAAGCATTACTTCACTTTCCCTCACATATTTTACTTGCTCCATGTATATTATCAGGTCTGAAAAGCAGTCATGTTGTTACTGATGCCAAAAAGGGAATGAGAAGAAAAACTTTTCTGCTATATGGGTTCAGAGTGCCAGTAAATTGTTGCATGTCATTAGAACAGACGTTTATGTAGGTAAATACTTTGTTGAGTGGACTGTATATGTGAAGATACGGCTGATACCTTGCAGAGTAGAATGAGAAGCTTTGTTTGGGTTAAGCACTCATACAAGGCAGTGAAAGGGCTCCTCAGTAAACAGGTGTTAATATATTGGATGTTCGTTCTTTGAAGGTTAACACTATTATTGAGTAGAACAATAGTTGAGGTCTCCTGTGCACTAAGTATTGAGATACTTAAGTTTATGTGTGTACACTTTCACACATATATACTAAATGCAAGTCTTAATAGCAGTCTTATTTCACAGCCCAGAACTGAAGGCCATTGAGAAAGAAGTGGAGGTTGTCCTGAAGTTTCCAGAGGCTGAGGCACTGTCACCACCAATTCTGCAAATTAATGAAGTGTCATTTGGTTATTCACCTGACAGAATGATATTCAGCAATGTAAATTTGGGTGCTACACTAGAATCTAGGATATGCATTGTGAGTTATTTTTTTAAGTTTTCAATTATTGTAGGCATGAAGTTGACCATTTGCCTCCCTCTAGTGTAGTTCTCTTATAAACCCTCAACCGGACAACAGGAAAACACCTCGCTTCCTTGTTGCCTAGTCTCCGTGTTTACCGGTGTTGCTGGGCAACTCTGTCGAGAGTTGTTATTGCTGCATAGCAACCGCAGCATCCCCTGCTATGTCACCACGGGGAAGGGGGGCGGAGTGTTGACTGGCCTGTTACCATAGTAGCAACAGCACCCGATGTTACGTCACCGCTGGCGGGGGAGGGAATGTCCTCCATAGTGCAATACATCACACTATGTTATGGTAGTGGCACATAGACTGTATATGAATCCAGAATTATTTATTTTTGTCTGTTAAATGATACATTTACATCACCATACTCAAATGAAATAACCATCTTTATAAGGCTCTTGGATAAGATTATACCCTCTGTAGTTCAAACACCTGAGGTTATGCTGGTAGCATAGTTCGCACTTCATTATGTTCATCACACAGTCACAAACTGAGACTGGGAAATGAATTTTACCAATATATACTCTTGAAAAAGAGAAGTTAATTTACTTAATTTTGGTACATGCTGTATTTTCTTGTTTATTTCAGTTTTTAGATCACAGAACTTTGAACTTGTGTAAGAAATTTGCATGTGGAACAAAAAGTACCAAAATTGTAATTATTTGCAAAATGTCTGGATTCATTAAGGAATTGGCCTAGTAGTAGACAAAATAAAAGTAGTGGTCCTTGGGTTAAGGCATTATAAGTAAAGTGATATGCTCTTAAAGAGTATGTTCTTCCCAAAGCTAAGAATGGTCGATAAAGGTTAATGCTGCAATTCAGACATTCTGTCACATGATTATTTCCTTAGATTTGCCAAGTAATGTCCTAGAACATTTTTAAAGAATCTGTCTCCACTTAAATGTTACCAAACCAGTTTAGTAAGTCAGTCTCAGGTTTCAGCATAATAAAACCATGAATAAACTTTGGCAAAGGTTAGGGATCTTTTAATAATAGCCCATTTCTGAAGGAAGTGTCTTTGTATTTTAATTTTATGCATAATTTATTCTGTTAAAAATCTTATTTACATACCTTGTTGATGTAGATAATATTAATATATTTGATGAAGACAAGGTGCTGATTAATGTGTCTTTGAAAGTAGATAGTTACCTACTGACATGTTTGAATAAGCAAAGGTAAATTTCAGGTTGGTGATAATGGAGCTGGTAAAACAACACTTCTTAAAATTATCATGGGAATTTTGACACCTACTAAGGGAATTCGTCATATTCACCGAAACCTTAAATTTGGCTACTTCAGCCAGCACCATGTTGACCAACTTGATATGAATGCAAATTCAGTAGAATTACTGCAGTCAAGTTATCCAGGTAAAGTATGCTATATTGTATTTTAAGAATATAATAGGTTTAACAACATCCAAATGCATCATCTGTATAAAGACTGTACTGGTGTTATATTTAAATAATATATGATAAAAAATACAGCAGTATGATTTCAGACATGAAAGTGTTTTAAAAACTCGGTTGCAACCTGTTCCTCTGAGATGTCAGTTGACTTTCAGTAGATTACACAGCATTATATCCTATAAAGTAGAACTCTAATGACTACTTTGAGAACCTCAGATCCTACATCTTTTTGTTTTGTTTTCTTCCTTTAGGTTGGAAAATACAACTCTAAGTCCCTTAGAATGAGAATTCATAACAGTGTGAAAAAACTGGTGCTGTAACAAATACTCATGATAGGCAGCTTAAAATTTGTAAATGTATAAATCTCATAAAAAATTAGACAGTGGATATTTGTGATTATCTCATTCTAACTGATGAAAATACAGGACTTTGTAAAGGGATTAATATTTATTTTGAAATATATATAACTATGTGTGAAGCATATCAGATCTGATGCTAATAAATAGAGCAAAGGAAAGTAATGTGAGATTAGTAACAGTGAATATTGTTCTTCAGATATTGTGAACACAAATACTAGGAATCATCTGTTTTGTACATACCATGGAATAAACAAGGTGGCTGTGTGGTATGTTTCATTGCAGTTGTGTAACTGCTGAAATCTCGAGTATTTTTACTTTGCATTTTTTCTCCATTGGCATGTAGTTTATTTGAAATGTTTACATAAAGAGCTGTATTATAAATGTTATTACTATTAAAACAGAGAACATACATAAACACAGCATTTTATTGTTATGGCTGAGCTTGCATATCACCAGGTGATGCAATTGTCAGCAGCAAATGAGGTGACATACAGCATGAGAGCCTGTTGATTTGTGAGTAGGAGTAACTGAAGGCTGGTAGAAATGAATTAACAACTGCCAGCATCATAATTTACAAAGTCCTGTTTATGCAAGGACTTTTCATGGGACTAAGAGCTTGTGTAAATGCCCTATGTGATCACACATTCCTTAAAGGCATTGAAGTAACCGGAAAGTTTTAGGGTAGAGGCATTTTTTTATTTTAGCTGAGCATTGTTTTAGGATTTACTAAACTTGATTGTTGTTACAATTGTTATTTTTACATTAAACAGGTAAGCCAGTTGAGGAATATCGTCGTCAGTTGGGAAGTTTTGGTATCACAGGTGATATGGCTTTGCAGATGGTAGCCAGCTTATCAGGAGGTCAGAAGTCACGTGTGGCCTTTGCTAGGATGTGCATGGGCAATCCAAACTTCCTTGTACTTGATGAGCCCACGAACCATCTTGACATTGAAACTATTGAAGCACTGGGGAAGGCCATAAACAAATACACGGTGAGTATGCTGAATGTAGTCAAATCTTTGTCACTTTATTCTGATGGGACCACGATTATGAAGAAATTCACGAAACTGGAAGAGGTCTCTGTGAAACTAGAACTGAATCTTCAAATACAGGATTATCATTTTCATAGACATGGAAATTCCATTGTTTCTATGATCTGTTGGGCATCTTTTCACTTCTTCTAGTTGAGGAAATTTTGCAACATGCATGCCTGAATTTGTTTCTTTTTGTCTAATGTCTACAATCCTTCATCCTACTTTCTCTGTCCATATATAATTTTCTCAGGTGGCAGAGGACCAAAATGTCTTTTAGCTACCCTGTTTCCATGCTATTTGGCATAGAGTCATGTTTAATTTTAAGTGTACAATGTAGAAATTTTCGTCTGTTTTATATGCATTTTGATAGGATAGCAAATTTAACAATGATGGCAGTGTTTCTCAGTGATAATCATGAGTCATGTGATCACAAACATTCTTTCCAGCAAGCAAGACAATTCAGAGAATGACCACTAGACAGAACTCAGTTTGCCTTGAAGGCCGTTCTTCTCTACCTTCAGACCAAAAGATATAAGGGAGTTTTAGGTTGCATTTTCCAGGGAAAATAATGTGTCTTTCAGTCCAAAAGATATGGTAATTCCTATTGTGCATGTTTTTTTCAGACGATTCTAATGTCTTATTCTAAAGGAAAGTTTAACAGCAATGGCAATAAGCCATCTCCTTTTTCCAGACCATTATGAATCTGACATGCACCAGACAAATATTTCCCTACCCATCCTTTACTGTGGGTTTTATTTACTCACATTTTAAGTAGCTTAATTACTTTCAGGGCTATAAAAGAGTAAAGAGAAGTAAAGGTATCCCTGTAACAGGCTGTGGAGACCCATAGGGTTGTGAGATGTTGACTTTCCCACATTTTCTAGACAGTCGACTCATAGATGGCGGCAAGGTTGTCAGCCCTACACGCCGGCCACCCTTTACCCCCTAGAGCATTCAAAGAATATTCCTGGTACTCATTTCTGTTGGAGGCTGAGTCGACCCCAGGGCCAGAGTGCGTCTGGAAGGATTAGGTCAATTGAAAAAATCAAGTGACCTCATCAGGACTTGAACCCGTGACTTTCCGGCTTGTAGCATAGTGCCTCAACCAACTGCGCTACTGTGTGCCCCTACTTTCAGGGGTATGCTGAATTTAATAGGATATTCACCAATGGAAGAAAGTCTGTATCACTACATAATCATTTAATGTTTCCACAGACAAGCTTGTAACTGCATTTCACAGGCACAGCCATATATACATCCTGTAACCTCTGAAAAGAATGTCATATAAGCCAAGCTGCAGACTTTGAGACTCCTGAGTTTTATTGCATGGAAGCTTTATTATGTTTTTATAGGAATGATGGTATTTCACAGCTTGTATATTCTTACCAGTCTCTTTTTTTGTTTCTCTTTTAGGGAGGGGTGATTCTGGTATCACATGATGAACGACTAATCCGTATGGTATGCAAAGAACTATGGGTTTGTGGAAATGGTAGTGTCAAGAGCATTGAAGGAGGTTTTGATGAATACAGACGATTAGTTGAGCGGGAATTGGAGGCACAGACTAAATAGTGAAACTCGACATTCTCAACACTGCCGCCCATTCCTTGTTATGTATGTGGAAGAGTTAAAACACACCATTATTAACATATTAAAAATGCTGATTTGAATAAATTCTTCTATTTATTGTTTGCAGTCTCTTGTGTAAGTCTGTGAAGTGTGGATTAATAGAAAATGATATTCAGATTTATAAAATTAACTTCATGAAGCAGAGTCCTTCATAAGGGAGTGATAGTCATTCAGCTGGTCAAAACGAATTCCCTCTCTTTTATGCAATCCAAAGGTTCATTACCATGTTGATAAATCTGTTAATCCTATCCTGAGTCAGTTGAATGGAGACCACACTGTTGCATCCTATTTCTTTAGGATCCATTTTAATATTATCTTTCCAGCTGTGTGTTGGTTTCTTCCCACCAGGTTTTCCAACAAGTACGCATGTATACATTTCTTCTCCTTCATGCTGCCCATCTTGTCTTCATTTCATCACAGAAGTAACATTCGTGGAGAGTGCAAAGCATGAAGCTCCTTGTTTTGCAGCATTTTCCATCCTGCTGTTATTTAATTTCTCTGTTTTAATATTCCCCTCAGTAATCTGTTCTCAAGCATATTTATAAAATAAAAAATGTTATAATGTATGTAATTTTAGCACTACTTTTGGCCAAAATGTAAGCAGAGGTTTATAGTATTATACCTCTGTATTTGTGCATGTGCTCTCTTGGCCATGTACATTGGTCAACCAAAGCTCTCAAACAGAAAAGTTAGATTGTCTACCTGTCAAGTCATGCCTGCTGATGTTCGGACTTCTAGTGGAACTGGTAAACATATGGTCTAAACACATAACAGATAAAACTTGTCCAGAATACAGCAGATGTTGGAAATGCTCTTCATTATTCCTCATGCATTCCTGACACCTCTGTGAAAATGTTGCATTCCCATGTTGAAGGCCTTATTGGAGAACAGAAAGCTTTCCTCCAGATATTTTCTTTCAGTTCTTCAATTTGGTGACCTGTAAACTTTTTGTTAGGATACTCCATAAATAAAATAAAATAAAATATAAATTGATATTGGGGAAGCATGCTGGTCACAAGTCACTGCACTCACTAACAGCACAGCACACTATTACATTTACAGTGTATTTATTACCTGTTGAATGGTATAACGCTTTGCTTCGCTTCATATGCATACATTTTACATACTCCTATGGTGAGGTCTCATTGACTGTGAATTGCAGCTATGGATCCGTGACTGTTGGGCACACCTGCAGCATCCAGTTTCAGAAAGTGAATACGTTCTGCATAATGACTCATGCATGTATATCATTTTGCATGGGTGAAACTTACTGGTACTGTATCCGTGGACACAGACCCTAGCAAAACATTAGTTTCTTCTGTATCTTCTTGTAGAACAGATGACTGCAGAAGTTTGGTAGAGACTGGATGTAAAGAAATGAACAGCATGAAAATTAGATACTGCAGAGGTTGAATCTGAAGAAACTAAATGATTTGGATGTTGAAAATAATTCCATCATATTAAAATCTCTTACCAGGTTTCCAACTTTGGAAACATTTGCATATTAATGTGGGTATCAGTAGGGCTTAGGACATTTTAGAGAGAATATCAGAACTTCAGCTGTAGATGGTGTATTATGTGTTAACACTCTGAAGCATTAAATCTGTCTAAGAACTACTGAAAAACTACTACACATTACAACTCCATTAGAGAGACCAGTTTGTTAATGTTGTGTTCAGAAATAATAATTTATTTTGAGAATTGTAAGAAACAAACATTGTGTGAGCCAAAAGAGAGGTTTTTCTTTCCAGGTTCAAGAAGATGGTGGACAGTTCTGTGCCATTACGGGCTAAAGCAACATAAACCTTGGTTTGCTAAGGATGTTAAAAATTCTTAGGTCGAAAGAAATGAGCTAAATTGAAGCCAAATATGCATAGATAATCTGACACTAGTAGATATTTTAGGAATTAAAAACAATAACAGAAAGAGAAAATGAGCTCAAAACACATAGTATATGAACAACAATATTATTTACATAGAGGCATAAGTGAATATAAGCAGGATTACCATCTAGAACTGTCTTGGTAAAGCATGAGAATGGTGATCTGGTTGCAGATTCCTACCATGTTGTATTTTGAATAGGTAGAAAAATTGCTTGTCTGGTAATGAATGTGTATGAGGTTAATGATATTGGACACTCCAAAATACTGTTAATATTTGTCAGTATTTTGAGCAGTTGTTTTCCTGCTAGCCAAAACCACTTATGCTCTAGAGGTCAATTCTATGTCCTCTTATTACTTTACAGCAATGTCACTGCTCGCTCACTGCATTCACCTGTGGGTTTGGTTGATGTTCCAATAGACAACCACTTCGGAAAGTTTGCGGGCCCTGAAAAGGGCAGTTTGTTCCTTGATAGTAGGCCTGTCTGGCCGGTGGTGTAGTGCCGCATGCACCAGTAGAAACAGCTGCCAATGGTATGGTTACTGGAGTTGTGGCAGCTGCGTTAGTTGCCTGGTCACAGAGCGTGGTTGCTGGAGACTTGCAGCAAATACGTCTGTTGCCTGGTTGCAGAGCGTGGTTGCCGGAGACTTGCGGCAACTATGTCGGTTGCCTGGTCGCAGAGAAGAGCTGATGCCTTTGATGACTGATCGCTCTGAACTGAATGTGATCACTGACTACTGCGAGCTTTGGGCTCTACCTTTTATACCATGCTTGATGGGCAGAGTGAAACTTGCAGTTGCGATTGTGAGTACTGATTGGCTAGCGCACATGATGGTTTAAATGTGGCCTGGATAGCGAGTGTGTATAAATACAAGTGCTGGCAGCAGTGTGATTGGTTAGAGCACATGATGATCTAGAGGTGGGTTGGACATCGAGTGCTGTATAAATATGAGCGCAATGTGTGGCAATGTGATTTTGACTTAGGAGTGAGTGTTGTCTGTTAGATTGGCGAAACAGCGTGTAAGTGTGTAGGGTGTTCCCACATCACTCTCCCCTCGTGAAAATTGATGCTCATATGTTCCCATGCACCTTTTCTTTGGTCTTCCCTGCACTCTTCTGCACCTGCTTCTCGTGAGGACTTTACAGCTTCTGCTAGAGGCGGCCTTTCTGGAATTTTGTTTGAATAAGCTGTGCAGTTTCTGGAATAATCTAGATGGTATGAGAGGTGTATGCAAGAAAAGTGATGTGATCCCCCCTCCCCTTTAGCTCCCACCACACAGATGTTCTTCCCAAATAGTACCTAGATACATTGGACCAGGTTAGGCAGCAGCCAGGTTTGGTCACCTTACTGGAATCCCGTGTCATTGGCTAGGCAGTCGCTGCAGGCATTCATCCTGTCACTGGCCACCTTCATATGTTGATGGGAATAATGATGAGTGTCATGAAGTTGGTCAAGTAGTCAGTCATGGGCTACTCTTTGTCTCTTTGTCGGGGGTAGCCCCAAACAGGTCACAGAGCAGAAATAGCTCTTTCCTGAGCACCATGCTGGTGAGTGTCATGCATGTGACTTCACAGGTTGATGTTCTGTATGCCAGCTGCAGCTCTCATCCCAATCTCTTTGGTATGTTCAAATGACCATTCTCTGATGCTCCTTCACTGTGTTCATGTATTGTTCTACCATGCCTTCTAATTGTGGATGCCAAATGGTGGTGTGTATCTTTCAGTTACCCAGATGTTGTAACACCTCCTGTAGGAGTTGTGACTCAAAGGTTCTGACCTTGGTTATCATGCTGTTCCCTTGGGATTGTGAATTTGCAGAAGAAGTTGGTCATCTGATGGTCCACCACTGCTGATGTCTCTTGTTTAGAGATGGTGTAAACCTCTGACCACATAGTGAAGCAGTCCATGGCAATCTGGAGATATCAACTTACTGTCTTGCCCTCTGGAGAAGTTTCTGCAGTGTCTATGGTGATTCTCTCAAACAGCGCCCTAATGCTGTATGGGTGTATCAGGTATGTCAGCTTGGTGCACAGATGTCACATTGTTGGCACCAACTCTCAATGTCAGTCCTCATGTGTAGCCAGTAGTAGCACTGTATAACCTTGTCCAAGATGCTATTGACATCAGATATCCTTCTGAAAATCCTCCATTCAGCTCTTCTAGTATTTCAAGTCACATTTATCTGGGGAAGAACTATTAGGACTGTTCTGGACCACCTATTGCCTAACTTGCTCTGATGCTCCAGCATGTCATTTCTTAGTCAAGGAGTTCCACAGAGCCCAATAACTCTGGTAAATGGGACTGCTGTCAGTGATGACGACCTTCTACCCATGACTCCCTCCAACCCCCACTTCCTGTAGAATTAGCTCCACACTGTTATTCAACTGCTCCATTATTAGGGTGGTAAGAGTGGTAACTCATATTCCTACTGTAGGTTCTTGTGAACACAGCAACAAACATTTAGATGCCATAAAAGGCAGGGAATTTCCGGGTGAAAGATATTGAAAATAAAATGTACCTGAGAATTTATTAGACACGTTTATGGGTTACACAATTACAAAGGGAAACTGATTTTTCTGAGTATATAACTTTCTCAATAAATTTCAATGTGAGAGAGCAAAGCATCAATGGAACCGTACAGTTCAGTTTTAGGCGATGAGCAGCACAGCAAACATACCGATGACAATTTAACACCATGCAAATTGCCTAATTTCATATGAAGTATACTTGTCTTTCGTGTGCAATGTCATTTCTTTACCACGGATTGTCATGTGCAGACAATCCATGTCACGGATCAGCATAGACCATCTAAAGCATCTAAAGTGGCCTCTGTCCCAGTAGCTGTTGGCAATGCTGTAAAATGTTGCGTCTTGTCGGTGTGGTGTATGGGCTCTTCAACACTCGTATTTTACACTTATAAAGTGCTTATAAAGCTGTTATGCATGATGGATGATCCGTGCTGTTAAGTTTCGCATATAAAATTATGCAATTTACCTTCTGTTTGGCGACGATCACAATGTTTATCGATGCACTGCTTGCAACCTCATTGAACAAAACTCCGTGTTAGTGTTTTCTCAATATCCACTCTCTTGTGGTTTATTCAAATTAAAAGTTTCTTTATCTGTAGGAATGGTTGTTAGGCGGTTGTTACTGTGATGTTAAACATAGATAAATGCCATACGGGAGAACGGGAGAACACTTTATCACATAGGGATTTTCTTCTCTATGGTTGCCTAATCAAAGTAAAACGTTTTCACGACGTTCACGACCTGACGGTTGTGTGGTGTAAGTGGTTATAAGTGAATTATACGGAAAACGGTGTTGGGTTGGATCCGCTTAAAGAAAACAAACGTGATTAACGTTGTTAAATAATCTCCTAACCCTTATTAAATAATGTACGTGGTTGCTAAAGAAATGGAAAGGCATGAGTTCTGAAGGAATTCCACCTTAGTGTACGTTGGAGTCTGCTATTAGAATTGTAGTACAGAGTCCGTTGGATATGCTTTCGTCTTTAGTAAAGGAACACCAAACAAAACAAGCCCATAGAAAAGAAAAGCAAGGTTTGTATGAGTTTGTGGACGTTTGATCACAGCAGAAAATAGCTCAATAAATCATGTCACATGGTTCTCTGAAGGGCATTTTATTTTATACTGCAGGTACGCCCAGATTTGTATCACATCGTACCCAGAAGCAAGTTGCACAGAGTGAAATCGCGTAACTGGAAAGTAATTTCCCCCCAATAAGAATCAGTGGAAATGTCTGAAATATGCCACAGAAGAACCGGAATATTTAAATAATATTTGTCATGTCCAAATTGTGTTTATATTTATTTACTTTGAAAAAGGAATGCCACTCATTGCCGAGAAATGGGATGGCATAATGCACAGAAAACCTGTGCCACTGAGTCAGAATCACTTGTCCTGTTGTCCCAAGAAAAGCACTTTCTCTCTCAGACATTAAGAAACATTAACAGGATGTATTTTAAACATTGTTGAGTATTTTTATGTGACAGTTTATATTAATAATTAACATAATAAAATTTAACACTGTTGATGTGGTAGATGGCGTGCTAAATGGATGATTTCATGGATGAGTTATGGTGTTTTATGGGTGGTAGAGAAGAGAACTGAATTGGTTCAATTAATCAGCAGTATTGAGTTTTTCATTTATGACCACTGAAATATACAGTAAAATTTCAGTATAGGTCTTTGGTTGATTTGATAGCCATGAATTTTTTAAAAAATCATCAGTCTCCCGATCTGCAACTTCTTATGCAACAATTGATACTCAAAGGCTGTGCAGCTAAGCCAAATTTCCCCTTCTGCCTGCCCCTCTCAGTTGGCAGTCCAGGAGTTTGAATTGATGTGAGCTCCAGTCATTGAAATCAGATTAAATTAGTTGATCACATTAAGATGAAATTGCATTTTTCAAACTTCAATATGTCAAATAGTTGTATATGTTTCTTAGTACATTCAAATTCTGTTAAAGAGTTTGTGTTAGTATGGACAAAAAAGAAAGTTCAAGATTTTGATATTTAGCTGATAACTGTGTCCTCCACGCTTTAGTAGGCAGGATATGCAACAAGTCAGGAGTGCAATATGTCACACTGAGAAAGTACCTGGAAATGAGATTGAAAAATTTGTGATAATGGTACAGTTATACAATTATTGTGTTTCTGGATGTTATCCAGTGTCTTTTTATATTTAAAACACAACTTTTTGGAGACTGGATTCTGTCTCTGTCTTCAGATGAAAGCCTTCAGTTGGACCCAATTGATAGAAGTAGTCCATGCCTCCAGACAGCAGTACCAACACAAGATGGGATATACTGTAAGAGTTAAACATTAAAAAATTCCACAGACATGAGGCCTAGCACCTATGTCCATGAACTGTTTTATGGCTATTGTTAAAATAAGAGTGTTGTCAGAATAGAAGTCATCACTAAAGAGAGAAATTCTCTGTATGGTACCAACATAAACACAACTTTCACACATAATCAATGCTGGAAAGAGAGATAGTTTTCTCACTTCTGCAATAATGGGAGTCCAGATGGGAGAGATGTCCAAGCTGGTTTGACTGATCGAATGAGCTACTAGAGACCTGCGAGCAGATTCCTTTTATTTCATGTAGTTGGTATTTGGTTCAGTCTGGAAGATCTTTGCTTCTTTCCAGCATATTATTGGCCTTCTTCATATGCATATTGGCTTTATTTTGATTGTTTGGAAATTTAACTGTATGTCTGTGGTATATCATCGATCAGTCAATCCAGCTTGGACATCTCTCTCATGTGGACTCCCATTATTGCAACAGAAGTCAGAAAACTACATCTCCGTCCAGTAGATTATGTGTGAATGTTGTGGTTTTTATGTTGGTATCATACAGACAATTTGTCTCATTAGTGATGATTTAGCATTAGCCATGAAATAGTGCATGGACATAGGTACTAGGCTTCATGTGTGTCAAATTTTTTTAATGTTTACCTTAACTCGTACAGAAGGTTTGTGCTGTGCTTGGTTTATATACCCTACCTTGCATTAGTGCTCGTGACAGGAGATAAGGACTTGCTCTGTTGATTTGGCCCAAATGATTAGTCTTTCACCTGAAGACAGAGACAGAATCCAAAAGTTATGTTTTAAATAAAAAACAGGAGAATGTATAATGTCCAGAAGCTCAGTAGTTGTACCTAGAAATGCATTTATATCCCACTACACTATACAAAATTACACACATAATTCTGCTACTAACTTCATTAGCAATTAAGAACTGTAGTTGGGAACAGCTAAAATTGTCATACTCATGTGTATTAGAAAATTATTATACTAAGTAAAGAAGTTATATTTAGTTCTCTTCTGTATGTAGGTGTCCCATGACTTTATGTCATAATTTGAGGAGGTCCTGAGGCCATTCTGAGTGAAAAATATTATATCAGTCATAGCTCCAAAACTGCTGGCAATAGGACTCCTGTTGACATAACATTCTTCACTCAATTGACCTTAACAGAACGCCAATCTCCATGTCTTAGTTCTTAGTGACCACAATACATGAGTCTTTGCCATTCTGCAAAAGGCCAGTTTTTCACAATTCTGTTGCATTGTTCATATCAGTCAATATGGGCTTCTTCCTCCTGTCGCCCTTCATCACTTCTGAATAACTGTATTTCTTGTCATCCTGTCTATACAGGGTGTCCCTGGAGGAATGTGCCAAACTTTGGGAGGGTGTTCCTTATGTTAAAGTATGCCGATATAACCCAAAACACCTATGTCCAAAGTTGAATGGTTACGGAGATAATGGCCAGAGAAGTGTGAAACTTTGACCGGTGTTACACACGTGTTGATTGCCAAATACATATTAAAGCTGGTAGGAATATGTGGTTTCTGTAATGTTAATAATGTATGTAACATCAAACTGACTTGTGAGTGACATGAAGCCATTAAATAGAACTACAAAAAACTTGCATGCCATGTCAAAGTTGTTAAAGAGTTCCAAGCACTATACATGACACATGAATGGCAAGCGCTGACGTAACATTGCTGACTGCGTGTTCTGGTATGCGAGTGTATGGGGCTAACATGAGCTGCCATCACCACACTCAAGGACAAACGCAGATAAGAGTAGCCAGCTGACAGGTACAGTGCATGGACCTGCCAGAAAACCACACTTTTCTCTGGCCATTATCTCCGTAACCGTTCAACTTTGGACATAGGTGTTTTGGGTTATATCAGCATACTATAACATAAGGAACACCCTCCCGAAGTTTGGCACATTCCTCCTGGGACACTCTGTATAACCTGGCTGCATCCTCACCCTGATCACCACAGTTGTGAAGATGGAGCCAGCATGTTCCTCTGAAACATAGGTAGGCACTTCCAGGAACACACACTGTTGCTACCAAGAAGATCACAATCTGGACTGTAAATATTTTTTGCTTACAGAACAAAAGAGAAAAGAAGCAGTTGCTGCTGCCAACAGTTTGACCCAAGCTCTTGTGGACCACCTGAACGTTGGGTAAATATAAAAAAGTGTGCCTATGTAGAGAGAAAATATCAAAAGTATGCCTATATAGAGAGAAAAGTAATTGTTATGCATGAAATTTTTGATAAATCAGGGGAAATGTAAAGCCATGTCCAAATGTGAGAAAATATTTTGATTTACTAATACAGCTGCAGAGGTTTGCCCCTAACTGGCATAAAAATGTCTCTGTAAATAACATAGTACAACAAAACATGATATAAGCTAAAATATGTAAGTAGCCTGTCACCATTCTGTAAAGCTGTACAATAGTATCTTTACTGTAGAGCCAAATTTGGCCAGTGTTTCAGTAGAAAAAGTGGAAATTCAATTCCCATGAAACTTTCTTTTGATGAATTTGCTGGTAGAAGTTTACTGACATTTTGGAGGAATATACTCTGTTCTGCTCACATTGTTGCTTGTTTGTCGTACAGATACACTCCAACTCTGAATATAAGACAGTACGAGGGGGTACCCAAAAGAAACCAAACTTATTTTTTTTTAAACTTATTTATTCAAATTTTAAGCACAAACCTTCAATCCCCTTCAAAGTACTCTCCACTTACACTAATACACTTGTCTAATCTTTTATTCCATTTTTCAAAACATTGTCTAAATTCATCTTTTGAGATGCTTGACAGCGCCTCCGTCGTTTTTTCCCTTCACCTCAGCAACATCAGCAAAACGCTAAAAAAAAGTTTTGATCATTTCGGGACTCTTCTTTCAAAGCACAGCATGCTTCCACGCGACCTTGTTTTTGTTCAGCAGTCAGCAGTCGTGGCACGAATTTCGCAGCCACCCTTTTCATTCCCAAATCTTCTGTCAAAATTCGCTGAACTGAGCTCCAAGTCACTCCCGACAGCTCCACAATTTCTTCAATGGTCCGTCGTCGATCTTCCTTGATGATTTCACGAATTTTTTCAACATTTTCATGTGTTCGGGCCGTGGAAGGACGACCAGAACGAGGTTTGTCATCAATTGACATTTCACCATTTTTGAAACGGGAAAACCACTCAAACACTTGAGTTTTCCCCATAGCATCATCCTTGTATGCCGTTTTTAACATTTCAAGAGTTTCTGTTCCACTTTTCCCGAGCAAAAAGCAGAATTTCACTGCCGCACGCTGTTCACGAAAATCAGCCATTGCAAAAACGACGATCACACAAAACAGTTGTCACTATAAACTCTGCCGAAACTAGTTCTTACCTTCTGAAGCAACGGTAGTCGGCTTATCGACTCAGGAATGTTAGCTCTATGTGCTCATAGCGGCAAAACATGGTACTACAAAAGCTCTGCCCACAAAAAAATTAGTTCGGTTTCTTTTGGGTACCCCATCTTATGTCCCTCTGAAATATTGGAAAAATTCTGCCATAGTACCTGGCATCATGTTTCTGAAGACAGTTCTTTGCATGGTCACCATAGTAAGCTTCAGCTTCCCATAAAAGGATAGAAGCTTCTGGAGAAAGTCTGTCCTTCATGGAATTATTAATGTTAACATTGACCACTGTATAATTATAGTTATTTGTTATAGAAATTTGGCAGCATGAGCTTATGTAATTTTTTAACTTTGCCTATGATCTGTTTTACAGAATTAACTGAATCTATGAGGCAAGGTCATTCTTGAAAAGCTGATATTCCCTCGATCCAGATATTCCATTGTTTTTGGATTTAATATTATCCTAACATTGACACCTAGGTCTTGTAAGTCCCTCTGCTCTTCAGGTATTCCAGATAAAATTTGTGTGTTTTTCTCATTTTCCTGTGCATGCTACATAACCTATCCATGAAGAAAACAAGTTATGAACCTGCTCATTATGCAGATTTCTGTATCCTCCACAGAGTAGCTCAAGCTTACTTAAATCAAAAAAGACTTGATGCAGAAGCGAAGCAACTTCATCATAGTGCTACTAACTTTGCCAAACAGACACAGCAATGGGTTAATCTTGTCGAGAGTTTTAGTGGAGCACTCAAGGAGATTGGAGATGCTGAGAACTGGGCTTGTAGCATAGAGGGAGATATGAGGACAATTACAAGTGCTCTAGAATATGCATATAAAGGTGAGTTGCTAGTATTTACCTAAGTTCAGGGACCCACTACAATGCGTGGGGCATCTGTAAAATGTCTCATCTCGTCCTGTTGGCCTCCAGTCTTTACTTCATTCCATGTTTTGCCTGCTTCTCTGGCTTCTTACTCCACTATCTTCCCACAAGTTTTCCTGGGATGACCACCTCTGCAAATACCCTGGGGGATCCAGTCCAGTGCAGTCTTTCCAACAGCTCCAGTAGGTTTCATCAACATATGACCAATCCAGTTCCATTTTCTTTTCTTCATCTGAACATCAATTGGCTGTTGATTTGTGACTGTACAGAGAGCCTTATTGGATAGAGTTTCTGGCCATCTTATGTTTATGATTCGGTGTAAACATCTATTAATAAAACTCTGCAGCATGTCAGTGATCTGCTTTGTGACCCTCCATGTCTCACAAACATAAAGTAGTACTGACTTCACATTCGTATTGAAGATGAGGACTTTAGTCTTCTTGGAAATATATTTATTTCTCCAGATTGGATATAATTGGATAAAGGCCCCACTTGTGTTTTTTATTCAATTTTTAAACATTTTCATCTGTGACCCCTTTCTTGGTCACAGTACTTCCAAAATAAGAGAAGGTCTCTACTTGCTTAGTTAGTTTCTTGTTTATAAACTGTTAGTCTCCTTTGTAATTTATTGTTTATCCTCATTTCTTTAGTCTTATTTACATTAATATCTAGCCTAACTCTCTTTGCTTCTTCTTGCAGATTTGTTAATTTTTCTTCCACATCCTGGAAACTCTGGGCCATCAAACAGATATTGTCTGCGAAGTCTAGTTCTTAGAGTCTGTCCATCATGCCCCACTGGATTCCTCTCTGTCTCATACTAGTTGTTTTACTCATCACATCATCTAACACAAGCAGAAATATAGTAGGGGATAGAATGCATCCTTGTCTTACTCCTGTAGTTACTTCAGTAAGTTTGCCATCATGCAGGACTTGGCACTTAAAGCCCTCATACATGTCTTTTAAAAGTTTCAAGATCTTAGCCAGGATACCATATTTTCTCTAAGACCTCCCAAATAACTCGTCATTTTAATGAGTTGAAGGCCTTTATTGCAATTAATGAGTGTCAAGTATAATGTGTTCTGTCATTCAGTACTTTGCTCTAAAATGATTCTTAAAGTATTTATCAAGTCGACACAGCTGCGTTTTTCCCGAAAGCCTGCTTGCTCCTTTTGAAGTCTCAGTTCCACTACATTTTTTACTCTGTTCAAGATAATTCTTGAAAGTATTTTACTTGGCATGCTTAGAAGTATGATGCCCCTCCAATTATTGCAATTTGTAGTTATTTCCCTTGTTCAGTATTTTAACAATTATACTTTCTTTCCATTCCTTTGGAACTTTTTCTTCTTGCCATATCTATTCAAATAGTGGGTGCAGCATGTTGACCGATGTTTCAGTGTCTACTTTCAGAACTTCAGGAATAATATTAGCTGTGCTGATGATTTTCTGCTTTTCATTCATTTAATTGCTATCCTTACGTTTGCCTGTGTTGGTGGATCTAAGTTTATTCTGGGATCAGTTTGAATATTCCTTTCACTTATATGTCATTATATTAAGTTGAAAGTCTGCAAACACTAGATGGTGGTCACTACCAACATCTGCTCCGCTTCTGTTTCTTACATTTGTTAGTGATCTCCTACACTTCCTGCTTATTGCTATGTGTCTCTTTGGTTTTTGGTGCTATGATCTGGGGATATCCATGTGAGTTTGTGGCATTTTTTATGTATAAACAGTGACCCCCCCCACCATTACTAAACAACTTTCCATTTTCATTCATCTCTCCAATTCCATGTTGTCCCATAATATGTTCTAGTCCTCCATTGTTGGATCCTATTTTGGCATTCATATCCCTCATCATCATAATTATGTCTCTTTTCCCTATTTTCCTGATTGTATCACTCAAGTGTTGATAGTATTCTTCTTTCTTGGTTTTTCTGTTGCCTCTGTTGGTGCATAGCATTGAATTAATGTCACACTTTGAATATTGGTCTTAAAACGTGGTGTCAGTATTGTTTCTGAAATGGGTTTCTTCTTCATGAGGCTATTCTTTCCATGCTTTGTTATCAGTAATCCTACTCCATTTCTGTGTTCAGCATTTTCCCTTCTTGCACAATTTTGTACTCCCATTTCCCCAAAGTCTAACCATCTTGCTTCACTGATTCGAAGTTGCTTCACTGATTCGCATTGGCACAACTACTCAATCTTCCGTTACTTTAATCACTTATCTTAGCTTATGTGAAAGTGATGACAATTATGCATGTGTACATATATTACAAACTGACACCAAGTACTTACTGTTAACTCTTCTTGAGTACTGACTGACTCTTGGTTCCACAATCCAAAGGGCACATGGTTTGGACTGCACTGTTAGAATTATGGGGTCACAGGTTAACATCACACTTGGGGCATAGATGTTTGTTTATATTTTCCAGTGTTGTATAAGAGAGATTCAGTAGAAACCTGTCTTGGGGGAAATTACTGCAGATTTCTTTACTTCAGTGATCAAAGTCACATTAACCACGGAGGCATATTTTCCATTGTGTCATCAGTTGCTGGATACCTTTCTTCAAGAATTCTGTAGTCTGCTGGTAAAATCAGTCACACACAGCTTGACACACCTGAACTGTGTGCTCCAAGTGCCTTCCTGAGCGGTGTGAAGCACACGAGGAGGCAGAAAAAACGAAGTTACAGATTGTCCTTGAGTGCAACTTCCTCTGTTACTTTACAGCATAGATGAGAGGTTTCTCTGACTTGGTCAGGGAAATGCCGTCCTTCCTAATCATGCTCTGTTGGAGCTGTCTCTGTGGCTTTCCTGAGATGCCAACCATGCATCTACATTTTCTGGCAGAGTTTGATGCTGTGTTCTGCTGTAGCTGACAGGTCTGATTGATAGAGACAGACACGTATATGGTGTTCTTTAATTTGGAATGCCCAGCCTCTTTAATGTAAACCTCCCCACAAAACAAATACAAGTTGATTGGTAGTAACAACAAAATATTTAATTTTCTGTATTTTTCACCAGCTTTGTCTTGGAAATAAATATTTACCTTAGTACTTTGTATGTGATTATTTCCATTTGATATAACTTTCTTCACATACACTTCAGAACATTAAATAACAGTGGGTGGGAGTATATCTTTATTTTTGCTTAATCTTTAACATTATGAAAACATACAGAATTCTGAATAAAAATTGCTGCAACTGCCACCACCACATTGAGCATGTTTGTGTAGTACTAATACTATATGTGTATTCAGCAGGTGCCCAGTTCAAATCCTCACCAGGACTGTGCCTATCCTGGTCTTAATTTTTTTATGGTTTTCATCAATTCTTCCAGGAAAATGTTGGGATTATGCCTTGATTAGGCTGCACCTGCTGCCTTCCAAATCCTTTCCAATTCATTATTAATTAATCATGATACCCTTTGATGTTCTGTTTTGTGAGGTACTGACAGCATTTTAAAAGCTGCAAAAAAAAACATTGGCACAACTACTCATTGTCAATTTTTGGAGGGAAATAATGCAGTTTCTTTTTTTTTCAGCAACTCAAGAAACACCATAGTTCAGTGCATTTACTGGGTTGTTTTAATGGATGAGCCATAAACACTGTATGTAGCTCATGATGCTTTCTCTCTCATGGTCATTAATTAGAATAATTATGAGAATTAGTTGTATGAAATGAAAATCATTTAATTATGGAATCTTTTTTATTAGTCTTGTCACTTAGCAACCAGAATCTGGAGACAGCTTGTATTTTGAGCATTTAAAAAGGTCATTTTTTTTGTCTCAGATGATTCCATTATTTGGTCCTGAGATACAGTTCACATTTATTTTTTCTTCTCTGATGTTTTGTATTTGTATATTTTATATGGAAAATAAATACTTCTGTACCTTGTGTAAGTTTTACCTAATGGTTTATATGATTTATTTATCATATGTAGCTATGTATGGATACTATTACTGGAAGATTTTTTACAACAAAAGGTTCATTATAGAATAAACTCCAATATTTCAAAAAATATCTGTCTCCAAAATGTTGGATTTTTATTGTAATCATTGTACTTAGTTTCCATGATAATGTAAAATTTCATGTTTTGCTTAGTTTATGCACTCTTAGAATGCTGTAGAAACTTGGAATTTTAAAAGGGAGATGTATGGAAGTGTAAACTCCTTTTTAATATCTGGAAACCTCGAAATTCAGTCCTTAATGCCAAAGATGCCAGATCTGTCAAACAGTAGAACAGAAATATTGATATTTATGGCTACATTTTGAGAAGAAAAAAAGAAGTTTACAAAATTTGGTGTGGCACTAAAAAATTCATGATTCTTATGTTTTGTCACAATGTACATGCTCAGTTAGGAGTGGGGAAACAGTTTAGTAAAAGGGCCATGTTTGTGAATACAATATATTTATAAATAGCATGTGATTTTAGCATATGCATATGTACAGAGTGTTCATAGCCGAGGCTGATTCGACACTGATTTTACCGTCGGCAACTTCATGCGAAAGCGATGCGCCACCTGCCGAGGAAATTGCTGTCGCGCGGCCGGAACTGTTAGCGCACATTATTTATTTCTTCCGCTAATTATTAATCAAATATAGTAATTAATATTGTACTCACCATCATAGAAGATGTTCAAAATGTCTGCCCTCTGTTGTGAGACATGCCTGAATTCTTTTAAACAGATTTTGGGAAACTTGTTGCAATTCACGTTGCTGGATGTTGTCAATTGCTTCCCGAATATTTTGTTTTAGAGCCTCCAAGTCATGTGGATTGTTGGCATACACAACATTTTTTAGTTTTCCCCACAAATAAAAATCACAGGGGTTTAGATCTGGGGATCTAGGGGGCCACAAACCCTTGCTAACAATTCTATCGTCACCATTTAATTCCCCAAACACACCGCGTAATGCTCGGATAGTTTCCTTAGCTGTGTGTGGAGTCGCGCCGTCTTGCATAAAATAACCGAATCTTTCTTCTGCAGGTGCCAAATTAACGAAAAATTGGTTGAGTATTTCATTAATGTATCGTTGAGCATCAAGAGTTCCTTCATAAAATATAGGTCCAATGATACGGTGTGCGCTAACCGCACACCATACGCCTATCTTTTGGTCGTAAAGGGGAAGTTGAATTAGCGCATGAGGATTTTCACTACTCCAGTACCTGTTGTTTTGTGAGTTAACATATCCCGAGAGATTAAAATTAGCCTCATCTGTGAAAAATGTCAGCTTAGGATCCAGAAGTCCGTCATGCACATGATTGATAAACCAATTACAAAACCTCACTCTTTTTTCATAATCCACAGGTTTAATTTCATGAACAACAGTAAATTTATACGGACGAATATGCAACAGTTTAGTTGCTGTCCATGCACTGCCTAAAGAAACACCACTTTGTTGTGCTAATCGCCGCAAAGATTTTCGAGGAGAATTTTCTAATCGATGACCGATGTCATCAAGTTTTTCCTCAGTTAAAACACGATTTCTTTTTAACGGCTTTCTGTCAATTAAAATGCCGTGGGTTCGAACTTTCTTCACTAATTTGGAAATTGTATCCCCAGATGGACATGTTGTTTCGGGAAATTTAAGCCGAAATTTTCTCCTGCATGATTTGTATGAGTGTGTTTTCACATAACAATCATAAATGAAAACTCTTTTTTCTAAACTGTATCTCGCACGAACCATAATAAAGTCACAGAATAATGCACTATACTTAGCTTCTGAAACACTTGAAGGCTAAACACAGACTGAATCAGCGCATGAATCACCGCCCGTTTGCCGGTCGGTGCTAGAGCATCTGCTGAGAGCAAATTCTCGGAAGTTCCCTGGACGTCTGATAAGCCTGAATAATGAACACTCTGTAGACGTCTATTTTAATCTCATTCTCCTGTCCACAAAAGTTTCTTTTCACTGCCAATTATGTCCATAAATTATGTTTTACTCAGTCCTGTCCTAAATGGAAGTCAGAAACATGTTTATATTCACCAATATGCAGAAGGACAAAATGGAAAGGGTACTCTGTGATGTAGTACACAGAATTTACAGTGGTGTTTTTTTGTAGTTCATTAAGCTTCATTGCTGCCTGGTTATAGAATTTTTTTAACGGTTTATGGTGTACACAAAAGAGTCCATATACAGCTTTAAGTAAAGTGGGCTGTATTATGGATCATTATGGTTTAAAACTGAAATTCCCCAACTTTCAGTGAATGTCTTCCATGTCATATTTAAAGAGAAATGTGTCCAACAGTTCAGGTGCTGATACTAGGTCACAGACAAATGGACAGACATGATCTTTTAACAAACTTGTGCAAGGGCTCCAATAAAAAAGGTTATCAGAATTAGTCTGATTAGTAGTCAGTATATGGACTGGCTATGGGCTGAATGACTGAGGGTTCAGAGTTTGAGTCCCAGTGGGGTGAAGAATTTCCACTTCTCCAGTTGTCCAGACCGGCTGTTGGGTCCTCCTATACAATGGATACCAGAGGCTCTTTCCAGGGAGTAAAGCAGCCGGTGCATGAAGCTGACCACTCACCTTCAGCTAGTGCTGAGGTCAAGAAAATGTGGGTCTAAACATCCACTCCCCTGTACATCTTCATGGCATAGTGCTTAAGTAGTTAAGCACAGGGATAACATTACCTTTATATAGTGTGGCTCATTCTTATGTGCCATATTTTACAGGATGGTTTCTGGACATTAAAATAAGTAAAATTTTATATGAGTATGTACCCTGAGGGCATTCCTTCAAAAGTCATAACTACAGGCTCTTTCCCTGCGAGTAAAGCAGCTGGGGTGTGATGGCTGTTCATTGATTTATTTAGGTGAGACTGGAGTGATATACGTAGGCACTTGATTTGTAGAGTCCACTAGCAGCCATAATTTTCAGGTGGCTGTCAGAGATGATAGCACTAGTAAAATACTAAACCTGATAGAACAACAGTATCTTGTAAGCAGTACTGTTAGCTAGAGGAAATGTTTTTGGCAAAGGTTGCCTGTGAGAACTGATCATTTCTTATCACCATTTTACTGCATACACACAGGGCTTGAGGTGCGGCGGGATGACATCCCGGTTCTTTTCTAAATGGCTTAAAAACATCCTGTTACTTCTTTGGCAGTAAATGCAATGTACAATACCTTTTTTGTTAAAAGGGGAAAACCATCCCGGTTCTATTTTCATTCCACCTCGAGCACTGCGTACACATGGTATTTGTTTTTGATGAAGTTCAAGCAGTGCTAACTGAAGCTTAGGTACCTTTTCCTGCCACCTGGTGGTCCAATAAGTAACTACTAGCAAGAAATACTTCCATGTAATGACAGAATAAAGGTAGAATCACAAGCCCTTGTCTTTTATGTGTGTGGCTATTAAATGAAGAACCCCTATTTATTTTATTATTAGATCTAAAATTTGAAAAATGATTCATTTCATAAGAGATCAAGTAAGTTTTTCCAAGTGCTGGGTGAGCACAATGTTTGTCAAAATGATTTAACCCACGCTGTTTCACAGTCCATCATTTTCTTTATTTTTAACATAATAATTATATGACTTGCCTTGTTTTATTTCTTGTCATCTAAAATTTGTCCCTTGACCTGCCTGATCAAGATAAACTTCAAATTTGTTTCTGCTAATTCCACAGGTTTATAGAACTTTAATTTTTCAAGTATAGAATATTTTCCCTGTAGCAGGGCCAGCATAACAGCACAACCAAGTGGTCAGCTGGGGTGCACACTTTCAAAACCTTTTTTTCCCCCTCTCTTTTTTTAATGAAGATTAGTAGTTTCTGCTGCTCTTTTGTTCATACTGTGACCATTAACTAGCAATAATCTAAATCAGTGGTTCTTAACCTTTGTGAGACCGCGGTCCAATATATTCTTTTTTTATAAGATGGCCTGGTACTGGGCTGCGGTCCAGCAGTTGAGAAACACTGATCTAAACATTTTATGCAACAGTGTAAATAAAATGAGAATTGTAACACCAATAATGGTTTTCGTCAGTGTACAGAAGTGTCTGGTTGTTAACTGTGATGCTCTGAGAAAGCTGGTCTGGTTCTAGCTGGGGGTTGTTTAGGCTTCTATGGGCCCCACATAGTAGCCATTTCTTGACGTCTATCAGAAGATTTACAAATACAGTTTGAGATTTTGATAGTTTTCCTTCTTGTGAGATCTGAGATTTTGGTAGTGGTGATTATTACGAGGAATATCCAAACTCACATAGTGGTACCAGACATTACAGACCAGTAAAAAACAAATTGAATGACTTTACATATTTCTCTCGTGCTGGAAAACTTAAAAAAGATCTATAATTTCAAAGTTTTTGACAAACAGCACTGCTGTAAGACCTTAGGTATGCTTAAAACATTTCCTTTATCTGTCCCCTACACACTTTGTCATAACATAATGACAATAATGGGGAATATTGTCTGGGTTGAAAGAAACTGGAGAAACAGTGTGCAATACTGACATATCTGCCCTAGACTGTATATTGATTAAAGGAAAGAATGACACAGTATACAAGCCAATATTCTAGTCCCTGTTATCTGGAGCTCAAGTGTAGAGGTGATGGTACTAGCATACAAGGTGTGCTGAAGTTAAGGTTCATACCTTCTAGATGTCTACAGTAGATGAGGTGTATGTTCAGTTTAATGTACCAACTGAATTTGTCCGTGGCAAGACAGCCCTTAGTACCAAAGTATAGTGTTTGGCTGAGAAGATCCGGTGTCATTTGGATGGTGAAGAGAGAAACCCTTGCCGCTGCTGTTAGTCAACCCACATCGGATGCTTATTTTTCAGCATTAAAATAAAATTAAGCTTTATTTGCTGTGCCATATAATGTAACAAGGTTTCTGGAGGTGCATTTTGTATATGTATAGTTTATAATGAAAATATATTACTACTGTTAGTGTCTTAAACTGTAACAAATAAACACTATGTATTTAAAATGTTATGTATAATCCTTGGAGTTTTTTTTTTAATTTGCTTAGTAGGGGGTGGAGTCCAACTGGGTCCACTTGGCACGGTGGCCACTGATTGGCCTATTGTAGCTTGCCCAGGGTGATTATGATGATGGAGAATTTGGTGGAATTAAGATTGGCAGGGGAAACTGAAGTATTCGGAGAAAACCCACCCCAGGGCCACTTTGTCCACCATAGATCCCACTTGAACCCGGGCAGCTGCGGTGGGAAGCCAGCAACTAACCGCTTGAGCTATGGCGCGGCCAATCCACTAAGAGACTAATGAGCAGTATATATGCAGGATGGTACAGGGGAATTAAGGTTCATAATATTTATTTAATTTTGCTGCACTCATTACAACCTTTGGGTTCCACACAATTCTGGGAAGTTCTTGAGTAGTTGCACAGTTGGCAGTTTCTCAAGAAGGGTTCAGCTACATGAGTGAGTGAGTACACATTACAAAAGTGTTACTATGATTTCCTATTCTTTTTTTTTCTGTAATTATATACACTGTCCATATACAGGCATATCTCGTTTTATTGCGCTTCACAAGATATTGCATTTTTTTTATAAACTGAAGGTCAAGGACTCTGAAGTCAATATATTTCGTAAGGCTATAGCTGTCATAGATAGTGATTCCTGTGATGGATTTGGGGAAACTAAACTGAAAAAGCTTCTGGAAAGGATTCACCATTCTAGATACCATTAAGAACATTTGCGATTCATGGGACAAGGTCAAAGTATGAACATTAACAGGAGTTTGGAAGTTGATTCCAACCCACATGGATGACTGATAGGTGAGGACCTCAGTGGAGGAAGTAACTGCAGATGTGGTGGAAACAGAACGAGAACTAGAATTAGAAGTGGAGCCTGAAGATGTGACTGAATTGCTGTACTCTCAATAAACTTTTAATGGATGAGCAAAGAAAATGGTTTATTAAGGTGGAATCTGCTCCTGGTAAAGATGCTGCCAACATTGCTGAAATAACAACAAAGGATTTCGAATATTACATGAACTTAGTTGATAAAGCAGTGGTAGGGTTTGGGAGGACTGACTCCAATTTTGAAAGAAGTTCTGTTGTGGGTAAAATGCTATCAGACAGCACTGAATGCTACAGGGAGATCTTTTGTGAAAGTAAGAGTCAATCGATTCACTAAACTTCACTGTTGTCTCATTTTAAGAAATTGCCACAACCACCCTAACATTCAGCAACCACCACCCTATTCATCAGCAGCCATCAACACTGAAGGAACACCATCAGTAAAAAGTTTACGACTTGCCAAAAGCTCATATGGCTAGCATTTTTTAGCAATAAAGTATTTTTTAATTAAAGTATATTCATTGTTTCTCAGACATAATGCTATTGCACAATTAATAGACTACAGTATTGTGTAAGTATAACTTTTATATGCACTGGGAAACCAAAAAATTCATATGTCTTGCTTTATTGCTGTGAAGAATCGAGACATCTTTCCCTTTTAATTCCCCGACTTATGATCCATGACTGCATAGCGTTTGCTCTACTAGTTTTTGAGCATTATTTGCCAGGCGGTAAAGACGTTAACCCGGAACGTTACAGTGACAGCTCAGGTACCGTTGCTTAGTAACGGCGAGTAAACAGTCGTTTCTATGTAAGGTCAACAACAGTGGATCGTGTGCTACCCAATCGCAAGCTAGAACCCATTCGCTGCCTAGCAACGGCTGAGTAAACAGCCGGTGCTGAGCAAAGCCTGTAACAGTACGAACAGTGACATGTTTTCTATAGGGCCGATAAATAAGAAAATACACTAAGTGGAAGTTTACAGTTCGACATTTTAATGACAGTTCTTAACACTTAAGGACCGATTGTGAAATTACTTGTTCAACATTTTGTGCTATAGTTACGTGGAGGAGTAATAAGGTGACGTCACAAGAATACACCCCTCAAGGTCTTGTTTCACGACAATTGCGGAGATCTGGAACCGAACCTGTAATATCTCCCAGGTATACCTAGATAAAGTTCATGTCGCCCGTCATTATCGTCATTATAGTTCCATAATTGGTAAACACGTACCAGACGCAGAATACAACTACAGCATTGAAAGTGCTTCAACATTACAAATCCCTAACTTTTATAGCCGATATGCGTAGTTTTAACATTAATCACCCTGCTTCCGTATTTCCCCCAGGAAATAAACCACACGAACATTCCTATCGTCAGATTAATCCGTTTTTACTCCTACTCCCATGATCCCCGACGATACCCGATCCTCCCCGATGTCCCCGATCACACCGATCACACCTACAATGACGGCCATATTGGTGTAAGGTGGAGCTGTAGAAAGCGGATGTGTGTTTAGTATTTAACACTGCTTTGGTTTAATGTTTGTAATATCAAATTTATCGTATGTATGTAATGATAGAAGATGTGAGAACCTGGACGTGTGAGGAAGTTCCTTCATTATAATATAAAGAGTATTAAAGTACGAGTAAGTGTTTAAAGGACGTATACAGTTATGATGTGGTCGTAGTAATGGCCAAAATTTGGATTTGAAACGTATTTCTTCAAAAGGGGTCAGAGATAATTAAAATTACCAATAAATTAATTTGAATATGGCAATATACTACAATACAAATGAGGGAAGAATAAAAACAGCAGCGTTTAAAAGCATATAAATTGTTTCGCGTAACCATGATGTCCTTGTATGGACAAGAAATCCATGGGTTACGTGTTCAATTTATTAAATGCAGTGGATTTGTAGGTATAATGTCGTGCCACAGTTTTTCCTGTATTCTTTTCAGTAGTGCAAGACTGTCTGAAATGTATATCTAACGTGAGTCAACATATCAATATTTTTAACAGCAGGCAGTAATGTACATTTTTCAGTGCCATTACGTTGTAATTTTTTATACTTAATATTGTAAGTTACAAGTAATGATGAGCGGTGTTTTAAATTCTTGAACGTTTCTTTCATTCAGGCCAGTTTAAGGTTGGGCATGACGGCTGTTTGACACATGAGTCATCCAAGATCTGTGCTTCTAATTTACATGCTTCCTGTGATGTAAGATTTAATTTTGTTTGAAGGAGTGTAAATTCACTTCAAACTGTTTTAAGTGATCTTTCAGAAGTTGTTATGTTGTCATATATGGAGAGCAAAGAAGTGTTTTAGTTTTTATATGAGTACATCATGCAGTGGCATTTTGTAGAGTCTTTGTGTTTGATTGTGTAGGTCAGAATTGGCCTAGATAGTGGGTGAGGTGGGATTAGCAATATGCCGTTCCCGCCCCCTCCACCTCCACCTGGGCCACCAGCACCAACATTTGGGAGTGGTGTTCCCCAAACAGCGCATTCAAATGGAGAAAGTAGAAATCTTTTGCTGCAGTCTATTCGCCAAGGAACAACACTGAAGAGAGCTGTCACAAATGATCGTAGTTCACCTTTAATAGGTAAGTTCTAGCTTTTCCAAGGTTGGTTGTTAGGAGTGGACGGTAGTGTATGCAGATCTTGTGTGAATGACATATGAGGTGTGTTTTGTAGTTGCCACAGCAGAAGCTGAAGCTTCAGTTATGCTCTTATAGTATTTGTTTATTTACTTAATAGCATTTAATCTTATAAAATAGAGTTTTCTGTGATAATTTTACACTGTGTCTAGAAGTAAGATGAGGTATATTTTATTCATAGTTTAAATACTTTAGTTACATTACTCAATTGGCTGCGCCATAGCTCAAGTGGTTAGTTCCTGGCTTCCCACTGTGGCAGCCTGGGTTCGATCCAGGGGCTGGTCAAGTGGGATTTGTGGTGGACGAAGTGGCGCGGGGGCAGGTTTTATCTGAGTACTTGGTTTCCCCTGCCAATCTTCATTCCAGCAGTTGCTCCACAATCACCCTCACCTATCATCTGGGGCTGGTACAATAGGCCAGAAGTGGCCGCAGTACAAGGGACTTAGTCCTACCCCACTAGCATTAAAAAAATTAAATTGCTTGAAATAGGTTGTTCAACATATTTATGAAAGCTGTGTTAGAATAATGCCACAGTAAAAGATTGAACTGAATGAGTTTGAGTGTGTTGCAAGAAAGAATGTGTGATATTTTCCCATGTAATGATGGGTTTAAGTTGTCATATGGAGATGACATGATATTTGCATCTTCAGCATTGTCAATAGTAGAAATGGCCAAGTCTCAGTTCATGCAGGTGTTGCAGTGGGTTGATATCTGCTTCAGTTATGGGTTGCAGTTAAATTATTCTGAACAATGTGAACAATGAATGTGTGAATCACTTATTTCAGGCACATCCAAGGTGTTGATCACGGGACAATTTTTGGTTGATCTCATAGGGCAATAAGAAAATTGTACGTGAAATGCATGTAAATTCACATAATATTGTAATGTGTTTTGATACTGAAGACACCGTTCGGATTGTTAATTAGTTTATTTAACAACCTACAAGTCATAACTACAAATACTTATAACACTGTTGTGGGTTTAGACAATTTATGAACCCCAGACAATAATCTGTTCACTCTTATCTTCAATGGTCTTCACTTATTCACAGTACAATATGGGAGCTATACCAGTGTCACTGTATTACACACTCCCAATAACTTCTCACACTATTGCCTCTTAATCACACATTCCGATATTCTTCATGTTCATGATACACTTGCTAAACTTAACTCGGCGACCGCTACGATTCAACTGACTCCTTAGGCAGTGCAGTTCTCTTATAAACCCTCAGCCAGATAACGGAAAGTGCACCTCGCTTCCCTGTTGCGTAATCGCCGTGTTTACAGGCGTTCCTGGGCAGTGCTGTCGAGAGTTGTTTACTGCTGTGTAGTAACCACGGTATCCCTTGTTACGTCACTGTGGGAAGTGCTGTTATGTCACCGCGGCAATGGTTGCCTGACACAGTTGCTCTTCTGTTACGTCACTGCAGGGGAGGGGGTCTTTACCGAGTGTTGCGTACTGATGGAAGGAGTGGGGGTATGTGACATCACTTGTGAGACCGCAGAGTTCACGTGACCCCTACTTCCTGTTGCGCCATCCACGTCGCAATATGATATGATTATAAAGGAAAATACTTATTAGTTATTCCTAGTTTTCTGTTCTTATGTATCTTACGTGAAAATTGCTTTACACTTGTGTTAAGTGAACTGTGGGGAAGTCCCTACTCTATCCTTGTCATGTGAACTCTTATTTCATCGCTCGTCGTCAGCCGCGTGTGTTCTGATGCAAGAATGATTGACAGAATGTATGATTCACTTCGTTCCCTCCCTCCAGTCAACTGTGAATCCCCGTACGTTGAACTAACAAGTGAGACGTGTTATTATATTAGCTGTTAGTAGAGATTTGTTGCTTTGCTGTACTCAGTGCTCAGTGTAATCAAAGGGACAGTAAGTGCTCTGCTCATGTTATTTTATTCATTTCAAAAGCGTCTGTGTGCGTGTTGTCAGATAAAACAGTAACATCAATATAGTGGAAAATGCAATGTCTCAGTATCCTTGCCAAAAAGGGTATTCTGGAATGTCATTATACTGCTCTCCATAGCAATAAGTATGATGTTGGTTTTACACCCAAAAGTGAAATTCGTAAGCTCAGAGGACTTAAATCGAAATTAGCTGCTCAACATCAATTGATGGCAAAACCAAGGTCACTTTCTAACAATGCAACCAAATCATCCTTCAAGGTCATCAATCTGATTGTTAAAAAATGCAAACCTTTCACTGAAAGGGAATTTGTAAAAGAGTGTTTTCTTGAAATAGCTGATAATCTTTTTGAAGGATTTAAAAATAAGAAAGAGATCATAGCAACTATTCAAGATCTTCAGTTATCAAGAAACACCATTGTGCGGCAAATAGGAATGTTGTGTGGAAACGTAACTGAACAGTTGTCGAAAGATGTTTCCATAGCCTTTGACAATTAATATACATTTATGTGATGCAGTTTTTCTTCTTAATTTCACCCAGATTTAGTCAGTTCAGTGTTGTTTAAATTTTATTGAAGTTTTCATATATATTCAATTACAAAAATTATACAAAGTTTTGACAGTGAAATTGAAACTAGAAATAATACACAAGCTGGAAGAAGTTCTGCCAGAAGTATTATAATGTCATATGGTGTATGTTTTCAGCGTAATGTATAGTTTATGTAACTGCAATGAAGCTGCAGTAAGAACAAATGTAGTGACATAAATTTAAAGGATTAATTCAGAATAATAAGTGATTTCCATGGTTAAATTTACTGTTGGTAATGGGTATTTCTAGATCTTTGGATTACCTGTTTTTAGTTATCCATGCCACTTTTCCCTTTATTACTTCAGGTCACTGTATTTGTGTTTGTTTGAAATATTTCTGTGATGGCACAGTTACAAATGTTAGTGGAAACTCTGCACACTCCCTGGTATAAATTTTGTGTTGATTGGTGGTTGGGGAATTCAAACACTTTTCCACAAATTGAGATGTTCAGAAGTGAGCATCAGAAATATTAAATCTATAGAGTTGTACAAAATTCCTGTAACAGGTCCTTTCTGCCATGTGCCTGTCGAGCTGTAGTGTGCCCATTTGGTTTTTTCTGCACAGTACTTATGAATTTATGGACCATATTTCTAGTATCATAGTTTTTGGTTTTTAGAAAAATGTGATATTTTATCATTTTAGGAAAAGTAAGCAATATGTCTAACAGTAATAATAACAACACCAATGTGAGTGTTCCAAGAAACAATAACAATCATGGAAGTACCTCAGACTTGTCAAGAAATGGGCTTGGAGGACTTTTTGCAGGAGGAATGCCTAAACTGAAGCCTACTGGACGAGGATATAGTAAGTACCTAAACGAGTGATGTGTCTTATGTGAGACTGCAAGAAAACATTTGCATTCATGGAATGATGTGATAGAATTAAATTCAATGTAACGAAATTATCATTTGTGTGAAGCATTTTTTTTTGTTCCCTTTCCCATATCCATGTGAACATTATTATGAAACAGAGAACTAGAAAGTCTTTAATATAACCAGCTCAGATTGAGTTTCGATAGCAGCAAGAATTTAGTATTGCACAAGAAAGGATAGGAAATGTGAGAATTAACATCATATTCAGGTTATTATTATTATCGGAGGGGGTGGGTTTCCCCATGCACCACGACTGATAGTCTATTGTACGTCCCCCTTTAATATTCTACCAGTCTCCATACCCTACCGGTATTGGTGCGTGCTATCAGCCCCATTTGAGCCGAGGTCAACCCTTGGTACCTTGATGCTTCCCCATCTACCAGAGGCATTGGAAACTACTTGGGCAGGAAACTTGCCTAATTTAGCTCAGAGGTCTCCTAGAGACATGAGGTTCTTTTACGTGCCGTAAATCTACGACACAGGACACACAGCTTAAAGTCCCTCCTGGAAGACTCGTTCCCTGAATTTTTCCACGCTTAAAAATTGCATGACCTCCGCCAGGTTTCAACCCGCGTACCTTGAGTCATGAGGTGGGAATGTTATCCCTAGACTATGGAGGCTGCTATCATATTCAGGTTAATACACTTTGAAAAATAACTTGGTGGAGAAAAGTGCGTAATAAGAATGTTTGAAATACTCTATTCATATATCTGCATTTCATGAACTATTGAGCCATAAGATGTTTTGTTCAATTAATTGGTCTAGACTAGCCTTTCACAACCTTTTTACCTTGGAGGAACCCTTAAGGTAATTGAACGCAAGTTCCCAGGCTGAGCAGATGATTCAGAGTAAGGGTTCCTCACCCAGTCATACACTTGTGTTGAAAGGGAGGGAAAGTAATGTTTAATTTTGTTCTGTAGTCTTTCAAGGTGGTTTTCAGTAAGATTCAAGACTTGCTGATATCCTTGTTCACTCTGAAGCCCCAGCAGAAGTGGAAACTTTTCAGGATTTCCTTTCACAACACGATTTTTCCAAAGATTCAGTAGTGTAGTGGTTAAGGCACTATGCTACAAGTCGGAAGGTCGCGGGTTCAAATACTGTTGAGATCATTCAATTTTTTCAGTTGACCTAATCCTTCCGGCTGCACTATGTTCCTGGGGTTCACTCAGCCTCTAACAGAAATGAGTACCAGGAATAGCTTTACTTTTTTACTTTTATGGGTGTGAAACTTGGTCACTGACATTAAGGGAGGAACATAGACTAAGGGTTTTTGAGAACAGCATATTGAGGAGAATATTTGGACCAAAGAGATATGAAGTAACAGGAGGTTGGAGAATACTGCATAATGGGCAGCTTCATAATTTGTACTATTCTCCAAGTATAATTATAATGATGAAGTCAGGGAGGATGAGATGGGCAGGGTATGTAGCACAAATGGGGGAAGAGGAGGAATGCATATGGGATATTGGTGGGAAAGCCCGAAAGAAGGAGACCACTGGGAAGACCAAGATGTAGTTATTTAGTTAGTTAGTTAGTTAGTTAGTTATTGGAGAGGGTGGGTTTTCCCATGCACTGCGACCAGTTTGATCCATTGTGCTTCCCTCTATGATATTCTACCAGTCTCAATACCCTACCGATACTGGTGCTTACCATCAGTCCCGACCAAGCCAGCGAGTTCGGCCTCTACTGGCTTGGCGGTATCTATAATGCTTCCCCTATCTATCAGAGGCGTTAGAGACTACTGTTGGGCAGGAAATGTCCTTGAATTTGGCTCTGTGATCTCATTAGGCGATATGAGGTTCTTTTACATGCCATAAAGCTATGACACGGGACCCACGGCTTAAAGTCCCTCCCGGAGGACTTGTTCCCTGAATTTTTCCGCCCTTAAAAATTCCACGACCTCCGCCGGGTTTGAACCCGTGTACTACGAGTCATGAGGTGGGAACATTACCTCTAGACTACGGAGGCCGCTAAGACCAAGATGTAGGGAATGGACAATATTAAAATGGATCTTAGAGAGATAGGATGGTATGGTATGGATTGGATCGAAGTGGCTCTGGATAGGGACCAGTGGTGGGCTCTTGTGAACACGGTAAGGAACCTTTGGGTTCCATAAAATGCTGGGAAGTTCTTGAGTAGCTGCACAGTTGGTGGCTTTTAAAGAAGGGCTCAGCTCCATGAGTGATGTGTTATGTGTATATCTGTATAGAAAGTGTTAGAAAATAACTCCACATGATTCGCTGCTTAACACCGAGGTGAAAATGTGGCTTGATAATATTTCATGCAGTGTGTAATTATTGTGCAATTGCAATTAAAGTTGAAGTATGGCAATGCCATATGCTTTCCCCATAACTATGTTTTCTGTGGAGACAGTGCATCAATCAAAATTCCATCAAGGGGCATCTTCATCTCAGTATTCATCAAGGAATTGATGGGAATCCACAGGTGTGGATATGTATTCCTTGTTGCTGCATGACATTCAGTTTTAAAACACCTTTTCAAGAAAGTGTTGTGTCAGCTGGGGTTTTATCAAGGGACATTTTCATCTCAGTGTTCATCAGTGACTTGTGGTAAGAGTCCATAGATGCCAGTATGTGGACATATGTGAAGTCTATATTGTGCAATTTGCATCAGAATTCAGTTTGATTTTGTAAGAATTCTGAAGCTTAATTTTCTTCAACTGTAGTCACATAAAACAGAGTTGTTCTAAAATGCACCTGTAGTGGGTCTGTTCTGTACAAAGAAGGTATTCATTTGCGGTAAAATAGCTTGCATTTTATTCTTTTTCTTTATTTTAATGGATGATTTTTGTTTTATTTTGTTTGCTGAAGTTAATTACTCATACAATTGTAGAATGCTTTGTTATTATCACACAGACAACTGCAAATAAAATTATTTATTTTTGGATTGGGATGCAAATGAATTGAACATCACTAATCCATTTGTTCTTTGTTTTATCCTGTTGCTGAATGACAAATATGAAGACATCTTCACGAAAAGTTCTCAACTAAATTGTATTTTTAATTTACAGGTGCCAGTACTACATCTCAGACAACGTCTGGATGCTCCGGACCAGAGGGTACTCTAAACTCAAAACCAAATCTTCCGTCATCCCAGGTATATTTTGTTTTTGTTCTTCTTGTGTTCAGTTTGGCGTACATAAAATATAAAACTTCATATATCAATCCCGTGTACGTTGTCTGTTGAAAAGTTTCGGAACTATTTTCTAATTTTTTTCGGACACGCCTGCAACTGAGTGAGCCTTATCGCTTTTGAAGGACTTCCCCCCTGCATTGATGCATCACTCCCAATGCCATTACCATTTCTGGAAACAGTCCTGGTGTGCCTTTTTTGGGATTGTGAATTTTCTGTAATGTCTTGAATCATCTAAAATCTTCTTCCTTTCAAAGTTGATTTCAGTTTGGGAAATAAGAAAAAGTCTACTGGGGCTATGTCAGGTGAGTAGGGTGGCCGAGGAAGTACACTTATGTTCAAGTTGTCCAAAAAGTCATGAATCAGTAGTGCTGCATGTGCAGGTGCATTGTCATGATGGAGGAACCAGGAGTTGTTTCTCCATAGCTGAGGTCTCTTTCTCCTAGCATTTTCTCTCAGACATTTAAGCACTTCGAGATAATAGCAGCAGTTCAGTGTTTGCCCCTGATGTAAGAAATCATGATGCACAGCCCCTTCATTGTCAGCAGAAACCTTCAACTTGACTTTCACATTTGACTTGACTTGCTGCATCTTTTTCAGTCTGCAAATTTTTTGCAACCCATTGTGAAAACTGTATTTTTGTTTCCACATCATATCCATAAACCCATAGTTCAGTGCTGGTTATAATTCTTTTCAGAAAGTTTTTGTCCTCACTAGCTCAATCTAAAAGTTCCTGACAGATGACAACATGACTGTCTCTCAGATCCTGTGTCAGAAGTCATGGGATAAAATTTGAAACTATCCTATGCAATTATAATTTTGTCATTATAATGTCGTGAAATGATCCTATTGATATGTTGCACTCTTCTGCTATTTCTTCCACTGTCAGATTGTGATTAGGATGCACAATTTCACAAACTTGCGTGACATGAGCATTATCACATGACGAGGGCTGTCCTAAATGTGGTTCATCATGTGGTGACTCCCAACTGTCCTTATAGCACTTAAACGATTCATAACATGTATGGCTCATGCACTGACCACCGTAAACATTATTCGTTTCATGAGGCTGTATAAACGTTTTCCCTAGTTTGAAAAAAAAATTAATATTAATACGCTGCTCATGAATATCGGCCATCTCTAATATCGAAAGACACACTGTACACACACGTGAACAAATAGCTCTGGGGTGATGACTGATCACAACAGGATGACGTGGCAGATAAGGATAATAATTAGGAAGCATGCCACTAGGCAGCACAACTTACCTGACATTGCTAAGATGTCGAGTTGGCGTGCTATTTCAGAAGTTCTGCAATTTTTAAATAGACCATGTACTTGTGCACTATGTTATCACTTCCTCATTAAAATCATGACAGTTGTATATGTGTTACCACGGTTTGAATTTTTAGCCTGCTTTCCGTATTTTAAACAGAGACAGGCTTATGGTATCATTCTTGCTGTGTTTGTGTGTATGTTGGTCAGCCTACTCCCCTGCCTCCAAATAATTGCTACTTTTAAGATGCATTTCTATTCAGCTTAGATAATCAGGCCTCCCCACCTTATTTTTAAAGCCCTGACATCAGTGACAAGAATGTGGCAGTCTCACAGTCTGCAGATGTGCCATTTAATGAATGGTTTTGAAATTTTGTATGGTAGTGGTTGGTCAGCAACCTTTCTCACAATATGAAGGAGTATGGTGATAGTGAGGAATATGGCAACTAGATTTAGCTAAGCTTCTTGTCTTGCATAATAAGGCATGAAGAAAGTTTGAAGTTGCCTATATTCACTGAGGTCATGGAAATAAGTCCCATGGATGGTGTAGATGATAAAGGCTCAAGACTTACCCTTCTCTGCATACTGTTGTATTCACTTTCATCTAATGCTTGTCTCCCAGTCCAAACAGTTGTTGCTAGTGAAAGTTAATGTGTGGTTGTCACTATCAACATTCGTGGAAATAAAGTGCCTGGCCAGAGTTATGGAAATCAAGAAAGTGCACTAGAGAGGTCTCAAGGGAGACATAAAGGTGGTCAATTTATGGGACTTCTTTCCCTGATTTAGGTGTTTCTTAACAGCATGTTGATAATGACGTAAAGCAGTATGGATCAGTTTGTTAATGAAAACTATGACAGATACAGAAAGCATAATAACACAGTTAAATAGAGCAAGATGTCAGCTGCTTACAGTTATTAATAGAAACATAGTGGTTAAAGACAGATATTTTCAGCTTGCAGTAAAATTTAGGAAAAGAAAACATCAGGGGCCCAAGGGAAGGCACTACAACTAATTACATTCTGTATAGATAAGCTGTGGTGGACTTGATAACATTGTCAAACCTTAAGATTTGGCTGTTGTGTTGATTAGATAAGATATAACAGATCTAAAAGTTTGGGACAGTGGTATATTGATACAATTATTGAGTTTCTGGACATCATACATCAACAGTATTTTTTTGTTAAAAAACAACATTTCAGAGCCTGCTGTCTCCGTCTTCAGGTGGGGCCTACTCATTTGGGTCCACTTGATAGAGCTGGTTGCTATCTCTGGACACCTCTTCAACACAAGATAAGGTATATATACCTAGCACAGCATAGACCCTCTTCGTAATAATGTTAGGTGTCAAAGATATTGGCATCGAAATCTTTAAAAGAGAACAAGGAAATAAGAATTCTGCAAGCTGACAAATGAAACCACATGGTGGTGCTGAGGAAGTCTACATACAAGGAAAAAATATTCAGTCTACTAGAATCAGGGGTTTATGGAATTCTGTACGAGGATATGAGAACTTCTTGCCAAACACATAACTGCCCTTCCTGCTGCCTCAGAACATAAACTGACTTCTTGCCACAATAAACCAGTTCACCTCTGTGGACTTCCAAAGATACACTAAACCTGACATCCCCATTAGACCAATAGTTAGCTCTATTAACTCTCCCTGTTATGCCATAGCAGATTTTCTCCATAAGATACTGATCCCTCAAGGTGGTAATGCAGATTCCTTTGTGAAGAACTCAAAACACTTTGTAGAATTAATATAGGGCATCATCCTTTAAAATGAAGACTACCTTGTAAGTCTTGACATCAGCCTGTTCACTGACATGTTAGTGGAAGAAGTCTTACGGGTTATAAGAAATGGCCTCAATACAGATCCTTTCCCAGAATGTTCTTTTATGTTGGATCCATACAGAGAATTTATCTCTCTGCTGAAGACATGTATTCTGATAGTACCCTGGTGCTAGGCCTCATATGTGTGGAGTTTTTTTTTTATGTTTTTCATGTTTTGTCTCAACTCTTGCAGATGGTTTGTGCTGTGCTTAGTATGTATACCTTATCTTGTGTTGGCTCTGGTGTCCGGAGACAGACTAGCTCTGTGTAGGTTCCACCTGAAGACAGTGACAGAATCCAGTCTCTGAAACATTGTGCTTTAAATAAAGAGAGGAAAATGGATAATGTCCAGAAACACAATAGTTGTGGTGCATGTAGTGACATAGTTGGTTGAGGAACTATGCTACAAGCTGGAAGGTCGCAGGTTTTATTCCCTGTGAGGTCATTGAAATTTTCTGTTCACCTAATCCTTCCAGCCACACCATGGCCCCGGGGTCGACTCATCCTATAACAGGAATGAGTACCAGAAATCTTCCCGTGGCTAAAGAGCAGCTGGCACGTAAGGCTGACAACCTCACCTCCATCTGTGAGCTGATTGTTTAAGAAATGTGGGAGCCTCAGTGCCTCACAACCCTATGGGCTTCTATGACCTGTTACAGAGTTCAGAAAAAGTGAAGTTCATTTTAGTGTGTTAAAATTCTGCAACTTTACAGACTCCTTCCTGTTCAGTATAAGAAACCTTACATATGTGTTTTATTAGCTGAAATAAATTTGAAAATATGAGTACTTACACACCACTCTCCAATTTAAAGTACAGTGAAAACGTTTCAGGTTTCTTTTGGAAGAAATGGTTTTGAAGACTAAACTGATGAAGAATGAAAGTAACTTTTAACTGTGGGATGGACAACAGATCATTGAAATTGAATGTTAAATGAAGGAAAACCTTAAAATTGATTCCATTGTATTAAACTGCCAAAAGCGAGAATGCATTAGTATTCATTGCTGCTTCTTTTAAAAATAATTTTTTTTAATGTAAATATTTTTATTTTAATTTATTTGAAGCTCTTCTTAATGATTTAAAATAATAATTCTAGTAGAAGTATAATTTTGCTCAGGATTTGTATTACTTCATTGTCTGTGTGGCAAAATGATGTGGATAGGAACTGTGTGTTTTAGTTATTATTTTTATTATTAAATTAGTTTAAACTATAACTTCATATGTGAGTGTGGTCATGCTCTGTATAGTAATTTGGCTTACATTGCTTTTAAAATTCTTGCAACCATTCCCAGATGATGTGTGGTACTGTACATTGATGATTTGATTTGCCTTATGTGAGCGCAACACATTGTTATCACCAGTAATCACATAAAATTAAGAGTGTACAGCTTGCATATATTTGCATGGATTGAAGTGTTGTTTCATTAATGGATCTTGTAATTGCATGGTAGAATGGATTAAGAAGTAGAGTGCACATACCCTCTGCTAGTTCTGGACGTGGTCAGCATGGGGGTGCTCCAAAAAATCATAAATCTGTCCTGAATAGACCTGGATTTAAGTTCAATGAAACACCTGGACCAGAGGTAGGTACAACAGCTGACATCCATTCCTTTACATTATTTAGATAAATGTCACTAATTCCTAAGGTACCCCATTTGTGAACCCTGAACATGATAGGCTTGATGTGATGATATTGTGCGTCAAACACATTTACCACAGTCAAGTTTTGCTCTTATACACATGATTTGTGGTTAAATGTGAAACGAAGGATAACGTAATGTTCAGTGATAGTGTTGGTATTTTGTGCCTGGTGTAGTTGGCATTTCTTAATTTGATATAAAGAGTGTCCAGATGAAAGGTATCCAAAATAAAAAATTTATATTTTGGAAATTAATTGGCATACACATAGCCAATTTATGACACTGGAAAGGAAAACTTGAAAGGTTNGGATGTAATCTGTTGTGTGTAAAATCTCATGGAAAGACAGATCTCTGAAGAAAATGTCAGTTTCATTAGAGAGGCATTCCAGCGAAGTCCACAAGATCAATTTGTGCTGCTAGCTTGCAGTTACATACAAATTCCACATTCAGCAGTGCACGATGTGCTGCACAAAAGACTCTGCCTAAGAACCTACAAGATCCAGATGATTCATGCACTAAAACCGAATGACCAAGCAGTATGCACAAACTTTGCAGTGGACACACTAGATAGTATTGATGCGTCACCTGATTTCCTCCACCAAGTGTGCTTCTCGGACAAGGGAACATTCCATGTCAGTGGAGTTGTAAACAGGTAAAACTGCAGGATTTGAGGCAGTCAAAATCTACATGTCATATGTCACATGTGAGTTGGATAGAGGCAGCCCCAAGGTGAACGTGTGGGCCGGCTTGATGCGTAACAAGTTGATTGGACTACTCTTCTTTTTGTAAAAGACTGACCGTATGTTTGTACTTGGACATGCTGTAGCTATACGCGCTGCCCCAATTACCACCACAAACTATCCTACAACAAGATGGGGTGCTGCCACATTGCTGCCACCATGTTAGGAATCACTTGGACAGAGAGATGGCTGCGAGATTTGATTGGCAGATGTGGACCATTCACTTGGCCTCCTAGGTCGCCACATTTAACCCCATTGGATTTTTACTTGTGGGGTTATGTGAAGAATATTGTCTACCAGGTTAAGATCAACGACCTTCAACACCCTAAAGCCCGCATAAGGGGCACTGTGGCTACAGTAACACCAACATGCTTCAAACAACATGGAACAAGGTCTAATATTGTCCAGATATTTGTTGTGCCACCAAGGGAGTCCACAGAAATTTACCGAGAAAGTTGTATACTCAGAAAAAACTCATAATTTCCCTTTGTAATTTTGTAACCCATAAATGTGTATAATAAATGCTTTCTGAGATATAATTATTTTATTTTGGATACCTTTCATCTGGACACACTGTATATATTTTACAGAACAGTGTATTTTTATTTTTATTGCTCGTTTTTTTCAAAGTAGTATACCTAGTTTTAGGTCCCTTAGCAGATAATGCTAGTGTAGAACATCTTTTTGTTTTTACACCGCATATACCATTTTCACAGTTCTGTTATAGATCCCATGTACATATAAAGAACATATCTCTTCCCTCCCCACACGCACGCACGCGCGCACACACACACACACACACAGGCGCATGCCTACCGCCTTTATTGTCAGTATGTGAAACAGCAACAGGAACATCCACAATAATGATGATGGCTGTGACTGGTGTAGCTCAGTGAGTGTAGTGACTGGCTCTGGGCCAATCAAGCTTCCTTCATTTTGGTACCGGGGGCTGTTTATGGGTAAAGTGGCTAGAATGTGAAACTTGCAACTCTTGCATAATAGA